CATCATCTCCTCCAAAAATAAATGCATCATTTTTAGTTGTGTCTAATTGTGCCCTCTCTTTCTTTTTTATATCTCTTGACACTGTGCATAACTCTCTGTTCTCTCTGGTAGTGACAGGCTTAAATATACTGTTTCCTCTTTCTCAGCTCTTGCGTCCCATAGATGGGCCACTAACTCATGATTGTCATGCAATCTGCGGAGGATGCTGTGGCTTCACAGTCCACCTTTTAGGCCCGGCAGTGAATCTGTTGTATATGGGTCTGGAATTCTTCTTTCCCAGAGTCCTTCAAGGTTGCAAAACAACTTCTTTCCTTTGATGTGTTCACAAACCATCATTTGATGCATGATCTTTCTCCCTCTGTATGAGCTCTTCGTAGTAAGCCTCTGGCTCCTGAGGTTATGTTCGTGAGGCTGTCTAGCCTCAGTCTGGCCTGGTGCGTTGACAAGAGAATCACAAAGCAGAAGGATTTATCCATCCCTGGTAATATTGTAGTAATGAATGTCTCCAGAATCCAATATCAAAAGCATGTGGGAGGAAGAAGTACAATATATATGACGTTGACATGACTAATGGGTCGTGGCTATTCTCCAGCTACCATTATGTACCATGCAAACACATCAAAGAGAAAGTGTTTGTCATACACTGACTTCTTTGAGCTCTCTGCGACTTCCTGGTTTTCACAACATCAGCCAATGACATTTTAAATAACTATAATTAAATCTCAGCCTTTTACACATTTCATAGACCCCATCAAACAGTAAAAAAGTCATTTGTGAACACAAATTTATCAACACTGTTTCAGGAATTTCTGAGCAAAGAATAAGGACTCTGTGTGAACAGGATAAAATATAAATCTATCAAAGCTCACATATATCTTTTAACTGCAATCAATCCCACCATTTCAGTAGTTAATCAGCTTGTTTACTGCATGTTTAAAATTGCATCATTTTGCATTTTGCCAAAGTACAAATTAACAACATAAAACAATTTCCACTAGCGTCTTGATTTGGGAATACAATCAACACATTGAAATATTCTTTATGACCTTGACTATCATAATTATTGTCAAAATAAATGCTGCACTGCTACACCAGTGAGATCTAAAATCAGAAGTGCTGGTTCAGAGAAATGCATTTCATTTTTACAGCAAATGAACTAAATGTCCATCAGTATCAGTGAGGTCTCACTGAGCATTTTTTGGTCTAGAAGAGGTCTTATAGACGTCTAAGTGTTGCCTAGACGACTGGTCTAAAATCAGGCTACCACAGGTCTAAAAATTTGAGTTTTTTTAGACATCTAAATTTAGAGCAAGTTTAGACGGCTAACAGAGGTCTACACTGTATATTGGTCAATGGCTATCATAATTATTTTGGAAAAATACTTGGAGATTAGTTGTGCAACTCACAGTTGCTTTTTGAAATAAATAATTATCAAATAATGGGTTAAAGTGCAACGTCTAATTTCCATCTAAAAATCTAGAATCTAGACGGGTGAAATTAGGTCTGAAAAAAACTAGACGTCTAATAGCTGTCTCAGTGGGGTGTGCAGTATTATTCTAAGATCATTTTGATTATCCATGGAGCCAAAATATCAGAAATTCCAGGAGTTTCAGTGTGGTTGTTATCTCTGTTTCAGACAGCATTTGCACTTTCCAGCAGTTTCACTTTGCTTGCTTTTTTTATACTGTCTGTGTGAAAAGATTGTAACATGCACACTGGAGGAGGTTCCTTATACCCCAATCTTCCATTTCTTTATCATACCAGACTTTGAAGTCAGTTGCCAGTCTTATAGCCTGCACTGTGCTTTATTTCATTAATTCAGTTTCATCCACAGGTCAGAAACTCCAAAACAGTGCTCTGCCAGTTTTTGTGATATTGTCCTCTGATATCAGTCTTATTAGCAGCAGTATGCTTAACTCAAAGTACTTCTGTGATAGCCGTTTGGCAGTGACAGTGCATATTACTCATGAAATGTGTTCAAAAGAGCGGCAGTCATGTTACTTTCTGTCAGCTACACTGTGCCAACAAAAAAGCACGAACAATGACAGCCTTATTTTCTTAAACATCTTCAACTCTTACATATTAGGACTGTAGCTACATGTTCCCTTTACATAAACAGTGTATTTCAGGATTAAACTGTCTCTTCAAGGCGTGACAGTACAGTATGTTAGCCATATGTCGGAACCTCCAGAAACCCCGTACTTCTACTCGAGCTCATGAAATAGTATGTGACACAGCATTTTCCACTGTCATCACAAAGGTTAAATGATCACACAAAACCATTACTGCTGATGAGAGCTGACCCCGCCCTGCACACACCTCACAGCTGTCACTGAGGAACAAATTTTCCTTGAGCTTTAACCCTGGTCTGGACGGCTGTATGGCTGTATTGCGTTTTGCGAAGTAAAGCCTGTTTTTATCATGAATGTCTTTGAATGGAACTCAAACCAGATGTAAGGAAATTGGAGATAAAAGCAGCTGGAGTCCATGTTAGTTCAGAACCTTTAGGTGGTATGGGACGAGACGGTGGTGATGTCATCACATGTGCGTTGTTGCATGAATGTAGAAAAGTAAACACTGTATGTTAACACTGTAAGACATCTCATTTCTGCTGCTTTGTTGTTATTGGTTTGAGAATTTCCTTAAAATGTACTTTAACTTTCTCTATGAAAAGCATCTGGCTCTTATTATCTATACAGTATTTAAAACTGAGTCAGTACACTCTCTTAGATGAGTAATGCTTACTCTGAAGTTTTTTCAGAAACGACCTTGAGGGTTTGTGATAGCACCTGTTTTAGCTACATGATTTGCAGCATTTTGCCGTTATATTTATCTACAAAGATGCAAATACAATTTTTACACTAAGAGACTCCCTTATTTACACTGGCCAACCATCTGAATCATGACAGTTTTTTTCTCTTATTATTTAAAGTTGCATAGATTTTTCTCTTCTCTTCAGTATTTAACATTTTCCTGCACAAAACTGTAATTCTTGTTTCCACTTTTGATTGTGTATTTATTCTAAATAAAATGACACAATGGTTGCCTGTTTCTTTTTGTGTTAATAGATTTGCAGGACTACCTTTTATCTTTCCCTATCCACATGTTTGTTATTGTGTCACTAAATATACAAGGAAAGCCTTCATATGCCTAACTAGGTAATAAATCTAATTCTACTGCTACTAATATTTTTAATACTAAACAAACTATAATTGCATAATTGCATATCTTATATTAAATATCTGTACAAAGTAAAAATATACATATCTGTTTGAACCCTAAAACTAAGTCCCACACTGATCAGTTTTTCCTTACTACTTAAAGTGTTCTCACTGGTCTTTAAATTGCGATTATGAAGTTTTTAGCCAAAATCACGTTAGCTGTGTCATTTTCAAGGGCTTTTCTTCTGCAGAGCTCCAGTAGATCATTCGCAATTTGCCTTTCAGTCATGAGCAGACAGCGCTGCTCTGCACACTCCTCTTCACGCTAGTTCGCAGCCTGACATTACCGGTGAAGTAGAAGTTGCAGGTAATACAGGAGCTATTTAGCCCTCGGACACAAATGTCTTCAGGGACACGATGAAAGCTAACATCATAATTAGCATTCTTACTAGCACTGCAATCCGCTAACACACATGTTCGTTCCGCGATCATCCTCTCTATTTCTCCTCTATATGCAGGGAGTGGCCTGCATAGCGGGGCTCTGGGGGCGGAGCTAAGATTAGTTACATAGGAAATCTCACAGTTTCTGAACCTGCCATTTGGGTCTGCCAGAGATTCACAGTGATTTGAATGAAGAAATACTCAGAAAAGCAATTTTGCATTTAGTTTTCTCATGATATGTCCTGTAGCATCAGAAAAATGCCATATGAACATATAAAAAACAAGAAAAACATGATTTTCATTGGAGTTGGTCATCAAGGACTTTCGTATAAATTGACAGGTTGACAGTTCTCTTGCCTTTGCTGGATCATTCATGTCTGTCCAGATTGGTGCAGAAGCTGTCAGAGTACATAGTGGATGTGGGGGTGGGTTTGCAAATGAATGAAAGCAAAGGGCATTTAAACAGTAGTAAGAACACTACAAATACTTCTGGCACCCTCAACCTTTGCCTCTGGCAGGGTGCCGCTCTGTAACCTCAGTTTTGAAGCAAAGATCTGATTATGGTGCAAATGAGCTGTAAACTAACCAGAACTCAAACACACAATTCGAGAAGGATAACATCAAGAGGGTTAGGATGCACACTGTAACGGATACCTGCGATAACTAGAGAGCGCTGATCTCCTCCAGATATTTGAGAGATCAACAGAAATCATAGTCTCTCCAAAATCATTTCATCCTTTTGTTTATGAAAAAGAGCCCGTCTTTGAAGTCGCACCAGATACCCGGCTTGATTACAGTTTGAGATTGAACAAAATCTGGCCATAGGTAGAAAAAAATTGTTGCTGGCAGGTCTCTTCATTACATCTTGATGTTGGATTAGATGAAGTATCCTGGGTATTTCTGACAAAGCCATTTTCTGTGTCTTGGTTAACCCTGTGTTTTCCACTTTCACTGCTAGCTGCATCTGGGAGCCAGCTGCAGCTCTTTGTATACAGCATGCAAGTGTATCTGAGTCTGATTAGGGTCACTAGAGGGTCTGTCTCATTCAATATAGAGCTGATTGACCAACTGGGAGGTCACAAAAGTTCCAACAGGCAGGGCCGGCAAAGTAGTAGAAATTAAATTTGGAGGGTGCTCCGTTTCTGTTGATGGCAGCAGGTCAGTCACAACGACATGAAGAGATCTCCAGCTATTGAGCTATCAAAGGCAGCTTAATGACACAGTTAGTCTCCAAGATACATAAATTCAGTGCTGTCAGCTAAAATTACCATGAGATGTTTGAGAATATGTTATGTATTTAAAATTCTTTGGTGTGCGGCGAAATAACACGACAAACACAGATCATGACATGCACTGGGTGTAACAAGCTGAAGATTTCAGAAAGGATAAGTAAACAAATTGTTCATTTTGCTAGAAATGGTTTATTGGACAAGGAAGATTACAAATCTGATCCCTTGATGGTAGCTATCAACCCTCTGATTATACAGGCTCTCTCTTAAAAATGAATCACCACATGGAAAATGTTAGCAACCCATGAGGGACAAAAATACAAATGATGAAACATTAACAAATAGCAAGACAGGCTTAAAGCTTCAAAACTACGTTCACAACACCGTTAAAAAAAGAGTAAATACTGTAACGTTAGGACAGAATAAATACACTAAAAAATGACAAAAATGAAATGTTAAAAGGTTTTCTTTGACGGTTACAGTTGCACCACTCTGTAAAAACGTTTTTTTTTTTGCAGACTGTTATTTGTACATCTCAAGTGTTTCAGTGAAACGATAAGACCGGTGGCACGAGAAGCAGGTCTGTGTGTGTATGCGTGTCCTAATTCAAACAAGACATAGTGTGAATTCACTTTCTAAAGACCAAGGCACTCAGCTTTTTACGTCCAATACTTGTGTACAGCAAATTTTGACCAATTACCACTGCCACCTGCGAACACAAGAGATTAAAGCAGCTTGTTGTGTGTCAGTGAGTTAAACTCAACAGGTGCAGGGACTTCTTCATCCGTACATCAACAATCAATCTGGCCTACTTAAGCACTGGTCAACAGTACTTTCCATAATGTTGGGATCCTTTTTTTTTAAACACAATGACTCTTAACCAGACATCAGCATGTACAGTATGTAAAAGTCCAAACAGGTTCATCAGGTTTGATTATGAAATATGTTTAATATTGCTCATCTCCAGAAGAGTGTGTTTTCCTTTTTTTTTTACTTTGACATGTTTCGCCCACAAACTCCCGCTGTCAGGAAAACTGCAGGAAGTTTGAAGTCAAAATCTGTCGAGGAAAAAGGCAGAACACACTGGTCTAGATATAAGAAAATATTTACCTTATCGTACAGTAACTAAGTTTGTAAGAAGCACAAATTTCTTTTTTGTTTACGTGTCCTCTGACCTCCATCTTTTCATTAAAGTTTGGTAAAATAAAGTACAAAAAGTAACAACACAAGCTTGATAAGACTAAAAATAACCAGTTTCATGACTGACCGTAAATTGTAAAAGTGACACAGACACAAGCTGTAGCGAGGTTTTGACTTATACATAAGTGGTCCCCACATTTGACTTTTCAAACATCAGTAAAACCGAAACGCTTCCATGTTTTTTTTCTTCTTTTTTAGGCTTTCTCCAGCGACTTGTAGTACTCTTTCAGCACAGCCCAAGCCTTTCCTGCCATGAAGCCATCGGGAGGATTCTCCCCCTCACGGGCCATCCTGCGCATACGAGTGCCTGAGATGAAATCATAGTCTTGATGGCTGCAATTAGAGAAAAAAAAGGAGAGAGTTTTGGGTTACAGTCATCTGTCAATCAATGAAAAGATTCATATCAAAATTATAGGCAAAGTGAGTCAACAATAACTGCATGCTGCTTGGGAATCGAGTGTGATGAGGCGTAGCAGCCGGCAGTTGGGGGAGAATTTGAGACTCAAATAAGCTCTTGCAACATCCCACACTCCTCTTCCTGATCTGTTGCATTTCTTTATCAGACACAATACATGTTTGCATATCAAAATATTTATCTCTCTAAATTCCACTTTTGACATGCTGATTGGTTCTGGCGGCTGCATTATTTGTAATACCTTGCAAATCACTGTGAGGCTGGAGAAACAGTGTGACAGTCCAGAACGCATCAGCACGCCATCGCAGCCGTGGTCATAACGTGCGGCCGTCAACATCCATAAATCCTTCAAATTGACTCTGCAGAAGATCTATGATTTATGATCCTGTATGAGGCACTTCATGAGTATTTAGTACGCTTAGCTGACAGCCACAGAATCTTTTTTTTATTACCATTAGTTTAACTTGCCAAAACCTGAATGTTTTGTAACTTCCACTCAGACTTTTTGGTGTAACATGGGGACTCACATGGTTGAAAGGGTGTAGCATTGCTAACTGACATGAGTTTGATAGATGTTGTGTTCCTGTTATCTATTTTATCAGTCCATGTCTTTTTTTTTTAATCAGTACCTAAAGGATTCACTTGAACAGAAAGCATTTAATTTAATCCTGACCCAAATTTCCAGTTCCCTTTCTTCTTCAAAAAAAATCCTTGATTCACTGTGAAAGCAAACATCTGCCGTGACGTATATTTTCGTACCACTTATCATTTTCTATTCAGTGCAACATAACTTGTAGTTTGACTAGATATATTGACAGTAAACAGAAGTACAACTACTGTAAAAAAAAAATGCAAACCTAAACGCTAGTTTTAGAAAGTTCTGTCTTCATGTGTCAAACTACACAGTCAAATATCCAACTGTCTGTCTGCGTGAAGGAATTCGGCCCTGTCTGTCAGAGGGCTGCTAAATAAAAATCAGTTTGTAGATTTTTCCTGTCCAAACATTTTCCTCCCATCCTCTCTATGATGGACAGATTCTCCATCAACATGAAGTTCTCCTCACAAAGTATGAACAAATCTGTCTGAAGCAACAAGCAAAGGCAGTTTTCATCAGCGACAGGTGTTGAGTGGAGCGCTCGCAGCGGCTCATCGCATCCTCACAATCCTGCTCTATTACTGTCAGTGGTAATCACGGCCACCTCAGACATCTTGTTAGCAGACATTTACATGAATCTCCACAGAGCTTACATTCACTGAGGGTCGATGTACTGTTGTTTATCAGATACAGTTTCTAATTGCTTTTACATGACAGAGTTACTGAAACAATACACAACTGTGAGGACGACCTAGCTGTGCATATGGTATGAGATAGAAGAGCTCCGGGCTAATTCTTCAGAGAGCATTTATATTCAGTGTCAAATCAGAAACAGCTTGTCGTGATCTAAGCTGTAACACTTTAGAGGAAGACTGAGGGGTGATGCTGGTGATTGGAGTAAACATTCATATTCCTCCAGATACTTGGCAGGGAGCTGTCAGTGTGCATGAGAGAGACCAAAGTCATAAATTTGACTAAGTGAGAGAAACAAGCCTGGGAAAATCGGTTTCCTGCTTTCATTTACGCTCCAGGTTCACCCTGAAAGTGACAGTGAGCCATTCAGTCGATGAGATGATCCTCAAAAACCAGTGATCTGCTGATCCAGTTTAGTCAAAGAGAGATGCTGATCTTTAGAGAGCAGGTTATTTCATGATACCGTTAATCTGACCTGACCGGCAATCAATCAGTCAGTCCTCCTTACTCTACCATGTAGATGAGATGTTTTACTGATAGTCTGCCTGTAACTGTTACTTTCAATTTATTTTAGTTTGCTCTTACAATGTTACTGTGCAGCACTTTGATAAACTTGAATGTTTTTTAAAATGTGCTATATAAATAAAGCGGATTGGATTGGAATGGATATTTATGTAATTTCATACACTGGAAATAAGTCCTTTTTTAATTTAACTGTCACTGTATAAATTTGTATTTATCATACATCTGTCACATCTAATAACAAATTTGCTTTGTTACAAATAAAAGAGTCTAAAATATAAAAATTTCCTTCTCTTGAAGACTGATGACAAATAACTGAACCATTTTACAGTTTTCTCTCTGTCTTAATCATTAATTTATACGAGGAAGAACCATCCAAATTGTATTCTTATTGTAAAACGAGAGGTTATTGATTAGGGGTGGGAGAAAAAAAAAATTATTAATATAAGTATCGCAATTTTTAAATCAATTTTTTTTGCTCAAAAATTGTTTTTTTTTCAAAGTTAAGAATAAATCTCAAAAACTGACATGTGATGTGTATTTTTTTGGTGAAATATAGTTCCTGGAATAGTCAGTAGACAATCATAATCATTCAACTGTTTCACTGGTGTTGAAAATGCAGACTAAAAATCAAGAAAATCGACAAAATCATAGAATCGCAATTCAAATCGAATCAGCATGCAAGAAATCGTAGAAGAATCCAATAGGAAGAAAAGCATATGGTCCCAGCCCTATCATTGATAATTACTCCCTTTGACACAACTAGAAAAAATTGTTATTGTACCTCAAAAAAATGTATCATTAACCTAATTTAATAATTTATGTACATGATCAGTTATTATTCAAAGTTAGGGAGCCGTTTACTCAATTGTGAGCCCCGTGTAATCAGAAACACTGTTTTTAAAGCTATTTTTATCTGAACTGAAAGTTTTAGACGTCCCTGATAAAGCCTTGGTTTAGATTTAATGTCATAAATATGCATCATGGAAACAAAACAAATCTTTTGAGTCTAGCTATATTCATCTCGGGCCAAACTCAGCGAGAGTTGCATAACTTGCATCAGTTCCATATGAGAGGCAGTGAGATTGCATGATTTTTGTTCGTCATCATGTGCAGAATACGTATACAGACTTTAATTAACAGCAGGTCTCTGTAATTTTTGAGAAAGTCAAAGATCACACTAATCCAGGAAACCTTTTAACTGTGTACGAAAGACTAACAATGACTGTTTTTCTTGGCGAAGGATTTTAATGTATAAAGAAGAAAAGGAGAAAAAGAAGTAGATTCGAGGTTTTTCAACCAAGACCAGCCTAATGAGTTATGCATTTAGGGGAAGTTTATTCTGTTTAGGCTGCTGGATCTAATTGGTCCTAATGAGAGAGATTACTCTTGACTAAATCCACAAATAAGCTTGTTAATTCGGCATAAATAAGTTCTGCCACATAACTCTACGATCCTGATGAAGTTAAATGAGAGAAATGAAACAGGACGCAAAAGCTATAAGGTCGTCAATTTGGAACAAAAACAAGGACTCACTTTTTAGGATCATAGAAGTCCATGGCTCGTTTAGTCTTGTTGTAAGCTGCGACCTTGAAGGGAACAATTTCCAGGGTGATGAGGCCAGGAGCCATGGTGAGAACCTTGGCACCGTGAGAGGGCTCGTACAGGTCCTTTCCTGTGGCGGGGTGGGGCATGCCTGCAGGGTCACGACCCACGATGTAGAAGTTGGCACCGGCCACCATTCGAGCTCGACAATGCCACTGAACCTGTGCAGAGGGAAACAGACGACAGAAGACCGGTTAATACAGAGCAACTTTAAAAACCTCTGTATGGAAAAAAAGGTTAAAATTATGCAAGACTGTGAAAGGTAAAATCATTTATAAGAATTCCTACTGTAAAAAGATCATTCAAAGCATTGCAGTGAACCCTAACCCTAACCCTTTCATTCAAACTGATAAAAAGTTAGAAAACTCTGTGTAATATAATTATTTTGTGCTCAGCTACAGCCCATTTTATTGGCCCAGGTGCACTGCGGACTGTGACTTCCTTATTTTATTACTCCATTGTAAGATCAGGCTTACAAACTAAAGACTTCAGATCAAGCTGAGAGTTGAAACGTTGAGCTGAGTCTGAGTCTCTCTCCGCGTCTTCAATCCAGAATTAAAAACTACATTAATTCACTGCCTGACATCCACCAGTTTACAATCTGCTCTCAATTCTACCCGGGCAGGAAATTATGACACGACTCACAGCCACACAGCTATGCATAGCCACACTGAGAGGTTTATGTATAGCAGAGAAACACTAAACAGAGTGCCTCAAGACAATTGTAAATCCCATTTCCTGCCATTTTTCACTCTTCAAAATTTGCAGTTAACAAATAGCAGCCCTCCTCCCAGTGCCTGCTGTCATTACTCAGTGCTGTCGTGTTTTCTGCTCCATGTCAATTATGAGGAAATGTGCCTTTAGAAACCTCAAGTATGCAACTGTGATTATTTCATTCCTGATAGTGTTTACCTCAGTTGGCCCAGCATACATCATGGGTGAAGGAAAGATTGCTACAATGGTTGTTTCTGGATTTAGGACCCCTTCCTCTAAGACAGCGGCATGCTGCTTCATTCGCCACGGCAACGGGACGTCGTCGTCCTTCGTCCAGCCTCCCAGTGGGTGGAGCAGTAAAACGGGTCGGCGGTAACCCCTCTCAATGAGACGCTTGTGGGTGTCCTGCATCAGAAGAGCATGGCCGTTGTGGACTGGGTTGCGAAGCTGGAAGGCGAATACAGCGTCTAAATAGAGATGAAAAAAGAGGATGAGAAGGCTTTGTTAAATGGCGACCAAACACATCTGAACACATCTGTATTAAACAAACAAAAAGGCCGCAATGTACCCAAAGATAATCATGCAGCTAAGTGCCCGACCGCTGAAACCGCATACAGTGAAGGAGTGAATCACACCAGAGCTTTCTCTCCCATGACTTTCCTACTCTGTCTCCCTCACTTGTTGCACAGAGACTAAACAAAGAATGAAAGCATTGAGGTGAGCGGACTACACAGTGTTTCCTCTCATTTTTAAGGAAAAATGGGTAGCAGTCTATAAATATTGTGACACTACAGTCTCTCTAAATGTCTTCGGTCTAAATCCCCTTGTTTTTCAGACTACGACCGACAGAACTTGGCTGGTCAGTTACCTGCATTCATTTCTTTAAACTTCTGCTTAAGCTCAGTGGGTGTCAGTCGGTACTGATCGAGTCCATCGTTCCAGCGAATCCTATCCAGAACCTGGAGGTCCCCTCCCACCAGCCAGTCCCCACTTTCCATCACCATCTGAAAAAAAGAAAGAGGTCAAAACGATCACAACAGGGAGCACAGCTCAAACATAATCCAGACTTTAAGACACTGTAGTCTATAAAAACTTCATTGTGCTGGAATCAAACTCCAAAGTTATTGCAACAGGAACACAGCAGCATAAATCAGAGTCTCTGTGTCTTAAAACAGTCAACAAAACTCTGCCATGCCCACTCTTCTGCATTTGGATATCTCCTTCATTTCCATACAAAAGAAAAGATCAAATTACACATTATTAAAACCTGAGGATGAGTTTATGACAACACTGGAAGGAAACTTCACTCTCAACAATGTCACTCAAGTGCTCAGGATCCAGGCGGGGGCAGCTATTGTTTCAGGTGATATCTCTGGCCTGCCTCTTGTGGCATTTATGAGTATGAAGCTAAAGTTACTGAAAGCCCCGGCCTGTGCGATGTTAATGTGATACAAAGTGACAATTCTCTACAGGCTTGGTAATAAAAGAAGAAGCACAACACCAACGTCAAGGCTGAGAAATCTCAAAACAGGGAGCACAAATGCAACCTGAAGTTTGTAAGCTTTCTGTAAAGCAGATTTGGAAGTTGATAACAAAGATGTCACTGATTTCTTTGACATGTAATTTATCATAGAAAAAAATAGAAGAAAGGTCTTTGATATCCATACTTTAGAGCCATACTGATTTCAGTTTGATCTGGCACACCATATATTAAAATCAGACAAATGTCAGCAGAAGAGGTGTGTACGTGATGTGATCGATAACAACTTGGCTCTGTTGAAAGGAGTTTCAAGATCATGTTGTGATTTGTTTTCCACACTTGAATTAATCCAACCTGTCCTCCGCTGGCTTGAGAAGAGCCATGAAAGATGCGTCACGGTCTTTACTCTTTAGGTAGATCAACAGCAAAGACAAGAGGCAATTTATTTTCCTTACAGAAGTTAAAAGAAAATGTAAAGGAGGAGGAGGCCTCGTATACACATGTGCTCTGTTTAAGCACTTTAAGTGCTCCAGGAGTCCACATGTGAAAAGGGCCCTAGCCAAATAAACAGCCAGTGCACCGTAGTTTCCGATGAAGGGGGCTCCTGTCTGAATGATGGACAGGTAAACAGGAAAAGTGGATTAACTAAATGTAACATGGAGCAGGTTTGTTCTGGTTAAAAGAGAGAGAAGAGGAAAGCGTTATAGCTACCAGTGCAGAGGGGTGTTGATAGACTGGCTCCGGACCTGGGGGCTAAAGGCACTCATACATACAAACACACCCTCTATAATGAGTGACACCTTAATCGCAGCAAGCTGAATACACATGTCTGTAAAGTGGATCAAGAATGACAGTTGTGGAAAAAAATAAGGGCTCTCACAATGTGTTAAAAGCCTGAGTGGAGGTGTTGTCAGGTGTTAAATATGAATAGTCATGGTACAAATTTGTAAAACTGGTAGATGATAGAACCAAAAAAAAAAATGAATAAAATTTTAAACAAAGTCAGAAAAAACATGATATCGCCAACATAAAAAAACATTTCAGCAGCTTTATTCTTGTATTTAGGTTAATATCTACACAGACTTTTTAGCCGCAAAGGGCGTTTATAGGAAAAAGTGAGTATATCATTTTTTTGCTTTGATTTGCACCTTTTCACTTTGACGAGTAGCCTCTGAAAGGGAACCGTGCACTTTTGCTCTGCGTACTTTGATTTATGAAAAGACAGTCAAAACAAATATCTTTGTCGGCAACACCAGACAGTTGTTTTCCAGCTGCGAGCAAATGCCACTTTCCGCAGGGTATGCCGGATCATTTCAGGACATTATTCCAACACTGAGTCTACCTGAGCTTAGCAGCCGCCTATAGGAGACAGATGGAAACAATCTTGGGTTTATTTGGAGAAAGCTGTGTGAGGGGAAAAGGTGGACGCTGGCAGGGATTTTTGTGCCTGTGGAGCTGTGGAGCTGAGAAATACAGTCTCATACGCATTTTGGTGGAATCTACTCTGCATCATCCAAATATAACACCTGCAAAATGAGGTTGAACCAAAAGAGATCATGTGATTACCCTGGGCGCCCTGACAGAGTGTGAGAAATATCTCTGCTCCTTCACCTATTCACTCTTTCCGTAAGCAATGTGAAAGGGCCAGCAAAGGGTCTGTGTTCTATCAGAGCTCAGTCCAGGGAGGCCATTTGCATTCACATGCAGGGTGTTTATCACAGGGCTAACTGAGACTGACCGTCTGCAGCTCTGCAACGCTGCTCTGTGCTATAACCTAGGACAGGCTTTTGGTTTTCTGTAGCGTTTATTAGCAAGTTGTATTAAGTACAGAATTATGTAATATGACCCTGAACATGTCATCTCCGTTATTTACCTTAATGTATGGATGGTCCTTGCAGGTAGTTCCCCATTGGCGAGCGCAGCGCTCTTCTTTGCGGTGCTCATAAAACTCAGGGTTGCGGAGGATAGCCACTCGCCTGCCCTCATAAACCAAGGCCATAGCTGTCACACCGTCCAAACGCTCTTTATCTGCAGTAGAAACTGGCAGCACCACAGGCACTGAAAGGTTGATGACACCACCTGGAAAAATGAAGAGAAAGAATATTTCATGTTCATTAAATTTCATTTTATTTTATGAGGGGAAAAGTCATAAAAAATACACCAGTTAGTACAGAAATGCTGTTTTCTCCCAAGGTTTTTCATTTCTATCTTATAAGTATCTATTTAATATTCTATCTTGCTTCCTTATCTTACAACTGTTGGTCTCAGTTCCAGAGAAAATGAAAATGTAATAATATCTGATTCTCCCCGGGTTTAAAACAATACATTCAAAGGGCAAAATCCTCCCACTGAAGCTACTTTAGAGTTGTCACCTTTTGGTTATGACTTCTAGTATCCCTACGGAGCTGTTTATGTAGATTGGTTCCTCTTTTGTTTTTATCATGATTGTTAGTGAGCATGTGAGCAGCTTATAAGTCCAGGCACAGGTGTTGAGGAGTCACCAAAAAGTAAAGAACTTGAGACAAAGGGAAAAGATAGCAAACACTTACGTAAATCTGAAATCATCTTTGCGAACATTTATTTAGGAAGTACTCTCCACATAATCGAGAACAAGGTGTTTTGATGGGCAGAGTAAATATAATTTTCACCGAAGAAGAAAATTCCATGTGGCACCTTTAACATCTACCTGCGAAAAACTTCCCTAGATGTGTAACATTCAGTTTAACCATGGGCTACAGGGAGTCATCAAGGGTTCAGTTTAAGGAGAAAAATATCCTCTTCAGCTTGACCTCTTTCTTCCTCATTTCATGGTTTAGCTAAGCAAGAGCGCTCTGTTAGATGGTTCAATTTGCCATCAAGGTTGATGAAAATGTTTGGAGCGGCACTACGCTTTTCACATCCCATCAGATCAACTGCAGTGGAAACAGGACAGGACACTGATCCTGCCCCCTCCTCTCCATGGACCCTCTTCTCGTCCCTATTTTATTAGAAGCAGCTGTAGGTCCTCCACTGTGACATACAGACTCACTGGACAGTCTAGAGCTGGCAGAAACTAGCTAGAGTCGTGGCCTCTGTTTATTTTTGGAGGGTATTTGATTAGTGAAACAGCATTTCTCTCCTCCTTGACCATTTTTGGTGTCATAGTATCAGGGATCAATACTTTCTCTGTCATTATTTTGCTGTCAGCCTCTTAGACGGAAATGAAAACAGATTAATGGTGGTGTGTGATGTCAATCAATATATAAACATCTTCCTCTCTTCCTCTGCCTCCGGCAAACAGGAAAACTGGAATCAAAACTTATGGCATCAATGCATATTTTAGTCTTTCCAGACGGCTCAATATTTCATCTTGATTTTCTCATATACAGTATCTTAAGTAGTTTCCATTTATGGGTGCTTAATAAAATATCTATCATCTTAACTCACAACCAAGATTTGAGTGGTTACATGGGAAAAAGTAAACTGACTGTTTCTTGAAACTGCCAACATCATATGGGAATTTGCTGTAATTACATTAAGAGGCTGTAGAGGCAATATGGTATATGTGTGATATATTAAAAAAAAACAAGAAGCCCCCTGAGATGTGAGGTGAAAATATACAACATCATATAAAACATCATTCTCCTTAAAACCTTGCATCAAAATCAGTTTCATTCCTGTATCCGTGTGTCATTCTGACACCTCGCCACAGCTGTGCATCACTGCTGCATGAAGAGCACTCTTAATAGAAGCCTCACTCAAGCCTCCACACAGTATATCATGCAGTATAAAGTATCAACTATGGTTAGTAGGTAAACATGCACAGAGCGCTTGTAGATTTAATTTAATGCTGTGGTGTAAAAGAGGGCTTATTCCCAAGAAAACACAGAACACTAGAAAAGCTGACAGATCCTTGGTTTTAGAAATTATGAGCACTCAACTCCATCTAGTGAATCTGATCAGGAATAACACTGACTTTTTCATTTTTTACCTTAAAAAAAACATGAGCATCTTACCATCCAGCGGGCAGTTAAAATGAATTTTCATTAGGTATTAGGTATTTTGCATTTACTGGGCTCTTAACAAAATATTTATCATCTTAACTCACAACCAAGATTTGAGTGGTTACATTGGCAATAATAGTAAACTGACTGTTTCTTGGAATTGCCAACATCAAAATAAACAACATAATAAAAAAATATCATCATCCTTGAAATTTTACTGATATTTTCCCAAGAGAACATAGAATACTAGAAAAGCTGACTGATCCTTGGTTTTAGAAATTATGAGCACTCAACTCCATCTAGTGAATCTGATCAGGAATAACACTGACTTTTTTATTTTAACCTTTAAAAAACATGAACATCTTACCATCCAGCAGGCAGTTAAAATGAAGACTCTGCAAAAACTCTCTCTCTCTCATAAAGCCATTGAGAGGGGTAGCCCAGCCTTCAGCTAGCACCTGCACCCATTGCATGTCCACCTGAGGGTTAAACACAATCACATGCAGTAGGTTACATACTGTCATACACACAACTTAGCATATCTACACAGAAGCTCTTTCTATAGTGATTGTTGCTGGAGTCACAATACTTCAACCCCAGTATTGTCTCACCTCCAATATTTATGTTACAGTGGCATCATGCAGGGACCAGGTCGTGCCACTGCTTTGCCAGAATTGGAGGTAGTAACAGAGGTGTTAACTGGGTGAAGTTTGATCACTGTGATACAGTGGAGCAAACAGAGTGGAGCAGCAGAGTATGTGTAAATGAGGCTTCTACTGTGTGTCTACATGCCCTCTTATGATTTAAAAATGCTGAAATGTGAATTCACACACTGAGACACCAATATCACACTGTTGCAGAATCAACATGAAAGTACGAAGGCACGTGCAGAGCTTCATTATGGCACTGTTACAGAATTAGAATGCAAAAAGTGCTATTGATCAACTAAAAGGATGGAGGTAACTCTGTAGACAGAAAAAGGAGTGCTCTATATTGGGTATCAACAAATTCAATCAACAGTCAATATCATTTCTTTGTCCAGACTTATCAGAGTCAATAAACAAAAAGAAGCACCTTCCCAATCTGCACTGCAGGGAGAGTCTCTGCATCGGCCTTAGCAAGGTCCAGTTTGTTCTCCTGAACGTACAGCTCTTTCACCTCATAAGACGCATCAACAGGAACTATATCCTAAAGAATTCATAATAAAAAAAAGCATTCAGTGGTTATAAATTAAACAAATATCAAGAACATCAATATTTCATTAAATTTCAACAGATAAACATGACTATAGAGCAGATCCATTTGAGTCAATATTCATACAAATGTGAGACATTGTCGCCCTCTAGTGGTAATAAAATGAATGATAGTGCGCTGTCGTATATCAAGCCTGACTTTGAGCCACAGGCTGTTTGTGTAATGGTTGCATAAATATTCCATTAAGGGTAATATAAAAGAAGTAAAACAGCAGACTCCTGCTTAATACATATTTAAAGTATCTTGGAAATGAGCATTTTCTTCCCTCACCCTCTCCTGAAGCAGGTCAATGAGTTGTTGTATGCATTCGTTTACACTGCAGAAGTCAGTCTTCAGAACCAGTTCTGGAGCCTCAGGCTTCTCATACTCTGAGTCAATCCCAGTGAACCCTGGTTAAAAAAAGAGAGAGTATTTCAACAGTAGGAAGAAATTTTATAAATCCTATTTGACATCAAATCCCTGTTTTGGAAGACACTGATGTGGCCTGATGGTTATGATTGCACCCCGTGTAAGGAGGTCCTCAAAGTTCTCAGGTTTGATTCCAACCTGTGGCCCTTTGCTTCACATAAACCTTACACTCTTTTTCTAGTTTTCTACTCTATCCATTATGTCCTCACAATGTGGGCACAAAAGGCAAAAAAATAACTTTTCAAAAAGGTTTCAAATTGGTAAAATATGTCATTTATGTTTGTGTTTTATTTTAACAAATAAATATCACAATACTTGAACAAAATATATTTCCTCTTGAAATACCTTTGAATTGATAAACACATGACTATTACAAAAAACCATTGTCCTTAAAAATCAGGAGTAAAATGTGAATGGGTTTGGAATAGTTAAAAACAGGAAATGGTTTTTGACCAGAGATTTGTGACATTAGAACTAAAAGTCCTTTCCTGACTGTGTTATGTCAAAGGCAGAAAAGAGACTGCATCATTTCCCGATTTTATCTGGTCATTAAACAAAACTGGGAAAACTTCACTGAAATCTCAGGTCTGCAAAAGAAAGAACTGCTTAAAAACTCTGATCAGAAACCCTTCCTCCAGCAGTGATACATCTGTACTGTATTACCGTAAGGGTAAGGTACACTGCAGATTTGCTCATTGTTTTACATTGAACATCATACTTTCTTGCTGTACTGAAATATACTGTCAGCTCCAAGATATGTCGTGCTATGTAACCGATCAAGGATCTCTTTAATTGTATTATAGGTGTCACTGATCATAGTATTTAACTATACTCCACCTCTTATCTCTCCTGCTCTGGCTCTCTTGTACAGCCCCTTCACATCCCTCTGCTCACAGACATCAAGTGGGGCATCCACGAACACTTCAAAAAAGGGCAGCCCAGCGGCCTCGTGGATCTTCCTGGCATTAAGGCGATCCTGAAAATAAACAGGCAGAGAGGTACATGTGATTTTGGCATCATTCACTCCAGTGTGCAGTATATCAGGACCCACTGCAGAGGGAACAGGCCAGAAATAACTCCTAACAGGAGGAGGCATTAAAGGGTCTGAAACAAAGACTGTTCATCATGAACCAGAAAGCTTCAAAGTAACGTAAAGAAGGTAAAATGAGAGCTCCAGAAGCTGAGAATGAAGAGAAGCATGTCGCTGTTACTCATATAGGTTGCCTGCTAGGTTCGAGTTTTAGGGTATCAACAAAGAAAAACTGTCTTTTATCATGCTGAATCATGCTTTACCAATTTCAGTTGCTATAAACCCTGCATTAGAACACAAATCTTCTCTAAACCTGAAGCAAAGGTGGAGAGAATTAACAGTTTTGTTGACACCTAATTTTAATACTAAATTTGTACTATTGTATTCGTGGGGGTCAAACCGCCAATGTCATGATGAATTTAAAATGCTTTTGTTGGAGAGCCACTCACCCTGCTGTAGGGAGAGATAAAGCTGGCGATGCAGACGAGCCCAGCATCAGCAAAAAGCCGAGCCACTTCAGCAATGCGCCTAATGTTCTCTTCCCGGTCCTCTGGGCTGAAGCCTAGGTTTTTGTTCAACCCCTGACGAATGTTGTCCCCATCCAGTGTGTAACAAGGGATACCATGGCACACCAGGTACTCCTCCAGAGCCATGCTCACTGTGGTCTTCCCTGCACCGGACAAACCTAGCAAGGAAGAAAACAAAATATTTGTGAGGCTTTAAGGAGATGAAAAAGGACATGAACAAATGTATGACATCTTAAAACTTACCAGTCAGCCAAACAGTGCAACCTCTGAACCCTCCTCTTGTGCCTACAACCTGCCCTCGCTTATTTCGACTGACATGATGAGCTTGATAGGTGACATTCGTGGCACGTTGCATTCCCTAGAACCAAGTCAAGGCGAGTTTATATATAAAGCACCTTTAAGAAGACAGCAGTCAATCAAAGTGCTGTGCATAGGATAAATGCAAGAAGTAAATATTACAATAAAACAGTTAAAAACAGTGGAATGATATACAGACAGTAAAAGAATAAAAGCTACAGTGCCAAGGAATTGTGTTATTTAAGTTTTGAGAAACACAGTTAAAGCAGGTAGATAACATTAATAGACACTTTTAATATCAAAACACTTCATTTACTCATCTCATCTTAAAGGGGGATTCAAAACATGGCCTATAAGAAGGTTTGAGGCTACACCATATTACACAGAAAGCTCTGGACTTAAATTCAGAGCCAGATGTTGGCATTTTGTTTCATTGCGCCTTTTTTGCTTTTTGTTATATTTTAAAACAACTATTTATTGTTGTTTTATGTTTTAATGTTATTATGTACAGCACTTTGTGTCAGCTTTGGTTGTATTTTAAGTGCTCTATAAAAAAAGAGTTGGGTTGAGTTGAGAATTAGTTACATTTTCAAGCCTATTGCAGTACTAGTTTGACAATAGAATATCAAAACACAGAGAAAATTGATGTATTAACTCGCCAAAGCCTAAAATTATTCATAAATATTTCAGTCATCGGAAGTACTAATTCTAACTGCTTTGAGGCATTCATTCCGAACCAAACTTTATCGAATAACAGTTACCGATTACTCCTAGACTGAAATTAAGGTGTGTTTTTCGTTTTTAGTTGGTTATTGTTCGAGTAACCGAGCAAAATCGTAATCTGATGGCAGTAAGATATGTATAACATTAAAAATTGGTCAACCCTTCGAGCTGAGAGGTATGCTGGCACTATCCGAGCTAATGTAATAACTGTTCGGACATGAAGCAAACTATTTCAAACCATACTGTTAACCGGTTAGCAAGGACTCTGTTAGCAACAATGTCGATTAACCGTGGAGCAAGTGTCTACATATTCTTACGGTGCATTATAAAGCACGGTAAGTAACTAGCTGTCTGATTAGTTGGCCTATTTATCCACGGGGGTAGTGGGTAGTGGAGTTGAATAGGCGTGAAAAGAAGAACTCGGCCAAAGAAAACTCACCCAGCTCTCGGGAGCATTGCTTAGCTTCTGTTTCTTGTGGGAGCTACCGTACGTCTCCATGGCTTGATTCGGTTAATGGCGGAATAAACCGGTAACCTCTTTAAAAACAACGAAATGACAAACAGTTCGTGAAAGACTTGACTTTATAAATATTTGTACGTGTAGGTATCTCCAGTGAATGGAGAAGCCCAACGCCGGGTAGTCTCGCTTCCACCACAGCCGGGGGAGAGCTTCCACAGCAGCCACGTAACCGGGGACGGAGTGACGTACTTCCTCCGTTAGTCAACGGTCGCTATGGCGAAAAAAAAACTGTAAAAAAAACTGATCTGATGTCAGTCTCCTTTACTGCACAGTAGGTGACTCAATGACTCAGCTGATCCATTACAGGTGTTATGCCGTAGAATGCACCCCTGCCGTAGAATGCACACCTGACGGGAGCGCGGTTAGGCGAAATAAACTAAGTTTTCCTTACCGTTGGGTGAATTCAAAAGCGTGCGCCTTTAATAATGATTTCAGATAAACCGAAAACAATAGCCCTCTGATTCAGAATATTTGTTCCCGAAAATATAATGTTCTCGTCCTTGACAGCTTACTGTACAGTTAATATACCGAAGTACACCTCTATATGTGCATTTTTGAGACACATAAAAACAGAACGAAAGTTTGCTGCTCCATTTGACATGTTGTCATGATCCAATACTCGAGTTTGAGATCATTTTCTTCCACTTTAAGAAGCTAGTGAGTGGATGGGATGCAGGGGATGCATTCTTCGGCACAACACCGGCAGGCTTACACAAATGGGTTTACATTTGTCAATTAGATGTAATGCATTTGACTTCGTGATGTTGTTAAAATTAAAACTAATTTTAAATTTACTTAGCTAGATGTAAAAATGATAGTAATAAATAAATAAAAAGATAAAGAAAGATATAAATCAAGGACCACATGAAATTGTTTAAATAAAATGAGATACTTAAAAAAGCCTCATATAGAATCCCAGAATATCCCAACAAGAAAACATCAACATTTTGCTACTCCACCCAAGATAGAAAAAAAGTGAGTGTTTCCGGACACCTATTTTAAAGTGAACCTTGTAACAGGGTGAAGCTGGCGCAGATTACAGAGGACAGTGACTTCAGATTAGAGGGGATGCTCGGCAGGGGGCGGGATACAAGGTTGGATGGATGTGAAACACGGGCTGTGTAATAACTGGACGTAGCGTCGGTGACGTGACATGATCTGAGAATACACGCTGGGTGGGAGCTGGGAGGAGCGCTCCCTCAAAAAAGCGAGCGGCACTGTGATGAGACATAGCGGCGCAGTCTGAGAGGAGAGCAGCGATCAGCCAGCACGCAGCAACCAGGGATCCAAGGAGCTGCAAGTACAGGAAGAGGCGCTAGGAGGCCCGAGGAAGGCAGGCAGGTAAGCAGCTGTAGACGGTGCAACATGTGATTCTTGTTTTTTCAGTTGCCTAATGTGTTGTCAAGATGTGATCTGTTATGATACGTTGAAGCTGAGATGTTTTGGTGTTCTTAAAAGCTACACAACTTTTTGAATCTGCCTTGTTTACAGTAACAAGGATAATAAAGGGGAGGTGGCAGTCCTAAATGTTCTGTTGTAGCACAAGGCCTCTGTTTTCTTAAAATTATGGCAAAAAAGTTTTATCCTCTGGATCAATAGGTAAGATAACAGAGAAACTGTTACACATGGCTTCAACTCAAAACAGCATTTTTGACAGTGAAGACTGTGGCCAGCTATGAGCATGCTGCAATCTTATGGCACAGCTGTCTTGCTTTAATTTCATTGCAATAATTCAGTTACCAGCTATCAACTGCTCTAGCTCTGACTGAAAAGGAGAAAGCTTAATTACAGGACATGAATGACCTGTTGCCCCACCCAGTAGCCTCATGTGGAACATGGTGGTTAACACAGTGTGTGGGTCCACTGTGCTACACCCCAAAAGTAAACTTCAGAACCGGCTGCTCGACACACATGTGACGAACTACCACCCTGTAATATATGGGATGCTTGGGAGACACCCTGTCTTTCAACCTGACATTACTGGCAGTACCCACCCCGCATGTGGTTACAGCACCCAAAAAAGTAGGGATGGCTTGATGTTCAGTGTGGTTGTGTTGTCTTGTACACCATAAAACTGGCTGTTTTCAACAAACACAGCAAAATTTATTTGTTCTGTCAACAAATGATATGCATTTGCGTGTGTTTGATGTTCAGCTTTGCAGAGGGGACTAGTGCTACATGGTTGTCATGAGATCCAGCAGAAGAAGTGGTTTCTCAAACAGTTTCTCTCTGTCATACACATTAGTCATGACACATCTGTTGGCAAATGAGTATATGACATTATTGTTCATGAACAACTTGTGTCAAAGCTAGTATAATCTGAATTTCTACGATAACCGCAGGTATAGCTACTTTTCTTTTTTTCACCCTGGCTTTACTAAACAAGGTGTCATTGACTATACCCAATACCTACTCTGTATATTCAATGACACAAGTGCCCTTAACATTTTAGAGGCGAAACTGTGCTGTTGGCTTGATTACATGAAGTAAACTGCCTTAAAAACTTTAACATTCAAGAGTTTAGGTCGATAATAAGCTAATATGATAGGATGCGTTTTCTTTTTTTAACTTATCCATGAATAATGCACTTTTTATTCAAATCTCCCACGAGGAACTTTGTTTTGGTGACTGTGTACAAAGACATACCTCTTATCTTGTTGCTGATTTAGTTTTATGTACATGTGTTCTTCTATTTTTCATTATAAATGTCAATCTTGTTTCCTAAAAGAGACAGACTTTAAACTTTTTAGGAGCTTTTGTTTTGGAAAATGTAAAAACAGGTTGTATTAATATAACCTGTTTTTACATTTTTAACACCTCATCTGACACCTACCCCTTGCATGTGGTCAGGTATTAAAATAGTAAACTAATCTCATTCTGCCGATGCTCTTGTTTACTTTTGTGGCTCATAGAGGGACATCAGTAATGATACTAATCTGTTTCAAAACCCTCTAGAAAGTCATCACAGGAGCCTAAAGTAAACAAAATCAACTCTGTACACTATAGCCAGAACAAAATAGGCCAGCAAAGAAAAAGTACATTTCATAACACAACATTTATAACATAATACAGAGCCTCAAACTGCCTCAGAATCGCTAAAGTGCTGTACAAACTTGTGTCAGGCGCTTCTATCTCATCTTTCTTTGTGAGATTTTTAAGTCCTCTGATCTTTTACTGACATCAAGCAGCATATGAGATAAACAAAGATAAAACTGCCCTTATTGTTCTGCTGAACTCGCTTTTTAAAGGCTTAATTTACATCAAGTATATCTTACAGCATTTGTAGTCAGCTCTCCTTTCTGTAGAGAGGGCAGGGTCACCTCTGATGAGACTTATTTAAACATTTCCTTTGATGAAAACAATCCACATGATGTGAAGAAGAAAATGAGTGGACAGCAATAACAGCATGTCATTATAGAGGCCCCAAAATGGAGTCGTAGCCCTGCTAACCCTGGAGTAAAATACAGCCTCCGAGGCAGCCGTGTGGCTTCTCTTGAAATAGCTTGTGAGAGCGGAGGCAGCCAAGTTATCCATTATAGACTGTGACCATGTGGAAGAGTTTTTTTTCTTTTTTTCTGCCAGTTTTCCATCACCACCCAACCCTCTAGAGTGCTGGGTGCTCCAGATGATGGGAAAACACAGCGTACTGTACGTTAGGGAGGAAAGGACCAGTGGAAAACCAGCCTAATGGAGACACTGTGCTGACCTCCCATGAACATAACACAGGAATTCACATAGAGAGAACTACAAAATAAGTATCTTTAATGTCCTTTTATGTCACACTGATCTATCACAAGCACATTAACTACAAAATATAGCCAACAATCGGACTATTATTGTAGGCTATTGCAACTATGATGGACAGTAAAGTCAAAGTATACAGCATAGTTACCCTAAATAAGCCAAAAGTCACAGGATTCACAGACTGCCATCACAAAAACAACTGAAACTATATTTACAATATCCTGACAGACCTCCCACATTAAGGTGAAAAATAGCCTCTGAATTTAACAAGTGTGTCTCGCTATTAAGACTGTTTAACTTCATCCTGTTGTTTATGATGACAATCTTTTTTGTAACTTGGATTGGGTATAGTAGAAAGTTATCTATTTTCTTTTCAGCTAACATCCTAAGTACTTAGCATAAAATTGTCACAGCTATTGAACTTGCATGTGTGTGCAATAAGGCTGCAAAGATGGACATTGATGCTAACAGAGACTGAAAAGGCCAGATATAAAACAAACAAGCCTCTAAGAAATAATGTGTCAAGAAGTGAGAGGAAGACTTAAGTTTAATCACCATATTAACTCCTAATGATCTTGCTTGATTGGAAAAAATACCAATTGAGTAAACATTGCATTACATATGCAGCAGATAACAATTTTCACACCAACTGGAAACAATGTCCACAAGGCTGTGTGTTGGGAGAGAATGTTTATCATAAGATTTGTCTTGAGTTCAGACAGTTTTTTCTCTACAAATTCTTACAAATCATTGTAACCAAGTACACTGAGCTTCTCAAAATTGACCAAAGGTCTGACTTCAGTACCTGAACTTTTTGATTGGCAGTGTATTGTGTGGTGCATCTCTGACTCCTGAAGAACAAGGTTAACTTTGGCCAAAAGGGTTTTTGACCACACCTTTAAAAAGACACCCCAGTGGGGCAATGGGAAAGTTACATTTAAAGGACTATTTCTACCAATTTGTGGCAGGGGTTGGTGAATTTGGCTAATTTTCTAGGGACTCCTCTAGGCTTAACTGCTCCTCAAGGTATAATTTAAATTACCGTATCTTTGGTTTATAGGTAGAAGAGACCTCATCCATTGAAAATATTGATTGACTCCAGGGAAAAGTCAAAAGACTTGACCTTAGCAACTCATGAAAGTTTGACATCTGAAATACAACATATTTTTCAAGTATTTCTTGGATAACACTTGGGCATTCAATATACTGACTTTTTTTATTGATGTAAAAAATAAAAAGGAAGGAAACTTGAGGCTACTGAAGGATGTGGTTCAGGTATTCTTAAAATCAACAGGACGTGTTCAGATTTCCTCACTCCCATGCAGACACTTTGCAACTCTCAAAATAAAGAGGCAGCCTAAATGTCCTCGATGTGCTGGAACACAACTTGTAGCAGATGTTACCCTAAAGCTGTAACATGATCTCATTAGTTTTATAAGGAGCGTGGCATTGCCTTATATTGTTTTTCCAGCCTTGTTGATCTTATTTACCATCTTGGTCAGTTTAAATATACCTTGTTACCAACTTCTTTAAAGTCTGTCTGGCTCTCTGTTCTACGCCCATCCGTCAGTTGCTTGGTCTGTTCTGGGTTAGTCACAGGGCATTCTCCTTCAGAACAAGCCTCTTTACAATGCAATAATAATTTCCTAACAATTGATTTTGAAGAAACCGATCCTTTCAGCAGCTCTCTTGTATCTAGCAATGCTCTATTTCTATCCCATCCTCTGTGCTAATGCCAGTGTTTTTCCTCCACACGTAAACATACCGTTCTGTATGTATCCCAGATGACATTTATTGTGATACATTTCAGAGCTGATGGCAGTATCCTCGAATCCATTAATGGAGCTGTTAGAAGCCTTTTAGACACGAAAGAATGAAAATGGTCATTGGTATAGTGCGCTCTCAAGCCATTAACTGGAAAGAGCTCAACAACAAACATTGCACTAGTTCACCTCCCGCTTTGTTGTCTTTTGCTGTCTCCTGTGAGTAATTATTTACCTTTACCGCCAACAGTTCCTACTTTCTTTTACTTTTGTGCTTCCACTAACAAAAGTTTAATTTGTTTCATTGGATTCACTTAGTTTGGATAGGTTTTATTCTTTCTGCTTGTGTCTTTATTGATGTGAGGACAATCTTGCTGAGGGTGGGCAGTAGATTAAAATAGAATCTGTGTCACGTGACTTTCTTCAGCAATTTGCAGGTTGTGAATGATTTGCTCCAGAAAATACTATGACAGTGGGGAAACATGGTTTGATCAAAAGTACCTTTAAGGATTTTACATGAATCAATATTGTTACAAGGTTTTACTAACATCTCCAATATGTCAAGATTTTCTGTTTTAATACATTCTCTTATGTTGGCTTTCTCCTCATTTCTTAAAACTTTAAGTGGTAGAAGGTACTTTCCTCTGTAAAGATGTAGCATTGGTCTATAAAAATCCGCTGTGACCATGGTAACAGCTTGTTTAGGACAAAATCTGTGTGTTGGAAAGACTTTGGAGGACCCAAAATAAGAGTCAAGACGAAAGTCCAAACAGAAAAGTGACATGGCGGTTCTGGTGAATGTCCAGAGAACGGAAAACATAACACACAGTGTGAACTCATACTGCCACATTGAGATCGGCCGACTCCTTGAAATAGCTTTTCTGACTGAAATGGACATTTAGCCTGTGGGATGCACTATCTTGTATTAATAAAATCTCGGTCTCCGACATTGCTTTCCCCGACGTTAAGGAAGGAAAGAAACAGAATTAATGACGGTTAATCTCAACCTGTTTCTCAACATATAGATACAGCACTCTTAATGCAACCAAGCAATAGCTATTTATCTATGGGCTCCACTATCTTGTTCAATTCAAAGATTGTTTTGTTTGTGTTTCTAATCTGGTGTCTTTTCTCATGGCAGCTGAAAAGCCTCAACCCAAAAGAGTGGTGTCTGTGGATGGACAGTGCAGGCACCAATGGCATCACAGGAGCTTGTGAATGCGAGAGACTCTGCCACTGACAATCTAAACCCAGGAATGGAGGGTGGTGCTGTGTCTAGCAGCACTAAGACCTGTCCTGTCCACACTCCAGGTGGAGAGGACTCAAAAAGGGGCTTTCGAAAAGGCATAGGGAGGCACAATGACTATGTGAAGATCTCTGTGCCAGACTCTAAGGTCAATCGTCTGCCAATGGAGTGGTGGAAGACAATGGTTGCCTTCTTTTATGCCGGTTTTAACTTGGTCCTGACCACAGTCGTCATCACAATTGTCCATGAGAGGGTCCCACCAAAAGAGAACAGCCCGCCACTTCCAGATAAGTTCTTCGACTATATCGACAGGGTCAACTGGGCTTTCACTGTAACAGAGATCAACGGCATGGTGCTGCTGGCCATTTGGCTGATTCAGTTGTTCTTCTTCAGATATAAGTAAGGACCTTTGGCAGTCTTGTCATAAATTTCCCTAGGTTGCTACATTGGTGACTTTTATTTATTATACATATTGATTTTGAGTAAGAAAAAATACAATGTGTGTGTCTTAATGTAGTGCTACTTAGAGTCTGCAAGGCCAAAACCCTTGAAAATTTGACCACAGATCAGGGTGTGTAGATTCACCTTTTTCCTGTTTAGATTACATAATGAAGAAATGGTGTTTTGCGGTTGTGCTGCAGCCTGTAAATGCCTTATCCTGTTACTCAGGGTTAGTGCAAGTATCGACAGTCTTCCCTGTATGACTGTTCTACATGAAAGAAAGCAGCCTTTCTAACATTGAACTGACACTAAAATCACATAGATAAAAAGGAGGCTGAGATATTTTGACTTAGATTCAATTCTGCAATTAAGCCAGTTATTTCTGGCCATTTTTCTCTTTAAATCAAGATGCAGAAAAAAACATCTGACAACAGGACAGGCATAGTAATTTCAGCAAAATCATCATTACAGTTTTTAACCTTGTTTCATGGAGGATTTCCGTTTGTAGCCTGGTTAATGGACATCTACTCACCAGTTGATCAATCACGTCATGCAAGATACTCACCAGACTCTCATCCTTTGTGTGCCAGTGTATGAGGACAGCTGAATTATCATTAGACCTTAACAGTTATATATTAACAAGTTTTTCATTGTAATATTTCTCTTTGCAGATCAATAGCAAGCAGGCGGTTCTTCTTTCTCATTGGCACTCTGTACTTGTACCGCTGTGTCACTATGTACATCACCACCCTGCCCGTACCTGGCATGCACATGACTTGTGCTCCTAAGGTGAGTAGCATGAAAACATCAGAGGCAGCATCAGCTGTCGTCACTCAGCCGTGTACTCTCATTCACCCTCTGGGACTCATTTTGCACAACCATGCAAGAGAGGCAGCTATAAAAAAGCCATTTTAACTTCAACTGCCTCAGGACACTGGCAATATTGAGGTGCATCAGTGTTTGATCCAAAACATGTGCTCCAGGGCAGTTGTTTGCTGGGTTGTGTTGTGCAAAAGGATGAGAAGTCAGACAGCAAAGTAGTTTTTCTGTTATCAATGCCTCCGAAAGGGTTTGAAAGCCTTTGGCTGCTTGTTATCTTCAGTTATTTACATTTAAGTTGTCAGAGCAACAAGCACACGATCACACAATTCATGTGTTATTTATGATGTTGTCATGTTTTTGACCAGTTCAAAGAATCTTGCTTATCTGTAAAGGATGGCTGAAAGTTTAAAGGAATTATTTGCTGTTGTATAAGAAACTGAATTCTTTGCTGTCTTACAACCAATGAGATGGAAGGGTTAACACTGCTATAATGTATGTAAAGTGTATCTGAAACTACAGCCATTTAGCTTAACAGTTAGCCTGACTCTATCTACTGATCACATGATGTGTCTATGTACAAAGTTACAAATACCTAATTATCATTTCTATGGGCACCACAGAAAAGTGTGATCTAAGGCTGCAGATTGCAGAGTTTGTGGAATTATTTGTCAGTAGCTGAGGTACAATCAGTCTCCTTGGATTGCCATGTAAGTGTTGGTGATCCTAAAACTGGCCAGCTATTGTTTCTCTTTAAATTGTTTTTATTGTGAATCAACAAATCCTAACTGTTATGAATGTTCTCTGTGTTTATATTAAGCAGCAATACAAGAACAATTGTCTGGTTGTATACCCAAAACAAATATTTGAAGATGTAATCTTTGTCTCTGGAAACTGGACGGACTTTTTCTGACAGAACAGATAACAATTACATGAGGATTTGTAATAATTAGGACTGATGATAATCCTCGATGGCAGATCGAATGTTGCTGCAAATCCTGTAATGATCTGTTTATCCCTCTCTATGTCCACTTCCTGTTTTTCCATTAGCTCCATGGAGACTCCCAGGCAAAAATCCAGCGAATCTTGCGTCTTGTCTCAGGAGGAGGTCTGTCCATTACGAACTCCCATCTCTTGTGCGGAGACTTCCTGTACAGTGGGCACACGGTGATGCTCACTCTCACCTACCTGTTCATCAAGGAGTGTGAGTACTTAAGAGGCTGTTTGCTACTATGGAATATTTATGTGAATGTCTCATTAATGATGTATGAACACATGGAAACTTCATGAGTGTACATGTGGAAAATTATGACATGTTGCCACTATAACAGTTTTTTTCCTGGGGGATCCTTCCCAAAAGGATCAGTAAAGTTCAAATTCAATTATTTCTACATGACAACAGATATGTTTTATCTTTGAATACTATGATGTCGAGTGATAACACCATAAGCGTATGCAAACAACTTTGGCAGTTTCATGATTTCTCTGAAACAGTGTTAAGACCTTTGAATTAAACTTTTTAGCCATTTTAGGGCTGTAGCATTTGCTGTTGATTTCTGCTTTATTATGCTTGAGTGTTTACTATATTTGTCTTCCATACTGTATAAGTTAATGATGTTAAAACCTTCATTTCAAACCTTCATTTGTGAACATAAAAATAATCTATAAGGAGAAGATTGTTGTCGTAAATATCCGCAACACTCTTGTTTCCCTTTTTCTATTTCTCTTTAGACTCACCGAGGTCATTTTGGTGGTATCATCTGATGTGCTGGCTTCTGAGTGCTGTGGGTGTAGTGTGCATCCTGGTGGCGCATGAGCACTACAGTGTGGATGTGGTCGTGGCCTATTTCATCACCTCTCGTCTCTTCTGGTGGTACCACACCATGGCAAACTTACAGGTCTGAACACAGAGCTGAACAATGAGTGGCTGTTTGTGTGTGTTAAAAAGTCTAAATAGTTTAAAGCATGTAAACACATTATTCATACAGCATAGAGGACATTTTCCTCTTTACTCAAAGCTGGATGTCGTTCACAGTGTTTACAACAAGTTTAGAAGCAAGAAGTTTATGTTTCCAGGACAGAGTCTGTGTGCGACAGATAATTGAATGCTTACAGTAGTTATATTTTTAGACACTGTGTTAGACTTTTCCTTCAAGCTGTCAGTATGTGGCATTCACTGAGCTTCACCCCCTCTACTGGCCAAAAACAGTGTTACATACAACCATGAATATCATGATTTACATCTTAACCTTCATCACTGCTGTAAAGATTAGCCATATTGTTTCAGACAACATTTTAAATCACATTGTAGGATGCTAATTTAAGTATTCATATATTACTATTTATTTCCCTGTATTCACATAACTTTGTATCTATGATTGTGTTTATCCACCATCAAAGGCAGCTGCACATGCTTCACAAATAGATTCTTTGCATTCTGTTAGGTTATTTCATTTGAGAGAGTGCTAAATGAATGAGAAATACTTCTTTACAGCTGTTAATCTAAGCATGTATCTCTCACTTTCCTGACAGACTCTGAAGTGCTCGCCCAACAACTACCTCACCAACACCTGGTGGAACCCATTTTTCAACTTCCTGGAGAGGAACGTCCAAACCTCTGTGCCATGCTCATACAGCTGGCCCATCACCTGGCCACCTGCCTGCCTTAAGAGCCCTTGCAAGAAGTACTCCAAGGTTCAGAGCACACGAGAGGAGTGATGTGACCCTGAAGCCCAATCAGTTTTGCCTGATAATCCACAGAGGGGATATTCCTTCAGCCAGTCTTACCAAATGGACAGGAACGTGAGAGTACTAAAGTATAACTGCTTTGGGAGAAATGTTTCTGCAAATCAATCAAGAAGGGTTAATGTGTTTTTTCTGTGTATTCTTTGTATTTGTAACTTATTTATGTAATAAAGTCCTACGAAGTCATCTTTGTTTTAGTATCTGATAAATGTGTCAACTCCTAGTGGTGGTCAGTTAAAATGCAAATGTATGTTCATTATGTTTGCAGATCTTTTTTTGTTATTTTTTAATCTGCTGCCGTGACTCATTGGTGCGTGTTGGCAGGATTTACCTCATTATGTTTTTAATATGCTCCAGTCACAAGGTGCCTTAGTGTGTTCAATCTCAGTATTCGATCCAAAACAGAATCTTTTTTTTTTCTACACGAGTTTTTTTTATATTATCAAAACTGTATCCATGTTAGTAGCTTTGAGTTTGTACTGTAAACTGTGGCTGTACCCATGGTAAATTGTATTAAAATCTCCTTATACTTCTGGTTTTGTGTAATTTTTTCAGTTTGATTCTATCTGTCACTGAATAATTCATAGTTTTGTTTTAAAGTATTTACTAAAATATATAAAGACACACATCAGACGTGTGTAAACTTGGATTTGCGCTGTAAGAACCGACTTTACATTGCAAAATACATATAAATGTAAATATCTCACCAAATCTGTTCGTGAATTTTAATCACAGTTTTAATATTTATTCCAATTTTGATGGTTAACAATGTTCAAAATTATTTAATCTCATGACTGTTTGGACCATAAAGGTGTAGAAATTGGCATTATTTAGCAGAGCTGACTTGGTTTAAATTGTTTATAATATACATATGTATGTTTAAATTGGCATGTACATTCACCTGAACATAAAAATAGTTTGGGTTACTTACAATGAGCCTTTTATGTCCACACAGGAAGGGGTCCCCTTCCACAGAGGTAGTCATCATGTTTCTGCGGTTGAACAAAACAGACTGGTAACTTACTCTATAAAGTATTAGATTGTGGCTGTGTAAATTTACTAGCTGGAAGCGAAAGAAGAGGAGAGTGGTTGTTGTGTGGAAAAATATTTGTGTGGATTGATGTCCTTGATGGTAAGGATCATACTTAGCATGCATCACAAGGGCTATTTGTCCTCAAAGGTCGCCATAGCTACCCTTACATAGGGCGGAACAGGCGAGCATTTTAGCCCAGAATATAACTTCTGCATCTCTATTGGAGATGTTACATTATCAAACTACTCGAGTGAGAACCGGTCTTCAAGATAACCATGACCTGGATGAATGAGAATCTACATGGACATTAACATTTTTTTTCATGTCTTTATTTTTACCAGTCAACAGTTGTCTGTAGCCGGCATGTTTTTCATTGTGCCACAAAGTTTTTAGGTGAGGGAAAAAATCAAATGAATGATCTCATTGTCAAAGCATGGGGATATAGCACCACCCTATGGAGTGTTTACAATTATCCCTTCAAAGAGCCATAAGGTCCATCTCTAAATGTATTTCCTTTTCTACATACTGTACCTTTAAAGACGAGAGGGAAGGCTGAATTGCACCAATCACAGCGGGTCGCGGCTCCCAGCCAATAGGAAGCCAGTATCGGCACCACGTTAGCTCTTGCCATTTCACAACAACTCAGGAAGAGCGTCTTTGGATCAGCTGCCCCCGTGAGCACAGCCGGTGTGTCTCTTAAGATGATGGTTGTTGAAGGTCTTTTTGGAAACTCTCAAAATGGGCTAGAATAACCATCTCACCGATTTTTCTCCCTTTAGCTTTGACATCATGGTGTCGCTGCCATGCTCTGTCAGCTCTGTACTTTCTCATGAAAACATTGTAGCTTTCATTGTTTTCTTGTTGGTGTACTATCTACTTCGTTTCTATAAGAGTCGGAGGCTCCTCTTAAACATTCCTCCAGGTCCAAAGCCGTGGCCTATAGTGGGAAATTTCGGTGGTTTTCTCATCCCATCTTTCATCCAGAGGAGGTTTGGACAGCAACCATCCACCAGCGACAAAACTGCCGTGGGTGTTTTAACGGAACTCACTAAGCTGTATGGAAATGTCTACAGTCTGTTTGTTGGCAGTCAACTGGTTGTTGTTCTTAATGGTTATGAAGTGATCAGGGATGCTTTCTCAAATCACCCTGAGGTGTTCTCCGACAGACCTGATATCCCTGCTATCTCCATCATGACCAAACGCAAAGGTAAGCATGTGTTAGCATCACAGCCACAACAAGCCATTTCCATGGTCAGAGTAGAGCATGCTATTGACAAACATTTACGCCACTCTACAGCCACAAATAATGCTCAGAACAGCACCTAACTTCATCAACAGTACATATAGGGTCCTAGCCACCAAACATCTTTTTGACTTTGCCTAATTTCTTTAGCAAAGGAACTAAACACAACTCACCCACTTTCTTATAGCAGCCGCTTGTTCGTAGCGAGACCTCAGGCCAGTCCATTACAGACTACAGCGGGGTGACGCAGCTCAAGGAAGAACATTTATGATAATTTCTTCATGGCAATGCAATCAGACCGATACGCCCAGGCAGAAGAACTACCACGTCTGCAGTGCAAAATGATTAATGTGCTGATTATTACTTAAAGGAAATTATAAAGAAATGATCATAAATGTTCTTCCTTGAGCTGCGTCACCCCGCTGTAGTCCGTAATGGACTGGCCCGAGGTCTCGCTACAAACAAGCGGCTGCTGAAAGAGAGTAGGTTAGTTGTGTTTAGTCCCTTTGCTAAAGAAATCAGGCAAAGTTAAAAAGATGTTTGGTGACTAGTGTAATGGCTGGGACCCTATATGTCCTGTTGATGAAGTTAGGTGCTGTTCTGAGCATTATTTGTGGCTATAGAGTGGCTTTTTGGTTGAGGTTTGTTTATGGCTCCTCAGACCACTGTGTATTGCTATCATGCGGTCGTTACTAAAGTTGGTATAACTAGAGAAGCAAGCAGTCTGCAACATTCATCTCTCGGGGGGGTATCTAACTCGGTGTTATGGTGTGTTTGACCCTAAATTAGTTTTATGCCGGAATATCCCTTAAAGGAAGATCAGAGAATGCCAGTGTAGCCCATAAAGTTCTGTGATGAGTGAAGTTTTTCCTATGTGCAATTTTAGCCTCAGTGTCCGGATCCAGAGAGGTGACAAGTGACACTTGCTTCAGTCTTGCTTACCTCAGTTTTCTCCTGTGTCATTTAGGAATCGTCTTTGCACCTTACGGGCCAGTATGGAGGAAGCAGCGCAAGTTCTGCCACACCACCCTTCGAAACTTCGGCTTTGGGAAGCTGAGCTTGGAGCCGTGCATCTTGAAAGGCCTGGACACCATCAAATCAGAGCTTCTGCGACTGAATGAGGAGTCTGGTGGTGCTGGTGTGGATCTGGCCCCGCTGATCAGCCATGCTGTGTCAAATGTCATCTGCTCCCTAATCCTGGGTCAGCGCTTCCATCATGAAGACCGCGAGTTTCGCAGCATGCTGCACCTGATGGACCGGGGGCTGGAGATCTGTGTGAACAGCCCTGCAGTCCTGATCAACGCCTTCCCTTTTTTTTACCATCTACCTTTTGGGGTCTTCAGAGAGTTACGGCAAGTGGAGAGAGACATGACAGCATTTTTAAAGAGGTTTATAGCAAAACACAGGGAAACATTAGATCCTGAGAACCCCAGGGATCTGACAGACATGTACTTAATTGAGATGTTGGCCCAGCAAGCTAACGGAAATGCAGACAGCAGCTTCACTGAAGATTATCTTTTTTACATAATAGGAGATCTCTTTATTGCTGGCACTGACACCACTGCGAACTCAGTGCTGTGGGTTCTGCTCTACTTGATCCTACACCCAGATATTCAAGGTAATGGTTCCTATGATACACTTATTCCAACCTTTGCAGATTGCTGAGCTGTTTTCATGATTCAAGCACTGTGTGTGGTTTGCTTGTGAAAGCTGATCTTTACGGTGACCTTGGAGAAAAGCTGTTGGTCCAACACATAAGGTTTCTGAACTCTCTTTTACAGCTCCGTCTGAACTTTGTGATCATAATATTAGACTTTTTTCTTGGCCACTAACCTCTCTACTTAGAGTTACTGAGGCAGATTTTCAGAGGTGTTGTACATAAAGCATGGATGACCGTTATTTTAAAGTTCAACATTTTCCTTTTTTAATATGTTTCAATTCACTCAGAATGTCAAAAGATAAACATCTTTGGAAATTGTTTTTTTTCGGATGACAGCAAAACGTTTTTCTCTGGTTCTATTATTCAAATGTCTGTGTTTGACAGAATTTAATGTTTGGTTTAATTTTATGCTTCTCTCAAAATCTGTAACATTTCTCCAAACTTCAGATTTAATTGTCCCTTAGGGGGAATTAGTCCTTGAATTAAGTGCTGAAAATGCTCAACTGCATCCACAGTGGTACTAATAAATAAGAGAAAGACTTCTCAGGGAGGTCATTTAAGCTGAAAAAATATTAATTTTTTTGTTTGTTTTCTTTTGGCCATCTGTATTTAACAATTTTGAAAAACAGTTTTTTTTTGGCATTTACCAGAATAATAATATCTTAACTCAGGGAGGGTACAGAGACATCAGTCTTAATGCATAAATCAATCAGCTTAGCTTTGTTTGATGTTTTGTCAGGTGTTCACCAGCTCAGTACTTAACTGAGTAAATTGAGGTTTGCCTGTTTTGTACAAGAAAAAGGATTTTTCATATTTCCTTAAAAAATATATGACTCAGATACTTACTTTTGTCTAGACATCCAAATGTCTGGCTTGGTTCTGCTTTTAACCACTTCTTTACTCATTTCTCAACCTCATTGTATGTCTTGACATAACTCTTTATTTTTATCTATTTGTTGGATTGAAAACTTACATAATCATGCAGAAACATTCCGGCTTTTCCTGCGCTGTTTGAATTTCAGACAAAGTCCAGGCAGAGATTGATGAGGTGGTCGGCACACAGCGAGTCCCGTCTTTGACTGATAAGGGAAGTTTGCCATTTACTGAAGCCACCATCATGGAGGTGCAGAGACTGACTGTAGTGGTCCCGCTCGCGATTCCTCACATGGCCTCAGAGACAACAGGTACTCCCTCACTCCCACACCACTTAGTTTTTTTCAAAGTTAATGAATCCAAGGCAGTATTTGATCTCATGGATAACAATCATCACTGTGGTTTTCTACGCTCTTTTTCAGAGTTCAGAGGCCACACAATTCCCAAAGGAACAGTTGTGCTGCCCAACCTGTGGTCTGTCCACAGAGACCCCACTGTGTGGGACGACCCGGACACTTTTAATCCAGCACGCTTCTTGGATAATGAGGGAAATTTGATGAGGAGAGAGTACTTTATACCATTTGGGATCGGTATGACATTGCTAAATGATATGAGCTAACTAACAGAAACTGTAATCCATAAATGAAGGAATCTCAAATGTTTTATCTCCTGTTCTGTCAGGTCGCAGAGTCTGCATGGGTGAACAGCTGGCAAAGATTGAGCTGTTCCTGACAGTCACCTGCTTACTGCAGAGCTTCACATTCAGACTCCCAGATGGGACACCTCCTCCTTCTCTGCGTGGACGCTTTGGTCTGACACTGGCACCTGCCTCATTTTCTGTGTGTGTGAGTCCACGCATATGAAACCAAGCAAGACACTGTTTTCACAGTTCTTCTGAGAACTGGGTGTTCATTTGATTTAATGGAGTTTTCTCCAAAGGTGCAGATAAGGATTGACCTGTGAACAACACTCTGAAGTTCTTATGACTGAAAATTACATAACACTGTCATTTATTTGATGATTAATCTGAAGTCTTAGTACCATACAGTATGTCTCTCAGACGGTTTAAATATGTTTATCTTTTGAACAAAAAGCAGACACAGTGGACTGCATTTATTTATTCACTTGATAATCAAGTCATAAGTAGCAGCTTTGATCAAACTTTGATTGATGAATTATATATTTTCTAACAGCAAGGTCAGGACTGTGTGCCAGATGAGAGTTACAGCAATATTTTCTAATTTTCTTGCAGTTTTCTGTCCAAGAGTGTGAATACATATTTCTTTTTAGACTTAGTGTAGATTCATAGACAATAAAAAAAACTTTACATTAAAGCAGCTGTATTTCTGTAGTTGTCACTCACTTTTTAAATGTTTCCTCATTTTTTGGTTCTGTATTACTGTCTTTTTAAGATGAAATTTATGCTTTGTTGTCTAAAAAATATGTCAGAATGATTAATATGTTAAGTGTTTAAAGCCAGTATAAAAATTGAACCTTTTGCATGTAGTCATTTATTTTTCAGTGTATGATTATTGTAATTATCAAGCTGTTTACCAGAGTCTTATGTAAATAAGTCTTTTGCAAACACAAATGATGGAATTTAAGAAACATTTGTGCAGGTATTAAGCTCAACTCTACTTCATAGTATTGTGACATTTCTTTGTCTATTTTATACAAACGTACAAATTCTTACATACAATTAGTGTTTTTAACACTTCAGTCTCTTAAAAGAGGAGATTTTTTTCCAAGACATCCTTTTTTCTCTACTCTCATGCATTTATATGCCTACCAGCAAATTATACTGGTTATTCAGGCTGTTATTTGTAACTGTAACTGTTGATTATCATTTTATTATGTTATTGTACTTAACATTTACTTAAGGATTTACAAGTCTGCACTAGCCTCAAGGTAACGAGTATTTATCTACATCCACCAAATATAAGGTTAATGAGACTACTGAAGATAAAGTGTGAATGTGCTGAAGCAAATACAAACATTTCATTTTAAGAAGAGTAGCCTACATCAATTTAAAATATTCGTTATTTGTAACATTAACCTGTGCTAAGAGTCATTCTGCATGCATAAATATTTGTGGTATTCAAAGTGTGATGAGTTTATGTCACTAACAGACTTTCCAACATGTGGTCACATGATTCCCAACCACCCACCCACTGTTCAGTTTGTGTCCTGAGGGCAGTTGGGGCTGTATATTTGTCCTAAAGTCTCGACTGGAGCAGGTTTGCACAGGATGGCTTCCTTCACTCACCACGTCTGCAGAAGCTTCTCGTCTTCGGCTGTTAAAAATGTTGTTATTAAACATGTAACGATCATCGGAGGTGGACAGATGGGAACTGGACTTGCACAGGTAAGTGGAAGACTTCAGCTTTTTGTCTAACTTCCTGTAAGTTTCTCTGTGGATGATGGCATGTGCTATACATGTGTTAGACTACATACTGATCAGCATGGCTGTTGTATTATCATGTTACAAAGGACTGCAAGGTAACAAAACTGAAGGATCTGCTACCAGAGCATTTCTGTAGAATGTAATTGATTTTTAATGCAATGTGTAACAAAAACAAACAAAATCAAGCCATAAAGGAGTGCTCAGAGGTCTCTGCTGATGAAAAACACAATTTTCTTCATCTCTCTATATAACTGAGTCATCCTCCAGCCCAGCAAATCTTAAAATATGGATGAAAAAAGCCTCCTGATTTTTTCATTGTCCATCTACTGAGTAAGAGATCTGCTACAAGGTGATTTGAATTTGCCCCTATGTTGATGTAATGAGATGATCAGTTTTTAATTTTCTTAAGGGGACCTTCCCAAAAGGATCAGTAAAGTTCCGTCTAATCTAATCCAATCTAATCTAATCCAATCTCAATTGAATGCAGAACTACTCCTCCTATTCAAGAAGTCCACTCCTAGCTGCACTGTAGAGTCACCACACTGAACTGCTCTGTTGCAGGTTGCCCAAAAAACAATAAAAAAAACCAGTTTGTGTCCCAGCAGCAGAGTGCTAAGTAAACAGTCTGGGTTTTGTTTCTAACCATAGCTTAGTCAAACGTCTTTGTTAGAGCAGTTTACCTAAGGCTACTTTATAACAGAGGTGAACAACAAAGTCACAAATGACAGGCAAGAAAGCAAGAATAAAGTTCAACTAACCACTTAGGGACCTGAATGGGGCTGTGTGGCGAACACAAGGACAGACCTCGACAGAAGATCATATTGATCAAATCAGAGCCAACATTGATACTACAAAATGTTCATTTAAACACCGAAACAGAATAAAACCAACAGCTGTCATGGAAAGTGGAATGCTGCATGGATGAAAAGTTTTCCACTTTCACTTGCATGTTACATCTAAACCAGATAACTCCTCTTATTCATTATTGTGGTGTGTGTGAAAGATTTAGATGTGATATTTCAGCAGCAGAGCCTGATAGTACTAAACAAAGAGGTGGATGTAAGAGATGAACATGATTCATGAAACTCAACATCTAAAAAGTACAACAACTTTGAGCCTCTGGTGTTGGCCTATTTTAGCCTCTGTTGGAGTATGATGCTGTGGTGTGACACAACAAGGAGTGCATGGACATTAGGATTTGCCCACAAGGTGTCACTCTTTACCTTCAGTCTCAAGTAAACCCTTATTGGAGAATGTTTAGCTGTCAATCAGCACTACAGAGTATGTGTGTACCAGTTCTTTGTCGAAATTTCCTGTCAGCCTTTTAGGGCCCCATCCTGATCAGTTTTTTTAAAGGGTTGCGTGTCTGTTGATACCAAGCCCAGGTACTTGTATTTGCTCAAATCTGCATGAGGTTTTTCTTTGTCTGCAAAATTAACAAAAGTAAACAGATTTACACCTCAGACTTCTCAGTCACAATATTCAGCGTTTAAAGTCAATCTAGTGTTTACTGAGGCTCAGCAAAAGCATTACAGAGCTTCTAATGTCTGTTGTCAAACTGACAGCCGCTACATCATCATGTTTCAAGTTTTGGTATGGTGGTGTAATGTTGAGACAGCAGGACATGCTAGGAACCCAAAACCTTGTAAGCAGGGCAAGAAATCTGAAAAGTCCAACACAAGGATGGGATGCCAGGAATTAAACCACCTCCTCTTCAATCTTTTATTCTCCAGTGGCCTTTTCCTCTGCTGCTTTTGTTAAAGTACCTTATAACTGAAATTTCTTATCTCAAACCAATTACCCTTTGAAAGGTTGCTGCATCAACAGGCCACACGGTGACGCTGGTGGACACAAATGAAGACCTCCTTAAAAAAGCTGTAAAGGGAATAGAAGGGAGCCTCAAAAAAGTAGTGAAGAAGAAGTTTGCTGATAAACCAGAGGTGAGACTTAAAACATCTGAAAATGAAAAAAATATAAAATAAATACAAGTGTTATTCTTGATGTGGTAATGCTTCCCTTTGTTTTCAGGCAGGAGAGGAGTTTATTCAGAAAGTCCTGCAGAATGTGTCCACCTCCACAGATGCTGGATCAGCAGCTCAGGGATCAGATCTTGTCTTGGAAGCCATTGTGGAGAATCTCAAAATGAAGCAGGATCTGTTTGGTTTGCTTGATAAGGCAGCACCAGCGTAAGTTCTCCTCAGTTTCTGTTTAATTATTAGTTATAAGCTGTTAATTACAAGTACGCAGCAACAAATATAGAGAGGCAGCAGTTAAACAATTTGTTTTTGGTGCTGTTGTGCAGTGAAATGTTTTTTTTTTCTTTTCAGACACACCCTCTTTGCCAGTAACACGTCCTCCCTACCCATTTCTGACATCGCCAGTGCCACAAAGAGGCTGGACAAATTCGGAGGGCTTCACTTTTTCAACCCAGTCCCTGTGATGAAGCTTGTTGAGGTAAAGCCCTGAATGAAATACACACAGTCTGGATACAAATGGTCAATTACCAGTGAGATGTAATTGAAACAGGACAAATGAATCTTATCTAAACCTATCGTTCCTTGGCTAAGACTTTATTTGATATTTTTGCTGTTTAGATGTCCTGAAACATTTGTAGAGTCCAGTCGCTATTAGGAACAAAAAATCACACTCCAATAGACAAGTTAATAACTTTGCTGTAAGACTACACCCAGACTACAGGAGCTTTCCTGACATTCTTGAAGTCTAATGCTGCTCAGTGCCCCAGTCTTAAACTTTTCTGAAAGCACTTGCTACTAACGTCTCCACTCTTTACAGGTTATTGGGACCCCAGCCACAAGCCAAGAGACTATTGATTCCCTCTTGAACTTCTGCAAAACACTTGGAAAAACTCCTGTGTCCTGCAAGGTAAGATGTGATTTCTGGCTTGTATGACATATAGATCAGATGTCAATTATTCACTGAGTTGTATCAGCAACATCCAACACCTTTTAAATTTTCAGGATTCACCAGGATTCATTGTTAATCGCCTTCTTATCCCATACTTGATGGAGGCCATCCGGTTGCACGAGAGAGGTATGTATACCTTGCTGTCTCAGACATAAATTTTCATTTTGCTTACCATGACTTATCTGGGGCAGCGGCAGCTCAGGAGGTAGAGTGGAGGTAGTGCGGTCAGCAAACAACTGGAGGGTTGGCAATTTGAACCCCGCTCTATCCCTATAGTCTGTCCGTCATGTCCTTTGGCAAGACACTTAACCCACCTTGCTCCCAGTGTGTGTCCTCCACTGTTGTATGATTGTGAGTGTAGTGTGGTGGTGGTCAGAGAGGCCATAGCCATAAACTGGCAGCCACGTTTCCGTCAGTCTGCCCCAGGGCAACTGTGACTACTAAGGTAGTTTACCACTACCAGGGTGTGAGTGTGTGAGCGAATGAATGATGTATCCAATGTTAAGTGCTATAAAAATCTGATGCATTATTTTTATTATTATCATTATTTATCTTCCTCTGTCTTCTTCTGCAGGTCATGGATCTAAGGAGGATATTGATATTGCCATGAAACTTGGCGCAGGTTATCCCATGGGACCCTTTGAGCTTTGTGATTTTATTGGACTAGACACCATCAAATTCATAGTTGACGGTGAGTATAACTGAGTGGAATAAAATATTGATAATATGACTTTCATTAAAGGGATATTCCAGCGTAAAATTAAGTTAGGGTCAAACACACCGTAACACCAGGTTAGACACCCCCTCGAGAGATGAATGTTGCTGACCGCTTGCTTCTCTAGTTATACCAACTTTGGTAACGGCCACATGATAGCAATATACAGCGGTCTGAGAAGCAATAAACAAACCTCAACCAAAACGCCACTCTATAGCCACAAATAATGCTCAGAACAGCACCTAACTTCATCAACAGTACATATAGGGTCCCAGCCATAGTACTAGCCACCAAACATCTTTTTAACTTTGCCTAATTTCTTTAGCAAAGAGACTGAACACAACTCACCGTCTCTCTTCCAGCAGCCGCTTGTTTGTAGTGAGACCTCAGGCCAGTCCATTACGGACTACAGTGGGGTGACGCAGCTCAAGGAAGAACATTTATGATCATTACTTTATCATTTCCTTGAAGTAATAATCACCATATTAATCATTTTACAGACGCAGTAGTTCTTCTGTCTTAGCGTCTCGGTCTGATTGCATTTCCATGAAGAAATGATCATAAATGTTCTTCCTCAAACCGTGTTACCCCGCAGCAGTCCGTACTGGACTGGCCCGAGGTCTCGCTACAAACAATCGGCTGCTGGAAGAGAGATTGCGAGTTGTGTTTAGTCTCTTTGCTAAAGAAACTGGGCAAAGTTCAAAAGATGTTTGGTGGCTAGTACTGTGGCTAGGACCCTACATGTTCTGTTGATGAAGTTAGGTGCTGTTCTGAGTATTATTTGTGGCTATAGAGTGGCTTTTGGTTGAGGTTTGTTTATGGCTCCTGAGACCGCTGTGTATTGCTATTGTGTGGTCGTTACTAAAGTTGGTATAACTAGAGAAGCAAGCGGTCGGCAACATTCATCCCTTGACGGATTGTCTAACTCTGTGTTACGGTGTGTTTGACCCTGAGTTAGTTTTACGGCAGAATGTCCCTTTAAGAGTTGTAACTGTAGCTGAAACAACTTAGCAGGGCAGCGTAAAATTTATAGTCAACTAAAACATTTTTGTCTTTTTGTTTTTCAAGGCTGGGGTGCAATGGATCCCAACAACCCACTCTTTGCTCAAAGCAAGTACCTGAACAAGCTGGTGGCAGAGGGCATACTAGGGAAAAAGACAGGAGGAGGATTCTACGGCAAAAAGTGATCTATTTTACAGTATGACTGCAAAACTAATGAGAACTTGTAGAAATAAGCTTTCTAACGGGACCCTAAATACAGAGACAGAAAGTCTGCCAATGTCTCCTTCGTAGAGACTGAGTTTTGTCTGTTATGCTACATTTTATAGACACTGGCTTCTGGAGCAGGTGTCTTTGTATGTGATCAAATCACATTAAACTACATTTTTCCACACTTTGTTCTCCATCTCTTCATATATATGAAAGCTATTTATAAACGACACACACTGACTCCTGACTTTCCTACCTCTGTCTCGTTTACTTTTACATAAGTCATCCTCTGACTGCACATTACTATCAAATATCACAGTGGGCACCTACACCGTCTATCTATGTGTGTGAAAGGTCAGTGATCACGTAGTCACGTGATTCCCGACCTCCACGCGCTGCTGCTCCGTCTGTGTCCCGGGGGCTGTTTGTCCTTAAATCCTGACAGGAACAGGTCCACACACGATGGCTTTCTTCACTCACCAAATCTGTAGAGGCTTCTCGTCTTCAGCTGTCAGAAATGTTGTAATAAAGCATGTAACGATCATCGGCGGTGGGCAGATGGGGGCAGGAATCGCACAGGTAAGTCAAACAGTGCACTTTAGCTGTCAAACTGTTAGCTGTTAGCTTCATTAAAGCTAACTAGCTCACACTGGGAATCAAAGCACGCCGTGCACGCGCTTAATGTTACGTACACGTTGTATTACGACGTTATAAAGGTCTGCAGAGGAGTTAACAGGGATCTGCTATCAGAGCATTCAGTAAGAACTGTCTTGAAGTGGTTTTCATGCAAGATCAGAAACCACAGCTAAGCCACTGCTAAGGAAGTTATCAGTGGAGAAGCCCAATTCAGCACATTCCTGTATTCACAATCAAGTTTGTGTCATTTTTAAAGATTAAAAGATTGCTGTCATATATATAAAATCAATTACCATATTGGTTGCACAGTCTCGACATGTCTGTGTTGTGTTAACTGTTGTATAAAATGAAATTTAGTAATAATGCACAGTATTAGGGGAGACCGGGCATGTTGTCACACGGGTAAGTTGTCACATTGCAATTATCTTTGCTATCAGAGGGTGCAACTAAAAAGTGGAATACTAGTTTTCTTCCTTTACATGGTCAGGGGTCGTGTCCTGTCTGAGAAGAGAAGAGAACTGAGCTGAGATGAGCGCCGATTAACCATCTCGCACAACCCAAAGTAAAAAAAAGATTAATGACTTTCAATGACTTATTCTAGCTCAATAATAAACACTTTCTGTGCCTGACTTGATGTTCATTTTCATGGAAGAAAAGGGGAACAACAATAATTTTGTCCTTGTTTTATTAGCTGCAAAATCTACTGTGACATCTTACCCCATGTAGTGAAACAACTTACCCGATAATGGGGCAACGTGTCACATGTTCACACTCTCTGTTTGATTGTTTATAACTCTAATAATGCATCAGATTTCATATAGCGCTTTATCAGAGACCCTCAAAGCGCTTTACATTGGATACATCATTCATTCGCTCACACAGTCACACTTTGGTGGTGGTGGAAACGTGGCTGCCATTCTGCGCCTACGGCCTCTCCGACCACCACCACACAACACTCACAATCATGCACCAGTGGAGGACACACACTGGGAGCAAGGTGGGTTAAGTGTCTTGCCCAAGGACACAACGGACAGACTTGGATTAGGGGGGAATCGAACCGCCAACCTTCCGGTCATTGGACGACCGCTCTACCTCCTGAGCTACTGCCGCCCCACACTCTGCACTGACACAAGATATAACAGTGACATGAATACAAAATATATACCTGAGACTTTGGTCTTTCATCTGGTACACATTTTGTTTATATATAATGTATTGATTACAAGAAATATATAAAAGTGTAAAAGGTGTGACAACAAGCCCCGGTCTCCCCTACTGTTGCTCTCTAAAGACATCTTTAGTTGTATTTGAAGTGTAAAACTCTCCACAGGCATGACTGAATTTCAGGACACACCAAAGAAGCAGAAGCTGTGTTAAGAAATCACTCTCTGGTCACTCATTAACTGCAGTTGTTTTCTTGTGGGCTGACATAACATGTGAAGGTTCATGAAGGATTCGACTGACATGACCTGTGGGGTGAGCAAGAAGATTGAGATTCACCCTCACGGTGTCACCTTTCACTTTGAGTTTGAAGTCAGCTGTCACTGGGGAATTTTTTTGGTTTTTAAGAGATATAGACTTAATACACACCATATATGGCCTCAGAGTGAGCGCTAACCTATGTGTTTATGACCGTTTTTATCCATGAAACAAAGCCTTTCAGTGTTTGTATTGAAATTATATTTTTTCTTCCTCTGTCCTCAAATTCACTCCTGAGACTTTTCTCTACTTTGGTTTGAATAAACTGAACTAAACCCACGGTGTACACCACTATAAAACTCCCTTTTTGTCACACTTATGGAGTTTATTTCAATAGTATAGTTTTTTATAAATACAAAGCTGATATTTCCAGCTTCTTTTTCTGTCACCATCTGATAGAGTGACCTTGTTTGCTTTCAGCTCCACACCTCCAGCAGTTAAGGGCATGTTTCTCCTTATCTCCCTCTTCATATCTTACCCTTTGAAAGGTTGCTGCATCAACAGGCCACACGGTGGCGCTGGTGGACACAAATGAAGACATCCTTAAAAAAGCTGTAAAGGGAATAGAAGGGAGCCTCAAAAGAGTAGTGAAGAAGAAGTTTGCTGATAAACCAGAGGTGAGACTCAAAACATCTGAAAATGATAAAAATTTAAAATAAATACAAGTGTTATTATTGATGTGGTAATGCTTCCCTTTGTTTTCAGGCAGGAGAGGAGTTTATTCAGAAAGTCCTGCAGAATGTGTCCACCTCCACAGATGCTGGATCAGCAGCTCAGGGATCAGATCTTGTCTTGGAAGCCATCGTGGAGAATCTCAAAATAAAGCAGGATCTGTTTGGTTTGCTTGATAAGGCAGCACCAGCGTAAGTTCTCCTCAGTTTCTGTTTAATTGTTAGTTATAAGCTGTGAATTACAAGTACGCAGGAACAAATATAGAGAGTTAACACCAAGCAGAGGCTGCAGTTAAACTAAACTATATTGCCAAAAGTATTTGCTCACCTTCCTTGACTCACATATGAGTTTAAGTGACATCCTATTCCTAATCCATAGGGTTCAATATAATTTTGGTCCACCCTTTGCAGCTAACACATCTTCAACTCTTCTGGGAAGGCTGTCCACATGGTTAAGGAGCGTGTTTATGGGGATTTTTGACCATTCTTCCAGAAGCGCATTTGTGAGGTCAGACACTGATGTTGGAGGAGAAGGCCTGGCTCCCAGTCTCCACTCTAATTCATCCCAAAGGTGTTCTATTCTATTGAGGGTTGAGGTCAGGACTCTGTGCAGACCAGTCAAGTTCAACCACACCAGACTCTGCCATCCATGTCTTAATGGACCTTGCTTTGTGCACTGGTGCACAGTCATGTTGGAAGAGGAAGGGACCAGCTCCAAACTGTTCCCACAAAGTTGGGAGCATGGAATTGTTCAAAATGTCTTGGTATGCTGAAGCATTCAGAGTTCCTTTCACTGGAACTAAGGGGCCAAGCCCAGCTCCTGAAAAACAACCCCACACCATAATCCTTCCTCCACCAAACTTTACACTTGGCACAATTCAGTCAGACACTTACGTTCTCCTGGCAACTGCCAAACCCAGACTCGTCCATCAGATTGCCAGATGGAGAAGCGCGATTCTTCACTCGAGAGAACAGGCCTCCACTGCTCTAGAGTCCAGTGCCGGCATGCTTTACACCACTGCATTCAACGCTCTGCATTGCACTTCGTGATGCATGGCTTGGATGCAGCTGCTTGACCATGGAAACCCATTCCACGAAGCTTTCTGCGTACTGTTCTTGAGCTAGTCTGAAGGCCACATGAAGTTTGGAGGTCTGTAGTGATTGGCTCTGCAGAAAGTTGGCGACCTCATTACACTGTGCACTTCAGCATCTGCTGACCCTGCTCCGTCAGTAAAAACAGTCTGCATGCCAAGGTGCTTGATTTTATACACCTGTGACCATGGAAGTGATTCCGACTATTTGGATGGGTGAGCAAATACTTTTGGCAATAAAGTGTATTTGTTTTTGGTACTGTTGTACAGTGAAATGTTGTTATTCAAGGCAGGTTTTGTATGTAACTTGTGTTTTATTCCAGACTTTTATTAATTGACTTCTAACAGCACCCACCACATTTGGTGCCTAACACCCCGCACTTTATTTTTCAGACACACCCTCTTTGCCAGTAACACGTCCTCCCTACCCATTTCTGACATCGCCAGTGCCACAAAGAGGCTGGACAAATTCGGAGGCCTTCACTTTTTCAACCCAGTCCCTGTGATGAAGCTTGTCGAGGTAAAGCCCTGAAGAAAACACACACAGTCTGGAAACAAATGGTCAATTACCAAAGAGATGTAATTGAACCAGGACAAATGAATCATATCTAAACGTATTGTTCCTTGATTGAGTCTTGAGATGATATCCAAACTTTCTGAGTAGGAAATCAATCTTTAATGAAAGATATAGGGAGAGAGCAAGACTGAGTAGCTGATGGTAATATTAGCTATGTGAAAAAAAAGCAGACAAGTACATTATCAACTGTAGTGCTTGGGGGAAACAAACCATAAAAACAACCTAATGTATGAGAAAGTTTTTCTTCCAACTGTGAATGCCCATCAGTTTCAAATATTGATCATCTGCCTCATGTACTACTGATAATCGCTGTTAGTATCAGCGCTGAAAAGCTGATATTAGGTAATGCACAGGGTGTAGAGAGTGGCAGACCTTGACATTTCAATGAAAGAAGTAGACACCTGGGTACTAGTATCCATTACTGAAGTTTTTATTCTTTTCAGGTCATTGGAACCCCGACAACAAGCCAAGAGACTTTTGATTCCCTCTTGAATTTCAGCAAAGCACTAGGAAAAACTCCTGTGTCCTGCAAGGTAAGACGTGATGTCCGGCTCAATAACAAATACATAAGAAATAAATGATCTATTAAGTCATATCAGCAACATCCAAAACCTTTTCTCTTTTGTAGGATACACCAGGATTCATCGTTAATCGCCTTCTTGTTCCATACTTATTAGAGGCTGTCCGATTGCATGAGAGAGGTATGTCCACCTTACTGTTGTTGTATTAGTCGTGTCAGGAGTTGTGGGAGTAAACCGCTCTGCCTACCGTGGTTTATTTTCTTCCGTCTTCCTCCGCAGGTCATGGATCCAAAGAGGATATCGATATTGCCATGAAACTTGGTGCAGGTTATCCCATGGGACCCTTTGAGCTCGCTGATTACGTAGGACTAGACACGATCAAATTCATCATTGATGGTGAGTGAAACTACATGGAGTAAAATGTGGATTTGACCTTGATTAAGAATTGTGACAACTACTGATGAACCTGCTGCATGAAAGAGCAAAAATAAAACTCACCCTTAAACGCTGTTTCTTTTGGCTCTTCAAGGCTGGAGTGTGATGGAGCCCGACAACCCACTCTTTGGTCAGAGCGAGTACCTTAACAAGCTGGTGGCAGAGGGCAAACTCGGCAAAAAGACGGGAGAGGGATTCTACGGCAAAAAGTGATTTTATTTTACAGTATCACTGCAACACTAATGAGAACTTGTTGAAATAAGCTTTCTAATAAGGACTCAGAAGAAACAGAGATGGAAAACATGCCAGTGCCTTCTACGTTAGAGGTCGACTTTTGTCTGTCAGACCATTTTATTTGGACGTCCACTCGAGGAGATGTCAGTGTTTTTACCTGGTCTGGTTAAATTTAATTAAAAACTTTTAACACTTTGTGTTTGTTCCCATTATTGGAGTAAAGGGTGTTCACACACAACAAACTTCATTATCTAATGGCAGCGTTTAAAGAGAATAAAGAACGTAGTGTTTGCTACTGAAAAACAAAGGAGTCCTAAGAACAGAGATATTGAACTTTGTGCTGATTACAGACCGGGTGGTCCCCCTCCTTTTAAGAGCAAAGGACATGACATCCATGATTTCCTCAAAGAATGTTCAGTTTTGACGTGTCAGACCACAGAACAGTTTTTCACTTCACTTCAGTCCATCTGGAATGAGCTCAGAGAAGTCGGGATTATTTCTGGATGACGTTTGTATACTGTTGTGATCTACTCTCTTACAGCTGAGAATTACAACACACTACCTTTAAAATGGGCGTACATTTTTTCAAGACTTAATTCAGTTTTGAACTTCTAACATGTTTTGTGCCCTATTTTCAATTGGATTTAGAGTTAAAATTATTTGCAAACAATCAGTTTTTAATCAACATTTTACACCATGTCCCAAGTCAATTCTTTGTATATATATGAATGCACTGAGGATTTACACTTCACATCACCCTCATGGTATATAACTCTTTAAATTCAGTGTTGAGATAATGTGTATTTCAGCAGATAAATGTGAAATCAAAAAATAGAGTAATTTTAAAAACATATTTCTGTTAATTACTCACTTCTATACAATAAAACGGGGTTTTTGCCTGTCATTGAGATTTTCTGTATGCTTTTGAACCATCATTAAGAAAAACACTGATTTTTTTTTTTCACACTGATTTGCTATTCTTAATTTACCCATGAGGACCACTGGGTGGCGATGTTTTACCTAAAATAGTCACGCTCCAGAGGCACAATAGAGATTGGCCTATAAATAGCATTTCCCTTTGATCTCGGCTCTTTCATCAAATATGCTGTGTGTACCTCAAACAATTCAATTATTATCCTGCATGTTTTTATTTGACCCGAAGTTTGTTCATCCAAAAGGTTTTTTAGTACATAGATTTTTAAAAGAGTGGAGAGAAAGACGAGTTTCACCCTGTACATCATCTTTTTACCCACTTTGAAAGGTTGTTGAAGGCCTCTCTTTGCAGAATTACAACAGTATAATAATCTACATTATATTCTTTAGTTTAATCAGTAAATTTTAAAAGTTTTCAACAAAGACTTAAAAAAATTTGATTGTAAATCTGATCTCCCAGCTCTGCTTTTTCCACAACACAAGGAATCAAATGAGCCAATGGTGCCTTTTTATTTTTCTTACAAAAAAACAGAACAAAACATGTTGAAACAGTTCAAATATGACCACTTGGAAGCAAAATGCTAAACCAAGATGACAGTGACCCAAAATATGATAATTAAAAAAAAAAAAGGAATTCATCAAGTAATACTAAAATAGAGCATTAAATCAAAATATTACAGAGATGCTTGCATGGAATAAACAACATGGCTAAAGACCACACTATCAGCTACCAGAGAGAAAAGACAAAAAGGTCCATTGCAATAAAAGAAAGACTGCCAAGTGCTGGGGTAAATATATATATCTGCTTCATTTGTCATGTTTTAGAACAATAAAATATAGGCCTCTGAGCTATCACTCTTGCCTTTGTCCTAATGTTGCCTGCAAAAATACCAAGAAAATTGACATATCCTGACAGATTTTAAAAAGTACACATACTGAGCATTATTTTACATCTGAGCAAGACTCGAGGTCACTATTTGTTACAAATAGTTATCAAAAGAAGCCTTAAGTTTCAATTTTCTGCAAGACGCTTCAACAAGAAAAATGGCTTTCCTGTGTCCAAAGCTTATTTTCATATATAACCACTATATAAAAAACAATATTTAAAATAAAAAACACACTAAAATATACACCGAGAAGTTCAAACAAGGGTTCAAGATACAAAAAAGCATTCAAAAGAAAAGTCAGTGGAAAATCGAAACGCAAATTAAAACGTTGATCCTTTTTTGCACCAACTGGTCAACGCAAATTAAAACGTTGATCCTTTTTTGCACCAACTGGTCAGCGACAAACTAAAAACGGCGTCTTCAGGACGTTTGTTTTTTTTTTTGTGTTTTTTTTTTTCATTCTTTAGACAAGATGAGATCCCTCCGTCTTCCTTTAGTGCAGTCTAAAAAGAGGTGTTTGGTCAGTCGGGTGCGAAACCCCAAATGGTCTCAAAAATCCAGGAAGAAAGAACAACAAAGGGGAAGGGGGTAAAGAAGTCGAGGGAGTGAATGTCGGCCTAATGATCTATACAAACAAACCGAGGTGACAAATAAATTACAAGAAACGTAGAAAGAGGTGTTTGGGCGGTGCAGTTTGTGCGCACATTAAAATTGCTGCTGTTTTTCAGTGCAGTGCCTTTGATTGCAGTAAAGCTGATTGTGAGAAGGAGATAATTCTGATGTTAAATCGCAGTTTTGTGGATTCTGGAGTGAGAGGACGTGGGTGTGTGAGGGTGCTCCTACTAATCATGATTGTCTTCAGTTCAGTGTCTTTACAGCAGGCGACTTCAGGGAGGAGGGGTCGGACAGTGAAGTGTTTTTGGTGGAGGCATGTGACTGTGTTGGAGGAAAGAGAGTCGGGTTAGGTGGGGTTAGGGTGGGTCCTCTGAGATCTGGAGGCTTTCAGTTTGGAGATTTTTAAGGGTCTTCATGGAATCTTAGCAGGCCTCCATCTCAAGCAGAGGGCCCGTAGCTGCTGCCTTCGCTTTGCACGTGGAGAAGTTGCTACGTTTTCCTCCTGGTGGGGGAGAGAAAACAAGAGGAACAAAAGAAAAGATCAATCAACCGCGCTGAGGATGAAGTAAGTGCATCTGTATACAAAGAAAGAAAAAAGCTGCTTTTTCTCATCAGAGGGGCGGAGGAGGGGAGAGTAATTAGGAACACATCAGTAAGCCACACCAAAACACTGGTCACATTCACGTCACGCAAACCAAAACCAGACGTATCAGGATGAGTCACCGTGACTCCAAAGTGTCTCACCGTGCAGGCATGCCTCCTGGATCAGGAAGGAATAAAACACAGAACCCTTCATAACCATATCTGTTTTCTCCCTTTTCTTAATGTCCGAGCTGTTATTGAATGATAGCTTCTGCAGCAGTGTGGAGCTAAATCTCTGAACCACAGAGAGGTTATAGGTCAGCGACAGGATGTGGGCCGGTCTCGCTTTGATCTGGTCTAACATGGGGGTTGCCGTGACCCAGCTGGCAGCTCTCTGCTCTCTCTCTCTGCCCTCCCCTGGCTGACTCACTCCTCCTCTCACTCTCTCAAGGCGAGCGCACGATTGTGGAGCTTCTGGTTGACATTTAGGTTGCCGCCGCAGGTGGGTGATGGGAAAACAAGACAAGGAAATGCTGACCGCACAGGAGGACCGCCGCAGTGACCCATTTGGTTACAGCGAGCGAGAGTTCATTGAGCTATGTAGGTAGCGGCTCAGGTGCAGATTGACGCCGCGGTGTAAAAATGCTACCTGACTGCTCCATCCACTTCACAGGACTTCATGAAATTGGCCCCTTCCCCTTCCCCCTGACAGGAAAATTGTTTGTCAAGCTGCAAAAAAAAAAAGAGTGTTTCTCTTTTTCCCTCTCATGATCCAGGCTCGAGCTAACATAACAGAGTTAGCTCCAGTTATTGACAAGCTGAGGAGGGTTATTTTAGACCTGAGCAGCATCAAATAGAATCTGTGATCAAAGTGGAGAGGCAGAGACAGAGGTGGATGAATGCCTCCTGCGACTAAAAAAGATGGATGTTTAGTGAAGACGAGAAAAAAAAAGGGAAAGAAACGGTATTAGTTTGCTTTTCCCTTGTGGCAAAGCCAAGAGTGTGTTTTTGTAGGAGAGAAGTCAGCTGAGCCGTGCTGCTCGCTGCATCTCAACACTCCAAAAAGTCCTAACACACACCGAAACACACGCACACCACCGCCCCGCAGAGTGCTTTACCACATGTGGATAAAAGGGAACGGGACAGAGGCCACCTTTCCCCAAGGAGAGCTGACCCTGCGCACAGACTGAAAGGAGAGAGAGCCCCTGTCGCTTTTATTTACCTCCGCCGCCCTCGCTCTTTTCATCCCAGGATCTCAAAGCCGGCCCGCACGCCCGGCTCTGCACCCTGTTTCCTGGGGAGCATTTTTTCCTTCCCCCCACCACAGACATGAAAAGCGCTGGCCTTCCTGCCTGGGGAAGAGGCCTGAGGGGCTGCGGGTGAAAAGAGTGTGCGCGTGTGTACGTGTGTGTATGTGTGTGTGTGTGTATTAGCCAGTTTTGGTGCTAACAGCAGGGGTGTGTGCGCGCTCGAATGGTGTTTGGTTGGAGGAGGTTAGGGGGGGGCACCAGGCCAGCTCTTCACAAGGTCCAGCCGACACAAACACCAGGATTCAGGAGCAACTTGACCCCTCCTCTCCTTTTCACCTCCCTCCACCTCCTCCACCTCCTCCTCCTCCTCTTCCTCCCTCTCTACATTAGTGCTCAGGAATGCCGGCTGGACTTTTTTGCAGGAAATGAAACGCTCCTCTGTTCAGAGGGCTAGTGAAGGTTTAGTCTTCCCTCCTTCTTCTCTCTCTCCCCCAATTCCTTTCCCTCTACAGGACAGAGGGAGGGGAGGAGGGGAGAGGAGGGGAGGGGAGGGGGGTCGGACAAGTTCTCGCCCCGCTTTTGAAGTGTGGGAGGTTAAGATAACTGGCACAGCCTCGCGTCTCAATCGCCGCTTTCACCTCCCCGGCCAAATCAAAGCGCCTGCAGCTGGGGCCCGCCTGCCTTAAAGCCCCCTAACCTCCAAACCCACCGACTCACCCACCTCCCAGCTATCCTCCCACCTCCTCCTCCTCTCTCCCCACACACACACACACAGCTCTGGGGTTTCTTTTGGTGCCATTAAAAAGGAAAACACAGCCGACAAATTACTCTAAAAATAAGCCAAGTGGAGAGAGGTGTCTCCAGCTCAGGCTGAGGAGCAGACTTTACCATGGCAGAGAAGAGAGGGGAGGTTTGGAGGAGAAGTAAAAGGAGAGAGATGGAGAGCAATGAAAGGAAAGAAAGATGTGTCAGAGTTAACCCCCAAATATTGATTTCATCTATAACTGCATGAGGATGGTTTTCCTGGCTGTGGTCGTCACTTTTACGAGTTATGTTCATGTTGTAGCCACCAAGGTTAGAGCGAACATCCAGAGCACAGTGACAGCGGTAAAAAGTTGACCCTGACATTGACCGTCTTCTGCAGATGATTTTCACAGGTTTAAAGTAACTATGTGTTCACATGACCAGAGCGGTTTTATCTGGAGGTAAACCAGAAAGTGAACACATTCCTGAAAGCATCACAACAGCATATGTAAACACAACATGTTTGTGCAGCTGGTCGTACGAGGAAGTGGGACTCTACTGTGGATGCTTACTACACAGTTTGGGTTATGGTTTTACCGCCAGTCTAATTCTCAAAACAAGAATTCTTAAAACACTTTGAGGGGATTGAATTCAACAAGTCCAGCATTATGAATTTGGTCTTTTTTGACCTTACTTGATAGAACAGCTGAAGAGAGACTGGGAATGCATCTTATAGCAACAGGATTGGGAGTCAAACCCGAGACAAGTGCAAGATAAGAGAAGATGTCCCTTTAAAAGTCCCACGGGGGGAAATTCCAAATTTACCTCAGCATAGTATAGATAGAACAAGAGAAAAATGAAAAGATAAATAAACTTTGAGTTAAAAAAGATATGTACATGAGTCATATTTACATCTGTACAGAATTTACATAATAATACGATTTGCGACAAGGACCACAGACTCTGTACCAGAGGTGCCTGCTCTACCAGCTGATCGGGACCAGCAGCTCTTACTGGACTAAGTTTTGGGCCGTTGCTCTGTGCTCTTGTCACATTTCAGCAAATAGGGTGACACAAAAACTAACGTCAGATGAGAGATATAAAAGCAAAATAGTTATCTGAACTTTTTAATAAAAAGAAAAAAAAAGGTTAAAGCTGCTGTCAGGAACTTTTGGTTTGTGTTGATAAATGGCGCCCCCTATAGGAAAAGAGAGGAGGGATTTTTGACAAAAAACATCCTGTGGTCTTTTATGATTGAACACTCGCTGTGAATATTTGCATTAAAAAGCAATTAAAGTTTGTTTCCTTAGCTGTCCCTCAATCATGGTCTGTTCTTTAAGTATTAAAATGACCACAGTGAAATTATCAGACGAGCTGCTGATGGTCGTGTTTGCTTTTGAAGATCATAAAGAGGCTTCAGTCTGTTTATCAACCAGTTAAAAACCCCTACAGTTACTTTGGTAACACTTTATTTGATGTCTGTCTCTAGAACGCATAATAAATATATTTAAAATGTGTTATAATCATGTTATAGCACTGTATAACTATGGTCATAAACACTCATAAATGATCATAATTTCTTTATAGCAACAATCATAACACATTATAAAGCATTTTCTCATGACTTACAAGGTCAGGTGTTATGTGTTATGTTACAATTATACAGTGCTATAACGTGATTATAATGCATTATACATATACTTATAATGCGTTATAGAGATAGGCGTCACATACAGTGTTACCGTTACTTTAAAGCTGTTGTGAGGCACTTGCTGTTTGTATCTCCTCAGGCACTGAATTTAACCAAATGGAAAACGTCCTTGTTGATGATGGTCTTTGTTGATTTTGTAGGTTATAAAGAGACATTACGGTAAATTTCTGTCTGTTTGATCTCAGGTCAAAAATAGGAGCTTTAAGATAAAACTGAAAATAGTGATTAATCTTACTATCCACTTAATTGGCATTAAATCTTCTGAGTGAATGAAAAATAAATCTGCAGCCGTGTCCATGTAAACCTGAGATTGTGCCAACTCTTTGCTACATTACATAGTCTGAATCACACTAACAGACCTAAAGCTGTAAATGAACGTCTGGTGGGTTGGTATGTCTTGGCAGTGACCTTGGCCTGGATCTCACAGCTGGCTTCGGCGACACCTTTTCAAAGGGGCCGCCACTCTCTACATCTACAACAGAGCCGCTCTCAAAGGCACGAGGGGGAAATAAAACAGCAGGCCAATAAAAAAACAGCACCTGGAAGACAAAGCAATGTTTGAAACTAAATGCTCTGCACTGTCAGCACTTTCTTTAGCTCTGAGACATTCGACATAAAAGAAATCGCCCCTGTTTAAAAAAGCGCTTTGAAATTTTTAACCTCCATCAAACGGCGGGCTCGGGGGAGAGTGTAGCTTTCCAGAGGGACTATCAGGAGCTAACAAAGTCAGTCAGGAGGGGCTGAAAGTAAAAAGTAAAAAACGGGGAGATGGTGTCTGTGTTAGAAATTCAAGAGAAGGGAAGGGTGGCGTCTGATTGTGGTCAAACGGGGAGTACGGAAGGAGGGGAGGGGGGAGTCACCGAAACCCAAAAACCTCAGGCATGTGTGGGGGAGACTGGGAGAGTGCAAGAGGGGTGTGGGGAGAGGTAGTGAGGGGCGTTGCCCACATCTGAGGCAGCATCACTGGGGGCCTGGGCAGCTGAAGTCTGGCCCTGTGCCCCCGTGCTGCTCAGTCTGAGCCACTGCAGGCCGGGGGGGGGGGGGGAGCCGCAGATTCAAAGGGCCGGCACAATGGCGGCTCCTTCTGCTGTGGTCTCGCTTCAAAGGCATCCACCGCCACTCATACTCTCCGTCATGACAGGAGAGGAGAGAAAAAGGAAGAGTGAGAGAAGAGAGGTAGAAAATGAACACATGAGGAAGGAGGAGAAGAAGAAGAAGCTGGGAGTGAGGTTTTCCCTTTTTTAACAATAGCCAGACTCGACCAGAGCGAAACAAAAACAAACACCGCTTCCTCTATCCGAACTGTCCTCTTCCTGTCTGTGCCCTCTGTTTTACCTGGAGGCCTTTCATTCATTCATTCACAGATAAGAATCTCATGAGGGGAGCGTTTTATGAGGTCTCTTATAGTATGAGCTGCAACGCCCCGAGGAGCCACAGGGGAGGGAGAAAGAGGGAGGAAGTCGAGAAGACATCACAAAACTCGAGAGACTGGACCCTCATATTGTTACCGCAGCTGGCCAAACTACAACACAATGGGCCTGTGACTCAATCAAAACAGATTTTAGGGCCCAGTCTAAACAACAGGGGCGCTAAAGCTGCAAATACTCGCGTGTAAACAAGCTTCTTTATGAGGGTTGAACCCGACTTTTAAGGTTCCCGTCTTTCCTCTTGAAATCGTCAAATCTGGTCGCCAAGCCAAAAGTAAGCACTTGTACTTATAAGTTCAAACCACATACTTAAATTACATCAAGTTTGACATGCTTCCGCCCGCTGTAAGTCCACATGTAAAGTGCTGAGAGGGTCATTTTCCCTCACAGAGCAGGCTTTGTGAAGGTCAGAGGAGTGAGAAAAAGGGAGGACTGTTAGGGGCGAACATTTCCGACTCGACTTCCTAACCAACAGAAACATTAGCAAGGGCGTTGCTCTGATTTCAGCCCAAATCTCACCCCTCCACCTCCCTTTTTCGTCTTTTTTTTTTCTACGGAGAAATACAGCTTTAAAAACATCCTCTCATCTCCTGTGCGCTTGCTCAGAGCGAGACCCAGAGTGTGTTTTTTTTTATTTTTTGGGGGGGGATTCGAATTCCTTCCCCAATTATCCCAGGTCACTAATAAGGCGTGGAGGGTGTGGAGGCACTGGGCTGTGCCGCAGTGGCCTGGAGGCTGGGTGCCAAATTGAAACGACTTGGGAAATAGAGGCAGACGCTGAATCTTGCCTAATTGCGGCAGGAGTGTGTGTGGCTCATTGCTCAGATGTGTGTGTGTATGTGTGAGTTATGAAGGTCTGAGAGGGAGAAGATGAGAGGCAACAAAATAAATGAAAAAAAAAAAACACAAGAAAGAAAAATGGGATCAAAATGAGGGATGGAGGCTGAAGGATGAGTGGCAGTTGAGTGAGATTGGGTAAAGTCAAGAACTCGGGAGAATGAGGGATTTTCTTCTGGCCCTTTTCTTACTCCCCCCCCTCCCTTTTCCTCTCCTCCCAACGCACTCACACCCTTCTCCCTCATCAAAGTCTTCTGACAGCTGACTTCTGGCTGCACACATCAGAGGGAGCAGAGCCGGGGCAGAGGAGGAGAGAGAGAAAGAGAGAGAGAGAAAAGGGGAGGGTAGCCACCAAACCTACAGCTTGAACAACACTTTCTTTCATGTCTTTAGACCAGGGCACGAGGTTAGAAATGACCCACAGTAAAGAATTTGATTCAAGTGAGGCACCATTTAAGAAAAAAGAAAGTTATCCGAGGTCTTAAGAGACGTCCATGCAAATTGACTTGTGAAAACATCCTTTATGCTTGTCAACAAAGGAGGCAGTTGACTTGTGCAGTTTTATGGCAGTTTGCATGTGTGTGCAACTCTGTGGACCTTGCTCGCCTAATTTTAAATGGCCATCTTTGTTGAGTGTCTCCCCCCTGTGAAAAAAAATAAAATAAAAATCCACACTGGCTGAAATGGGGGAGAAAGCCTTGAGGGCATGTATGTGTCTCAGGCAGATAACTATCTCAAAAGGCGGTGAATCAGCAGGCTTAGTCAGACAGAAAAGGCTAACAGGAAGTAAGGAGGAGAGAATCAAAACAGAGAGGGGAAGATGGAGTGAAACTTCACATTTCCAGGGAGCATAATGAATAAAGGGGCGGGGGCTGGGGCAAGAAAAGACAGAGACCCCTATTTTACATAGTGTTTGACAAGCTAAAGATAACAAAGAGAGACAACGTCGAGTCATAGAAGCTTGACGAATTAACTCCTGCTTTGCCTTAAGGCAGAGAAACTCAGATCAAGCTGTACTTTATGTTAAAATCAACAAGCACTAAGTCACTTTTTCTCTCATAAAACCTACCAGGACTATGTTATTGTTTGTTACTGAGAGAGAGAGAGCTCTAATAATAAGATCTAATAGAGCAAACATCTGAACTCCAGTTCAAAAAGGTGTTAGAATTGTTCCTCCAAATTTAACTCATTAGCAAACTTCCTTCAGATGTTCAGCAAAGACAAGACAAAGATAAGATAGAGGCTACTGCAGATGAAAAGAAATAGACAAACAAGTTCATTTAAAGATGTTTTTTGGCGTCTACACCAAGCTAACCTCAATCCAGCTCTTTGGGATCTGCATAAATTGAGGGCTCGGGGAGTTGTGGCAGTATCCTTGGTATTATGCATATTAGTTTAAGGCTGTCACTGAGAATCAGCAAGGGTGTCCATCCCGCTGCGGCTAGGCGCTGCTAATTATTGGATCAGAGATAAAGTGCTTTTCAGCACTCGCTCTCTCTGAGCTTTGAAAACCGTCTGTGGCAAAAAAAAAAGAGAAAGACAAGAAAAGAAAAGCAGACCAATTTTGGGTTCAGAGAGAGCCACTGGGTCAGGAATCGATCAAGGGGAAAACCTTTGTCTGGTTTGGGGTGATTTTGACGTAAGACCAGATTTGTCACATCTGCCCGGCTTTCGCTGCTGCAGAAAAGGGAGCGGAACAACAGGATGCTGCCAGAATCACAGGGAGGGCGAGGAAGAGGAGAGAGGAGGAAGGGATCCAGAGAGAGTAAGAAAGAAGGCAAACAGAGTTGGATGTTAATCCTTTTTTTGACAATAAAATAAGACAGGTGACAGTTTGGACATCATTTAAATCAATATATCCCAACATATCATTCACATGTAGAAAAAAACGACTGCAGAGTGTCTTTGTCATGAAGGCATTATAGACACCCTGAAACCCCAGATAGCGTGAAATCTTATTAAGGTATAGCATCTCATTAAGTTCCTGCCAAACAAGCTGCTGAATCTTAGTCTGCCTGAAAAAGATGCGGAGGGAGACAACACATGTAGTCCATATGGGGCCAAGCTGACGTCCTCGACTCCAGCAGTGAGGGAAAAAAAAGGATCTGAGGTTGGAAAAAAGTGTTTTCAGATGTGCAGTTTAGACCGTGTTCGCGGCGCACAGAGAGAATGAGCGTTCTGATTTATTAAGCAATATTTTCAACTTTTAATGAGGATACTTTTTTATTGATGATGGAAGAAAAAAAAAAAAAATCAAACCACTGACGCAACATCTGACCTCTAATTCATCCACTGCTCGACACAGAAACATTCAGATGACGACTTCAGCACACACACACACACACACATAGAAAATCCACTGCCTATTGTGCAGAGGCCACTGAGCAAACTCCCCACACAAAGCACAATCCCTCTTCAGGCTTTAACACCACCAACACAATGACTATGGCGAGGTTAGGGTGGACCTTTTTAGGATTAGTCTGTGAGTACATACGCTCAAGTCAGTGTTTAGCAGCATAAAAAGCTTTGATATGTATTGAACTGATCAGACAGGGGAGGCAGATAGAGGGGTTTGTCTTACCATTTTCTCAGATGTACGCCGTTTTCATTCTCTGGCCTGTACCTGCAGAAAATTGCATCCTTTTAAACAACTTTGGAGGATTCTGGTCTGCATAGATGTTTACTGAACAGACCGAAACAACTCAAAAAATACTGACAATTCTACTTTAAGATGTAATTCTCAATGGATTAAAGTTGCAGTGCTACCAGGAGGCTCATAAGCGCAGCTAAACAAGGTCAGCAGAAAGACATTCTGTAGTGCAGCAGGCAAACAAATAGTGCAAAAGCCCAGAATTGGTAAGTAGTCGTAAAGAATGGACAGACTAATCCCAAAGTAGGTGTGATATGAGAAGAAAGGACAGATGGATGGAGGGATGGACCATGCTGCCTGCACAAAATCAAGCAAGTCTACTGCAGCCAGAGTGAGGATAGAAGATTTGTGTGTATCTATGTGAGTTTGTCAAAAAATGTGAAAAAATTAAGCAAAGGAAGTAGAAAGATGGTGCAACTCGCAACTTCAAGAAGAGGAAAATAAGAAACTGTAGGGTGTGTCTCTTACCCGGGGCCGATTCCTGCATCTTCTCCCTCTTCCGCTTCTTCTTCTTTCCCTAAAAAATATACAGAGGAACACATAAAGTGTGGCTCCAGCACTCACGCTCACTAGACCACTCTGATATCCTGCTGCTGACTGCCATGTTCACTCATCCCCTGCTGGGCATCCAACCAGCATACCCTGGTCTCCGGACTCCATTGCAAACTGCCTCGATGAGAGGGATGGACCAGGCTGAGCCGATGTTGAGTGTGCTCTTCCTGCTTTTAGCTGCTCATAATGACTTACTTTTCACCATTTTTAGGCCTGTTCTGAGAGGGGGGGCATGCTAACAATACAGACGCAGCTTGTCCTGCTAATGTGACTTTTCCGTGTCACTTTTTACGCTGCCTTTGAAGTCCCTCTAATGACAAATATTAACATGAAGTGCAATTAAAAATGCTCACTGTAATTAGGCTAGTCTAGCTTGATGACTATGAAGAGCACCACTCTTCTTCCAGTGAGGTGGTGGGAGTGTGTAAGGATTTATAGCTTATGCTAAATCCCCAGGGGGGAGACTATAGGTATAGATAGCAGTGCGGAGTCGTCCTAGTCAAATATGAGCAGCACTTTGGTTTCCTGCTGCAAAGTCTGCTAATCCACTTATTCATGAGCTAATCTGCCTTCTACTGCTGCGGCAGACAGGGAGAAGAGAGAGTAAGTGAGAGTGGGTGAGAGAAAGGATGAGAGAGGGGGGGGCACGCAGAAAAACTATGAATGCTACACGCTCTCCATGCCAGTGTAATGACTATTTTTGGGTGTTTCCAGGCATGATGTGCAGCAGCAGAAGAGTTTGTTTGTGGGAGGAGTCAGAGAAAAGCACTCACATGGAGACAAAATTCACTTTTAGAAAGGTTTGCCTCGAACATATCGGCCCACTTTATCGTTTTTGGTATGCCAGCTATAAAAGCAATCCTCCACTTCTTCCCTGCCTGTCAGATATGTTTGTACAAATAAGTGGAAATCATGGGAACTGGGCTAGCTGTCATTAGCTGCTGCTGCTGCTGCTGGGTATCTTTGACTGTGCCGTGTCTTCCCCCCTCAGCGAGGCATATTGGCAGTGAGTGGAGCAGCGGAGGCAGAAGGAGGAGGGATGCTTTCGGTGTCCGAGGGGAGGCAGATAAACACCACAAAGCACTTTGGTGGTGGAGTGAACGTGAGTGCCGGAGCCACACTTTTAATAAAAGGCTGGTGCTCTCTTTCTCACAAATTCATACACACCACATAAACACAGGAGACAGAACTTCCAAGTAAACACTCAAAACACATGTGCACACACACACACGCACCAAGAATATCTTAAATCTGACTCAACCCCACACACACACACAAACACACACACATTCACAAACAAAATGGGCAGCAAGAGGAGCAAAGGTTGCTGCTGCTCGGTTCTGTATGCAGGATACAGCGCGCTAAACTCAGTCTAACAGGAGCTTTCTACATCCATGCTGATATGGAACATCAAAGAGGAGCAGAACCATCACCGGGCAGTTTTCACACACTGTGGCAATAATAATGCCCGCTATATTACAATCCATTCTAGCGAGGATGGCAATATACTGTATGAATTACACATAAGGCTGAAACAATGGGTCTGCAAATGGACCACATTAGCATCGAGCTGACTAGTGTGAATTAATGTGCCTGGCTGTCACTGCTGTGTGCCATTTAAAGAAGAAGTCATGCAACGCCGACAGAAACAAACCACATTAAATCCTCACACACATGCACGCGCACCTCTTCCAATCTGTTCTGTTGATACTTACATAGTTGTCTCGAGCGGACCAGCCTGGGTAGAGCTGCATGTGGAGCTGTCGTTCCTTGCGGGCTAACTCATAATACTTAGCTTGCTCTTCCCGAGATAAAGCATGCCACTGTTTCAGTACAAAGGGAGATTAGGGGGGAAAAAATAGCAAACAGTCAATTACTGGCATGCACTTGCATGTTCCCTGCATAGAGACGTGTGCTAGTGTTTTGGTGAAACTTAAAAAAAAAAAGTTCTTTTCGACTTCCAAACGTTTGGTGTTAAAACGAGAAAAAAGAAATGGTGGGATAAAAGAGAGACAGAGCAGAAGGGGGGGGACACATGATGAAGAGATTAACATACAGAGTCGGAGGAAGAAGGGGGAAAAAAAACTTTGATTTCATATCAAAACACTGGTTCCAATTTAGCAGCGCTTTTTTATTCAAACTATGTCAGCGAGCAATTACGCTACACAAGCCACAAACTCGGCTTTGCTGTGGCTGGCTGCCTCGACCGCTGGGCCTATTCGTTAAGGCTTTTAACATGGCTCTGTGGTTCCACTCTTTTCCCAATCCTCAAAAGGAACAAATTTTGTCATTTCCAACCGTGCCATTATCCAGGCATGTTTTATTAAAGCCAATTTGATTAAATGTCAGTTAGATAGGCAGACTGGATCGGTGCTGCTGAGAGGAGAGTAATTGGCCGGGGCAATCATTATAGAAATAATCACAGCTAGTTCATAAAAGACTGTTTGTTAATACAGGAAGGAATCTTTGTACTTTTTAGGCTAATTGGACCAGGAAAGGCAGTTCGTGTTGCTGCTGTAGAGCCACAGCTTGACTTGTGATCTCCTGGTGATTAAATTAAATCAACAAAGATAAACTGCAACCATGAGGAGAATGAGACCGGTGCCACCTACCCTTCGTCCCAGGATCTGATTGATGGCCGCACTCTCCTTCAGCGTGCACTCGGCGACCACATTAGCACGCATCTCTTTCATGTAGAGCATGAAGGCGTTTAGCGGCTTCTTGATGTGCGGTCTTTTGGGCTCCTGCTCCTTTCTCTGTTCGTGCTGGGGCTTCCTGTAAAGAATTAAAAAAAAAAAAAAAAACACCATGTATGGGAGGTGAATAGGGAGAAACTGAAAGGAGATTGTGGTGCCACAATGGCGACAAAAACAGCAAGGTTCGGGTTCACCCTCAGCCAATGAGGAGTCAGCGTGAGAGGGGTTACCACGCCATGAGCATGGGCCTCTTTAATCATGTGCAGTTGCATAGTTGCAGCCCTTCATGCAGAGAGATTACTTCACCAGTAATGGCAACCAAACCTCCTCCTTCACATCAGCAATCGTTTAAAACCAAAAGGCGCTCTGCTCTGCTCTGCTCCTTCTCCTGACTCACTTTCTAATAACCTTCTTGATTCTTGTACAGTCTTGGAGCTGGGATAGCCATGAATAATGGAAATATCAGTGATAACCACTTCAGGGCGCTCACAGCACTTCCCACTGTGCTCACTGGGGATGTGAACCGCGTTCATCCCAGCACTAATCTAGGACCTGTATCTGTTGCTGGCTAAGTGAGTTGTGATCCCTGAGGCCGAATGAAGCAGAGGCCTGTTATCAGCTGAGCGCGGGCCCTCACTGCTTATCATCTCACATCAGGGGAATGAGAACAAGGCTCTGACAGAGAGTTTGTCCTCCCGTAAAGGTGGAGTACGCAAATACCTGGAAGTGCATCGCCTCTGAAACTGCCGGTAGAGAAAAAGGGGAGGAAGAGAATAGGGATGGGAATCATCAGTGGCCCAATGATACGATATTATCATGATACTTGGGTCACGATACGATATTATCACGATACTTGGGCCACCATGCAATAGTATCATGATACTTGGCCCACGATATGATATTATCACAATACTTGGGCCACAATACGATATTATCATGATACTTGGGTCACGATACGATATTATCACGATACTTGGGCCACAGTACAATATTATCATGATACTTTTGCCACAATACAATATCAGCATGATACTTGGGCCACAGTACAATATTATCATGATACTTTTGCCACAATACAATATCAGCATGATACTTGGGCCACGATATTATCATGATACTTGGGCCCCGATACGATATTATCACGATACTTGGGTCACGATACGATATTATCACGATACTTGGGCCACAATACAATATTATCATGATACTTAGGCCACCATACAATATTATCATGATACTTGACCCACGATATGATATTATCACAATACTTGGGCCACAATACAATATTGTCATGATACTTAGGCCACGATATTATCATGATACTTGGGCCAGGATATGATATTATCCCGAATGTTGGGCCCCGATACGATAATATCACAATACCTGAGCCATGATACGATATTATCACGATACTTGGGCCACGATATGATATTATTATGACACTTGGGCCATGATATGATATTATCACAATACTTGGGTCAGGATACAATATTATTGCTATTTTTAACATTTTACAATACAGTGAGTATAAAGATACAATATATTGCAATTTATACAATTTTTTCAACTGTTTAGCTAATTCAGCGTATGTCTTTCCTTTATGTTTGTCTTATTTTCACTGTATTTGTTTTCATGTAGCGCATTTTGCAAACCTTATATAAATGTGTTGTACTAACTTTCTCCTGCTCTATGATGTCTCCTCTGCCATCCTCACTGGACAACCAGTTAAATTTTTCCTATTATCATAGATTTGACCTCATATTAACAATTAATTTTTTAAAAATCCATACTTGATAAATGAGAAGATATGATACATCACCAGACAAAATATGGCGATTCTATGCTGTATCAATTTTTCCTCCCACACCTAGAAGAGTGTGTATTTCTCTAATTGAGCAGGACTTACATGTGCATGATGTCCGTTTCATGCAGAGGCTCGTGTTTAACCTGCGGATTGACGATGGCTGGGTGGGGGATCCCTGTGGCGTGGGGACCCGGGGGTCCGGGCACCATGTGGTGTGAGAACCTGCAATAACAGCAGTTTGATTAATCAAGGATGAAAGTTAGAAGCAGAGATACCGTAGCCTTCATAGGAGCAAAGAAAAATCTAAAGTTTACACAAACAAAAAAAAAATCATACATTAAAAGACAAAGAGAGCTTTCAGGGACTCTGCAGAAACAAAGTCATTGTGCATGCACGGATTCCATCAACCTCTTTCCTACGATATTAGAGTAATGCTGTGTAGCAGAGTACAGCTTCAACGTCCCAGAGGGGCAATTTGGCTCACAGACAGCAGCCAATAATATTATAATAATATCCTGCTGTACAGAGTAAACAAGAACACATGAAAATTGAATGAACATAGACAGTCCTTAGATGATAATCCAGCTAGAAAATGAGAAAAACTAACTTCTCTTACTTTAGAAAGAAGCAGCATGGTTTGGCTCTATCCTGAACATGACATCATTTCACTCGACATGCGTGCAATCGTAAATAAAAGGTGACAAAGATCTGCTGCCTCATATCAAAGAGTCAGGATTTAAAGATAGGTATCAGTTGCTAACATGATGAAAGGGAATGTCATCATGTCTTTTTCTTTTATTTTGGACATTTTGCTTCCACAGATCTGAGGAACTTTAAGTATAAAGTCAAGAACAAAACATCTCCATGATGTTTGTCGTTAGTCACAGTCTCAAAAAGACCCTAAATACAGAAAGGGTCTTTAATATAAATAAAAAAGGCTGATGGGTTGAAGGAGATGAGGCTGATGTGGGTCTGGGACAGCAGGAGGTAACTGTCTGGGTTTTAACCACTGACCAATCTTGTGCTTTACATCTGTCTTCACTCAGTATCTTTATTGGAATCACACTGATGGACAGAGAGAAAAATTACAATGACAGACGGACAGAGAGAGAGTAAGAGAAGTTCAGAAAAACACAAAAAAAAGAGTCAGAGGACTGAACTGAACGAGGATGTAGTCCCAGAAGGAAGTAGAAAAAGAGGTAAAAGCTACTAAAAAGCTTTGTCTTGTGAACATGGAGCGAGGCTCAGAGGGAGAAGTGCTTCCAGAGAGCTTTGATGGGGGTTGAGCGGCCATATGGTTATGCAGGGGCATGAATGCGGTGATGTGTTTGACATGTGCTGAGCATACAGAGGAGCCGAGCGGCTGAGGCCGGACAAGCCAGAGGCAGACCTCCCCTACATTGCTGCTGCTGCTGCTGCTGCTACAGGCCTGCAGTCCTCTGTCCAGCACACACAGAGTCAGAGTATGTCTGATGTGAAGAGGCAGCAGAGTGGCCGCTCGCTGTTTACATGAATAATCTCTGCATGCTTTTTTTCTCCATCTGAAACTCACCATCCCAGAGGTGGTGTGATCTGGCCGACTCCTCCAGGAGACAGGGAGTAGAAGTTGGGCATGTCTGATCCAGGATGATGCCTCTGCATTCCTACAGAAACAGAAGTTGAATATAACTGTGAGAGGAAACGACATTAGATATCCATCCTTGTTTTCCAGCTTTATCTATTTATCTGACAGATTTTGGTTCAAATCGATGAGACCACAAAGAACTGGGTTTCAAAAAGACCACAAAGAACTGGGTTTCTATATGGAGCAAATCTATTATGGCACCAATGCATTTTAGCTTTCGGCCCACATCATGACAAAGCAGAGTACAAAAGACAGTTCAAACGTTTCATATAAAGGGCATATTATAAAAAAGAAATATACATTAAAATCAACAGTAGACATACAACACCAGACCTGACTTCAGTCCTAAGTTTGCCAGTTGAACACTTCCCTATGAGGTCAATTTCTGATGTGAGCATTAGGGCTGGGCGATAAACTGAAAATTTACTGATACCGAAATTTACATCAATAACCAACGTCATTTTGACCGTATCGGTATATTCAGTGTCAAAAAAAATAAATAGATAAAAGTTGGTTTTGTATGTGTGTAGGTAGGCTATGATCTCATGTCCCATTAAGACACTGTCCTACATCAGAGACGTGAACTCCGCCCCATCCAGTCTGTAACAAAGAGGGAAAGACAGGTGAGGAGATGGTTCAATCTTTTTTAGTGGCTGGAGCGGTGGCTGAAGTAGATGAAGTTAATGTGGGTCGATTTATGTCCATTTATCATTATCGAGGTGAACTGCTCAATATAACTCAATATTGATTTGAGGCCATATCGTCCAGCCCTAGTGAGCATAATTTATTTGTAATCAGACAAGCAATGATACGTTTACAGAAAACTTTCTGAAAAGTATTTAATAAAATGGGATTCAAAAAAAGTTTACACATTTTAATTCAATTGATTTTAACAGAGGAAACTCAAACCACTAAGGAAGACAATAATAGAGATGTTAATAGTATAAAGTTGAAAAGCACAGTGCACCTTGACTCATCCTGCTTCACTACAACTCAAGGACAGTTGACACGTCAGGCCTCTCGACCTCACATTATTAAGCTGTAATAAAGGGATCCTATTTTCTGGGACTTAGCAGAGTCCTTACACTGTGTTTGGGCGTCTTTAAGCCAGTTAATTGAGGCTTCCTCTTTGTGGCACAGGCTGCAGCTCTCCCTGTAGACACAGGATTGACTTGGAGTAACTGTCTGTGGATCTTCAGGACTAAGCTCCCCCATCTCCAGCTCGCCTGCTTCTGCTGGGTTTCAAGGTCGAGGGGTCGCTTTTTGCAGGAAGATTTACCCAGGGGCGTGGATGATATCAGATCACTTGAGTTTGAGAAAATCTACGGTGGCCAATGTGTCCTTGTTTTTTTTCATTTTTGGTAAAGTTCTGACGTAATTTGAGTCTGAAGATATCAGGATATACAGTACGGCCTTACAACCTTATGTGAGCTTAAACACACACACAAAGAAAAGAGGCCAAACGCTTTCAGATTAACACCAACTCCTAATCCCCGCTGGAGCCAGCCTTTTCTCCCAGCCTCTATCTTTTCTCTTTCTCCTTCTCTCTGCAGGCTGTGGTCTGAAGGGGCCTCCCTCCTCAGAGAGAAGCCGGGCGAACGGGGGGCTTATATCTCCAAAGCCAATGTTGCAACGACGGATTCATAGCGTGCATAGCACTACCCCCTGCCCACTAATCCACCACGTAACACTCCTGAGGGCCCTCCTGAGGGCAGGAGCGAGGGAGGCGCGGGGGTGATTCAGTGAGGAAGGAGGAGAGAGCCCCGACGTGTTAACCTTGTCACTCACACCCCTTAAGGTGCCTAATTACTCACAGTGCTGTTCACACTTTCCCGCTGACGCCCAACAAAGCTTCACACTTGCATTTCCTCTCAAAACAAGCAACGCTGACACGATTCTCATTGTTATATGTGGGAATAATTTACATTCAAATTAGTGCTACTGTGTTACATTTCAATTTTACTTTTATTTTTTTACAGAGAGGAACACATACAAGGTTGGGATGCAAAATGTTCAAACACCCCCCCTTCCTTCCTCCCTCACCCGACCTTCCATCCTGCACTGCGGCCCTGTGCATATTAGAGCTCATAATGAGAAAATCCATGATTGTTTTTCATAATTAACAAGCAGATCAAAGTCTGAGCCCACTAAGGAAGGCAGAGCAGCAATTGGTCGATATTAGAGAGAGACCGGGAGAGAGAGAAAGAGAGAGAGAGAGAGAGGAGTATAAAAAGAGAATAAGAGAGATTTCCAGCATCTCCAGCTTGGCTCTGCTGGTAGTAGACACTCATGAATATGCCTTGGGAAATCATTTGCAGCTAATTCCGCCACTGGCTCTCCTGGACTTAGATTTCTGTTAGGCTGCGGGCGAAAAGATCAAATATAGTGTGAAGAACAAGACCTCCGGGGGTCTCCTCTGCTCTTCAGCAACTAAACGGACCAACACAGAAAAAAAAGAAAGCACTATCTTGTAAATTGTACTTACATGACAATAACTTTCTAAAATCTATTGCGTGCATGTGCAGACTGTGATTTACTGCTCGATTTCGTGTCAACACAAATTCTTTCCTGCTTCCATTGGAGAAATATTCAACAAACTGTGTCTGATGTATGATTCCTCTGACATATGTGGAGCACAGATTCTTAAAACGTCTCTCATTCCCTTCATCTCACTACTCTGTGTACTCTGTTCTACATTGTTATTTATAGCCGGTTCCTCAGAACCTCCCAGCCTCATCCTCAACTTCTTCATCGCCTACATCCTGTCTGATCCCTCTTCCCCTTTTCAACTGGCAGCCGCGAGAGAAGAAAGCCAGAAGAAGAAGAAAGAGAAGAGGAAGAAAAGGTGCAGGGACAAAACTGCGGAGGGCCCACGTCTTTTTTTCAGCATTAGCGAGAAGCTGCCAAAGTCTCCAGCTGCGTGGGGCTGAGGAGGCTGCGGAGGCTCGTCCTCACTGCTGAGCAGCTCGTCTGCAGCTGTCAGAGCAGAGCTGTGATGTTGTTACTGAGAGGCAGAGAGCGCGAGGGAGAGAGGGCAGGGGAGCTCGGCGCACCGTGTCCCACAGGCTGCTGCTTCAAATGAGTTCATGTGAAGGAGTGGGGAGAGAAGGATGGCTTTGCTGTGACACTTTGATTTTTTGTTGTCTTGATGGATTCCTGACAGTTCTGACAGGTGGGGACTCAGAAAATAAACTCTGGTGATAGTTCAGTTCAATGAAGAACAAGCTGATTATTCATTAGTTAGAATATGTCACACTGCTACATGGGGTGCAGTCTGTTTCAGGGGTAAACTGTTAAACTGTGGTCCTGCTAGTGGTCCTCTGCAGTTTTGATGCAGACGTGCAGCTTCCTCTTTCCTGAACAATCTTTATTCACCGCTCTGCCAGAGTCAACCAGCAACACCCAAGATTTATTACCTGCTAGTATCTCCCCTTCTTTCTTTAGATAAAACTTTTTTCTTTCTATTTCTTTCTTGTTCCTTATTTCTTTCTCTTTCCTTCTTTCTTTTTTCTTCTCTTTCTTTGTTTTTGCTTCTTTCTTTCTTTATTAATTTGATCTTTTTTTATTTCTTTGTTTTTGTTTCTTTCTCTTTGTTTTTGCTTATTTCTTTCTTTCTTTCTTTCTTTCTTTCTTTGTTTTTGTGTCTCTCTTTTTTCCTATTTCTTTCTTTGTTTTTGCTTCTTTCTTTCTTTCTTTCTTCTTTGTTTTTTCTTTTTTTTCTTTCTTCCCTTCTTTCTTTTCTTTTCCTTCTTTTTCTCTCTTCCCTTCCTTCTTTCTCTTTCGTTCCTTCTTTCTTTCTTTCTTTCTTTCTCTTCCTTCCTTTCCTTCCTTCCTTCCTTTCTTCCTACCTACCTTCCTACCTTACTTCCTTCCCACCTTACTTCCTTCCTACCTTACTTCCTTCCTTGCTTTTTTTCCAACCACGTCAATTTCACAATTCGACAATATCATAGCAAATCACAATATTTCTTATTCATTAGTTTGAAGGGAGGAGAAAGAAGATACAAAACTTTACGCAGGTATTTTTGTCGCACTCGCAAACACGACGCAGCTGACTTTTTAGGCATCAAAAGTTTGTCACGCACACCAAATGTGATGGTATTTTAAATGTAGGAGAAAGAGAGAGCACGAGCAGAAACACCTGGAAAAGATCAAGCTAAAAGTCACACAAAAAAACATCTTGATCTGACGTAGTCACAGGCACACCAAGAGATTCACACTCTCAAACATCTGCCTTTGTTCTGCCTGTTTGTTTGTCTTTATTTTTCTATTTCAGTCTGAATATCTATCTATTTTTGTACCGAGGGAGATAAAACAAGATATTAAAAGACTGATATTTGCACCCAGTTGGAAAACAACTTTGAGTTTTTGAATCAAAATGATTGAAAAAAACTCCCAGAATACTGATTTACATATTTCTGCTGCAGAGTCCAGTGTCATGATGTGCTCTGAATGGATATTTATACCTTTGTTGTTGGCATCCTGTGGGTGATGACCAGAATGGGACCCTGGGGCGAAGTGCTCATCGCTATACGTGATCAGGGGGGTGAGAGGGTGGACTGCATGGGACGGCTGCACCACGGGGACTTTGTTGGACTGTGAAGGAACACAAACACAAACATTAAAAATATGAGCGATTACAGACACTGCACACAGGCTTTAGCATAATACTCCTACTCCATGCTACACGATCTGCGAACTAGTACAGCAACATTTAGTCCAGGTGGTCTGCCTACTTGTAGATGTAAGGGGAAGCTTAACAGTACGCTCAAGAAGAGAAAGTAAATAACTTTAATTTCTTCTCTTTTCAGCAGCCAGAGCTCAGCACCTAAAAACTTTGTTTAGCCGAGGTCAGCAGGACCAAAAACTCAACTCCCTCCCAAAAAAAGAGGAAAACAAGTCAAAGAGGTGCTTGAGCATGTTTGAGACAGCAAAAAAGAGAGATAGAGAGCAAGAGATGCAACCAGAGCGGGAGCAAAGACGAGTGAGCGAGAGATAGAGTGAAGAGAGGGGAGAAAAGAGAGATTCACAGGGTAGAGTTAGAGCAGAGGTCTTAGGCGGGAGATCAAAGGGAGTCATTAGCTGGTGAATAAGGGGAGTTCATTACAGAGCAAGAGCCGGGGGAAGGAGAGATGAGGGATGGAGGAGGAGGAGGAGGGGGAGGAGGAGGAGGAGAAGGGAGGGGAGGGAAGGAGAAAGAGAAAGAGAGAGAGAGAGAGAGAGACCGTGAGTGAGACAAATGTCTGCAGCAGTACTTAATGCAGGGGTAATCACGTCAACAGTGGCCTCCCATCCCTGGCTGACTCACAGAGACCTGCCTCCTCCTGACAACCAAAATAGAGCGAGCCAGGCCCAGAAGAGCCCGGCACCAACCCCAACCCCAACCCCCAGCCCCCAGCCGACAGTGCTTACATGCTTCAGCAGCACTGAACACATGGTAATGCTTAGCCATGCTAAATCTACTGTTCACAATCTGAGCCCAGAGCTGAGCTGGAGTCAAAATATCACCTCCACAGGATATCAGGCTAATCGGAGACGACATCAGTTCACAATTGGGTGAGACATGCTTACACCAAAGCCCTCCCACAAGTTTGAATCAAAGGGTTTCACTAAAATGTAATCAGGGGCTCTTGTGGGGAAAGTGACCTGGTTCCAAATGTTGCAAAGAGACTCATCTGAGTTCAGAGGAAGGGATAAAAATCCAAAAAAGGGACACCTCTGAATCAGCTTTTACTTTAGGGACATGTCCACCACGGTGGCAGTCCCGCAGTGCTGAGTGGTGCCCCTCTGACCACACATACACACAAACACAAAATCCCTGGACCACAAGGGCGCCTGGAATGTCCAAGTTACCCACGAACCGCTCACTGACTGGCACCGCGCTCAACTTAATACCACCACCCCCCACCCCACCTTCTGGGAACGTCCAAACTGGGAACACAAAAGGCCAGTATGTGTGGTTTTGTGTGTGTGTGTGTGTGTGTGTGTGTGTGTGTGTGTGTGTGTGTGTGTGTGTGTGTGTGTGTGAGCATGTGGAAATAAAAGAGGTCTCCCCAACCACATGACATGTCATCCACATCAGACGCCTTATCGGTCTGGGAATCTCATCTCCTCCAGCCATTTTCTTTCCCAGTCCTGCTTCTCGATATGAGCCTCATCATGCAGCACAGTTCACAGTTCAGTGTTTTTTTCTAACCATGTGAGTCTGCACTCGCTGTCTGCTTCAGCCAGAACAACACAAATCCCACCTGAAAACTAATTAGGCCATGAGGCTCTTCAGATTAGCCCAGGTGAGTGAGGTTCTTTGACCCCGGTCAACGCGAGTCAAAGGTGACGGGATAATCTCTGAGAGTAGGAGTGCCAGACCTCATCCCAAAGAGGGGAGGGATTATACAGGAGTGCTGCAAACCCTGAAGGAGGACTAACCAGGACCTGGGCAGCTGGGACATGCCTGCAGCAGGGGCTAAATGATAGCATTCTCGCCCATATTCTTTTACGCCTCTCCACTCCCATTTGTTCTCCGGTGGGAAAAAAGATAAGAACCTGAGGGGTTAACGTTTAGCTCAAGGACCTCTTTAACTTGAAGCAGAGAGAGACACCAGTATAGACAAAGAAAACGTGCTTTACTTGCTCCAAAAACATAAACCACAATACTAAAAAAAAAAAATAACTCATCCACCCTTTAGTGCCAGTCGAAGCTCAAGGCTTCTTCTTCTTCTTCCCCAGAGGTGAAACCATTTGTTGTGCTTTTCTCAGTCACATCTGTCAGATCCAATTCTTCTCCACTTCTTAATAAACTGCCTCTTTTGTGGTGAAATCCACTGGAAAAAACCTGCAGACCTCTGTGACCAATACAGAGTTTATGGCCATTTACATAAACTGCATACCATGACTAACCAAGTTTACATCCAGAAGAAAGCAGCGAGGCTTCAATCTAAACATCCATACAGTAGTACGATGGGAGATTCGAAATCATGTCGTGTCATGTGGTGACGATTTCATCTTTAAGTTGCAGTTATTTAGCAGCAACAGCTTTTACAGAGACATCCTTATAATTCTTTAACATGAGCAGCGTGTTGGCTATCTAAACACACACACAAAAATATGCATTTACACACAAAAAGCACAACACACTTCCACTCAAGTGACCACAATCATCAGGGTCACACCACATTTGCCGGGTTTGATCCCCCTCTCATCCCGGTCCTCACTGTCAGAGCTGCTGGCTGCAGCAGATGCAGCAGTGGTATGATCGTGATGGAGGGCGGCCATATTGGAGGTCCCCCTTTTTATTGTAAAGGAGAAATAATAGGCTTAGGATCTTTCTATTCATATTTTCAGGGAGAGCCAAAGAGGAGAGGCGGCGAGGACTGAAAAGAAAACGTTCCATTTGGAATTTCATATCCAGGCTTGGCCGGCCCTCCTAAAGAACCTCTCAGATGTGGTTTTAAGAGAAATTCATTGTGCGGAACTGGAGCTGGCAGGGAGCCCTCCATGGAGGAGACACTCCAGTTTGTTTCAGCATGGGGAGCCAGTGACTTTGGCGTGCCGTCTGAAAATGGGGGTGGGGAAGGAGTGTTTCATTTTTGGTTCTTTTTGTTTTCTTTTTTCTTTTAATTAAGGAGAGCGTTTGTGTCGGCATGCTGGTGTCTCCGAGTCCATCAACTCCATCACCGTCCTGCTGAGGTTTCAGAGCACGAGCATTGGTGTTTGCACGTTTATATGCAATAAGTATCCCTGCAATAATGCCTTTTAGCATCTCTCTCCCTCTCTCCCCTTGCAGCACTGCTTTTGTACTCCACTCAATTATACCACTTCTGCAGAGTGGAGTGGAAAAAAGGGAAAGCGGGAATTTTATAATAATCACTTCCCACTTCTGTAATTTATATGCAATGAGGACTCTTTGCGCCTGCAGCTACAATCAAGTGTGTGGAAACCATGTGAGGTGTTTCACAAACAGCTGGGGAGATGGCAGCTCAAGTGGCGGCGATGGATTCCCATGCTGCCAAATCTTTTCACTAAGAAGCCCTCCTCACCCTGAAACCTGGCCTTACCCAACTCACAGGGCTGTTAGCACTCTGAGGGAGAGGATGCACCAGAAAATACAGCCCAGAATATTAAAAGAAGTCAGAAAAGAAAGATGAGGTAGAAATTGTTCCTCTTAACTGTACCAAAGTAGGGCTGGGCGATACGGGAAAAAGTTTCTCACAATATTTTTTTTCATATCAGTCGATATCGATATATATATCATGCTATAAAAAATGACATTTATCAGTGCTTATTGGTAGGATGTCTTTTGGAATACAATAAGCTACTGCATCTTTGTGTCCCTTTGACGTCTCTTAGTTGTTGTGCTAGAGAAAGCGGACTGAATGGTCGGTTCAGCGCGGCGCAGACCTGGAGCAACTCCCCTTTTCATTGGCTATTCGTACAGTCTACCAAAACATGGCAGAATGCCGACTATCAGGAAGCATACTGACCATGTTTCATATTGATATTGAGGGAAATTAAGTTTTGATATGTATCATTATCATTTTATCGCCCAGCCCTACCATAAAGTATTGATACAGGTTAATTTCAACCACCTGAGGAAATGAGGTCCTCTATTGAGGGAATGATTACTAAAGGAGAAAACCTGCATGGATCTTTTTTAAATACCATGTCCTGCTTCCCTGACAGCATAGTCATACAGAAGACCAAATCACAGATGCAAGACTATAAATCTGAAATGTGCAATATGTGACAAAGGTGTGTCCACACCAGGTGTTCACTCTCAGGTGTGTCTGTGTGCAAACTGTTCGACCTCTTTCCCACAAAAGTGAGCAAACAGTTTCCCACAGAAGCTGTACAGCACGGAAAAGAAAAGGGACCGCATCTCCCTCCTCCCTTCCCTCTTTACCAAAACCAGTGGAGACCAACCTGAGGAAGCTTAAATAAATAACCAATTACCATTCATAGAGCAGGTCGAACCCCAGCAGCTCGGAGAGAAGTGCTAAAAATGGAATGCTTTATTGGCAGGACGGCCAGAGGGCTTAATGTAACAAAACCCAATTAATGGAGAAGAAAGCTGGGCCGCCAGCGAGTAAAGGAGCGCCACAAGCCCGGGGTAATGAGACGAACAAGCAAAACCAACCAGGAGGACAGAAGTGGAGGAGGCTACGAGTATCAGGAAAAGCCTGCCCTGGAGACAAAATTACATCTGTAAAACTCCCCCCTTCTTCTAATCTCTTCTTCTACCTGTTCTGTCATTTCAATCAGAATTCCTGTCTGAGGCCAAAAGTTGAAGAGAATTAAGACACTGAGGATTGAGGGCAGTTTGTTAAAAAATGGAAAATAAACCTTAAAGACAAACACTGCAGACTCAAGTTCGACAGCAAAGAGAGATATGTTATGGTTTAACCGGCAGGACATCTTTATCATGCGAGGAAACTGGTCATGCTGTCCTCTTAACACCAACATATACACTTCACTTTATAATAAACACGGCCTGCACACGCCACTGTGAAAACATGAAATCCACAAGGGGGAAAACACCACTAAAGCACATAAACATGCTGTAAACAACGGTCATGGTACATTTGAGGGATCAGAGACACTGAAAACCACGGGTTTAATGAATTTAACACATACATGCTACATATGAACACAAAGGAGCTATTAACAGCTGACTGTCTCCCCCCACCACCGCCGCCGCCGCCGCCACCGAGCACAACTGAATAGGTCGAGGTGGATTACCCATCATCCTTCAGTTGGCATGAAGAGCATGTGCTCCGAGCAAACCAATCACACAAGCTGCTCTCACAGTGACACCCTGAACGTGCAAAGAAGATAATTTGTGTGAAATATGCCTGCCTCCGATGAAATACTTTATCCGCTTTTGAAAGTATTCAACTCTTCATTTTTTTGTTGAGGAGCTATCAAAAAAAGAGCAAAAAATGAACAATAAAAACGATCAAACCGCTATATTTTGCTTGTTTATCAATAGTTATTTGAGTAGAGAGTCATTTGACATCAGCGTGTCCTCTCTACAGCCTTGGGGGTTGGAATTACAAACTGTTGTTTCGTGTTAGGCAGGAACTCAACAACTTTTTTTATTCGATCTCAATAAAATCAGCTCACACTCACAGATATTAAAGCGATTTCACACGAGCAGGAACTTTCCAACTGAATGTACGCACAGTAGTGATTCAGTCTGATAATTATAGCCACCACGCTAACAAGTAGCATGACAGCACAGCCCTGACTGTGATCACGCTCAGCTGCCTTCGAAGTAAAACTACACAAGCAATCACAGGTTCTTATTCCATTTTTACGGTTTATTATCTCATCTTTCTGATACCAACGAGGCAAAATGTTCGTTCATGATCAAAACACAGAGAATATTTCTATTACCTTCTGTTTATTTGGTGGGCACAAAGCTTTAGATTGCTGACCTGTCCATGAGGATGAAAACCACGCAGACATAAAAGAGGGATGTTAAATCACAGAGGTAAGCCAAAGAAACATCAACCAAACTTAAGAAGACAGGCACTGTTGAGGGAGAAGAAAACACTAACAGAGAAAAACGCTGATGTGCCGCCAACCGCTGAAACTGAGTGACAACTTTTTAGCTGCATAGCTTATTTTCTTTTTTTAGTCATATCAAATTAAAACTACCAGCTTGTTTGAATATTTACTTGGTATCCATGTATCTATGGTGGGATAACGCTAAGAAGAGCAAGTGATTATGCAAAAAAGAATCCTGACTGGGTGAGACAAGACCTGAGGCAGAGGGGTCTGGCAAAGAGATGTTAAGATGATGATCATAAGATGATGTTGTCCAAGTCTGGTTAAAACTTCTTCAGCTGTAAACCTATAAATCTCGGGACATGGCCTTATCATTTCACTTTGAAGTCCCCAGAAACCAACTGCTGCTTTTGTTTTTGACCAGTTGCATTAATTTGATTTGGTGGTTTGGCTCAGTGGTGTGTTCCTCATGGTTTCAGTCTTTAAAAAAAAAAAGAGAGAACGTGATAAGTCAGGGTTTGGCTGCACAATAAAGGCATTTTCTGTTTTACACATTTAACATTAGTTTTGGTCTTTTAGTGGGAATTTTGATAAAAGGGTGATCAACCAGCTTCAATAAAGATTTGGGCTTTTTTTGTAATTTGATAATGTTGGTTTTGGTCACTGAAGTCAGATGTGTTGCCTGTTAAAGTTTGAAATGTTTTTATACCCTATGACGGATGACGAGCATATTCATACTAGGGGTGGGAATCAGATATTATCACAATACTTGGGCTACGATACAATATTATTGCGAGTTTTAACATTTAACTGTTTATCTAATTTAACATTTGTCTTTCCTTCTTGTTTGTCTTATTTATGCTGTATTTTATTTTCATGTAACAAATCTTGCAAACCTTATATGTATTTGTTGTACTAATTTTCTCCTGCTCTAAGATGTCTCCTCTGCCAACCTCACTGGACAAACAGTTGATTTTATTTTTCGCGATACTTGGTAAATGAGACGATACGATATATCACCAGACCAGACAAAATATTGCAATACTATGCTGTATCGGTTTTTCTCCCACCCTTAATTCACACGATCTGAGCAGCATGTGGAAGATGATCAGGTGTGAGTAGAGGTCTGCTTCTCCACTACACTGCTTTATTCACAAAGAATCTGTGTACGTGTGTGTACGTGAGTGTGTACGCGTATGTGTGTGTGTGTTTGTGTGTAGAGGGGGGGGTGGGCTGCTGCTCTGGCAGAGCCCTGGGCGAACTGCAGGATGTTCACCTTGCGGCGGGGCACAGGGCTCATTATCACAGCAGGACCTGGTCACATCAAAGGATTGAGGAAAGGGCAAACATTCTGCTGAAGTGCCACAGTCAGCAGGCCTGCGAGCGCGCACGCAAACACATACACAAAAGGCAGACCGCACACACACTCGGGCACCCGATAGGCAGCTACATATGACTCTTCTAAGAACATGGCTGCCCTCTGTAACAACACTACTTTCAATCGACCGAATGTGGGACGTTAGCATCAATTTCTACTCTCCCTAATTTGTTAGCACTTATTTAGTTAATGAGAATCGGCTGCATCTGGAAAATAGACACCAAAACCCAAAACAGTATTCTGTTTTGTAATGAGAAGTATGCCTGTCAATGCACCAATCCTTTACCATGAGTAATAGGAGTGGAAGAAAAAATTGATTCACATAAGTATCGCGATTTTTTGTTTTACAATTTTTCAATCGATTTCTATGTTAAAAAATCGATTTTTTTTTTTAATTTAAGAAACAATCTTAAAAACTGACTTACATGTGATGTGTATTTTGGGGAAAATATGGTTCCTGGGATAATCAGTGGACATTCATTATCATATAACAGTTTCACTGGTGTTAAAAATGCAAACTAAAAATTGAGAAAATCGACAAAATCGTAGAATCACAATTTAAATCGAATCGGCATCCAAAAAATCGTACAAGCATATCATCCCAGCCCTTATAAGTAATAAAACAACTGACTTATCTAGGGTCACTCTTTATGTGAAGATAACAAACAAAAACAGCAACAATTTAGTACTGGTAGAGATGAAAGCATTAGACAAAGCTAGTGACAGATTAGCAATGAGTGTTTTTCTAATGTTTCTTGGTAAAGTGTCGGAGCAATCCACTTTTACTCAAGTCTTTGCATCTGGATGAGTGGTATCAGTCAATAGGTTCATCTATTACAATAAGAGTCCTGATGTCTTCAGCTGCGTCATTCCATTTTTTACCTGATCAGCTGCGTGTTTCAAACCACAGGGAGTGTTTTTCTCTGTCCTGAGTTTGAACCGACTGTTCACAGTTGACCACAAGCAGAAAATGTTTGGGTCACTCTTTATTTTGCTTTCTGAATCAATCGGCATCCCTCTCTCTCTCTTTCTCTCTCTCTCCCGGCGACTATTTATAGCCATGCTGCTGCTGCTGCTGCATTAACACACTGCATGATTTATCATTAGAAGCCAGCTCTGGTCTGCTGAGTAGCTACATTCATGCCAGGCTGTGCTGTGGTGCCAACATCCACATTCAAACAACAACACTGGAAGGCCCTGAGAGATGTACACAAATAAAAACGCAGCACAAGCTAACTCTGTGTGGTAAGCGCGCTAAAATCTTAGCCTCTGCACAATACCACAGACAGACATAGAGAGAGAGGGAAATAAAACGCAGTACAGAATGGAGGGAAAAGTGCTGATGAGTTGCTGCATGCAGGAGCTTCATAGAGCCGTTGAACAAGAGAGGATTTGCCTGCTACACCTAGATAGTGTTTCCCCCCCTCAGCTTTCGCCCAGGTATTCTGGGCATGAATGGCTGTCAGTTTGGATTTGGGAGCTCAGCGTTGAGGGGGGAAAATAGAGTCTGGTGGGGGTCTTTGTACGTCTCTACCTGTGGAGACGAGAGCTGGAGACCGTCCTCTTTTTCCCCCTAATTCTAAGCTAGTTCTGTTGCAACACTGCACATTACATCCGCAGGAAGGAAGAGGTAAATATTAGCACTGGAAGCTAGCAAGGGAAATCTGGACGAAGACAGAAGACAGACAGCCACCAGGCTGTAGAGGCGCTGCAGCGTTTGTGGGGAAGGTTTTTAATGGCACACACTTGGAAAATGTGGATGGGGAGGTGATTTGAATGAGAGCAGCTTGTGCCTGAGCTGTAGAGAGTATTGACCTAGTTTTCCTTCTGTATTTCACTCAGACAGATGCACACCCACCGACACTAGGGGTGAGCATAGAAAGAATAAAAATACTGACGCATTAGTGAACCGGTGCAACTGATGACTTCATGAAACAGAAAAACTCCACGTATCACGTTTGTTGTGATGTGGTTAGGTGCTGTATGTGCGGTTATGTAATGAAGCCCTGTGACCTCGGATGTCGTGACACCTGTGTCCCGCCTTTGAACTGAACTTTAGACCCCAATAACCGACCCTCCTTTCATCTCCATGAACACACTACACTCACTTTGTCTCCTTATACTTCCAAGTTCTCTTGTGGACAAAGATGTGTGTGTTTTATTATTATATTAAAACCTGCTTTTGCTCTGGTTTTAATCAGGATCATGCCAGAGAGCTAGACACAGTCATGATTTTGGATCACACTCCAGACCTCTCAGCTCATTCAGATTGTGGATTCTGCAACACTACCAGCAGCCTCCTATTTGGGTGTGAGTCCACATTTTAAGGGATTAACTAGTAAAGACAACCAACAACTGCCTTTGAGCCTGGTATTAGCTATTAATCAAACCACAGATTTTAGGGGTCCTTCCTGGCCGGGCACACACGCCCCTGTTAAGATCTGAATGGAAAGCACAAAGCCATTCAAATCTGATCCCCTCTGAACAAATGGCTTTTCTTCGTCCCTGCTGGCTTGGAGAACACTTAAAGAACCTCTCCAAAGATCTGAATGGTCACATGAAAACTCCGCCTCATCAATTAGCTTTGTGACAGGGTTTTGTGAGCTCTAGTCCAAACAAAACAATGACCATGTACAACATGGCAACAGACAACGTCTGCTTATCCCTTGATACCTCTAAAGAAATGGTAATAGTGAATTTCAGAAGCACAAAAGAGACTCCTTAGGCTCGGGGCCGTATGGATACGGCAACATTATAGGCCACTCTTATGCACCTGATGCCACGATTCTGAATGATAAGCCGTACAAAGGACACACTGTGGTTGTAATACAGCTCAAAACTGGATTTATTCATGGCCGACTGCTCATGTTCAATATAATCTCATACAGCTATTAAGAAATCAACATTAACTTGAATAAGCAGCAGCATGTGCTGCAAATTATCTGACTGGTTTTTGAAAAAAGGGCCTTCTGTTGGTGATTCTCACGACAGCTGAAACACTCGGCCCCTCAGATCATTTTGAGACACCTCTTTCCTTTGCCTCGAAATCTTACAGAACCAAGGTGAGTGTTAGTTCATTTATGTGATGTCCAGGCTTAAGTTTGAGCCAGTCACAGCTCAGCTAAGGGTTTCCACAGTCAACAGGTCAATCCTTGAATCAAAAGAATAGATGCTGATTTCCTCCTCTCTTTCTAATCAGGTATAAGACTTTAGCATCGTTATCCTTCGATTAGATCTCCTATCTTACCTACATCAAGAAGTTCCGTTGATGCAGTCTAATAGATGCTGACAAAATGACAGGTTAGGCCGCACAGTTGAAAGTTTTATGAAAAAGCAAACAACTTGTACGCTGTGTTGTGCGGATATTGAAGTGGTTTCACCGTTAGGGGTTGGGAGACATGCAAATGTAGATTTAAGGTGCGGGGCACGATGGGCACTCACACTTCCCCTATCTTTCATCTCAAAAGACAGGGATATAGTGGGGGTGGATTGATTTGATGTTTTGATGCATTGTTTGATGACGGGCAGCTCAAAGTGGAGGAGGCCTCTGTGATGTTTCTCCACTGGAGGACATGAAAAGCGTCACCTGGCCCCCGAGCTGAGGGGTTATGGCTGCTAGTGGATTTTAAGGGCCCCTGCTGAGCTGGACGGTGGCTCCATTAATGCCACATAATCCATTCGGCGTGACCTTTATATTTTTAGAGTCAGCTACACTTCCTTACACGCCGCCTTGTTCAAACTATCCTGATCAACCAGGATGTATAAAAACAGGACGGTATATCTAATTAATTCAATGTGTACATCCCATGAGGAAAATAAGAGCCTTCCATCACCGACCGAGCGGACCGATGATCAAAAGAAACACGAAGCACAAGGCGAGCTCATCAGATGAATAAACACGTTCTTGCTAGAGATCTTTGTGGGTTTCATCATCCTGCATCAAGTGACTGCTGAGGAAAAAACAAAGCCTTGTTCTCATCCCTGTGACATCAGTGCTAACAGAGCAAGCACAGAGGAAGAATCAAAGAGCAGGCAATCATATATCACCAATTAGACACTAAACCTGTGAATCTGCATTTTACTTTGGCCTTTTATCCGACCTATTATTTATTTCTCAAACCCCAAATGAACGTAGCATGGGTCGAAAAGAAAAAAGAAAAAAAGCCATACAAATAAATAATCTCATAACGTACGCTAGGTGGTATTAGTCATGAACATCAAACTCCTACATCGTTCTAGATTTGCCTAAACTCGGAGCAAACATAATTGGGATAAATCTCCTCAGTGAGCCGTATAAAAAAGCAGAAGGGTGTAAATTGTTACACTGCTGTGTGTTAAGACACTGAAGCAGTCGCACAGATCAGACGAGAAGCAGCAGCAGCAGCAGCGGGGAGAGAGCGGCATTCAGCTCGCCTGTTTTCCTCTGTGACTCGGGGCCACTGAGTTTTTCTCCAGCCATAGTAAATTGGGCGCCTGGGGCAGGAGCCTTGGCCGAGCTTGCATTTCAGAGCCAGCTGCGGAGGGCATGAGGGATAGAGATATGGCACTGGAGGGGGGACAGGGCGGAGGATGGTGGGGGAGGACTGGGAGCACAGTGGAGGTGACATCAGGCACATGTTCTGACACAAAAGAGAGCCGGCTCGTTAGCACGCTAACTAGAAAGCTCCATGGCAATCAGCGCTCGTCATTCTCTCTGCTCTCTCTATCCACCTCGTCATAAATATGGCTACATCTGCAAGTGTAATCACTCCATTGTACTCTGATTTTCTGCTCTGCTGGACAGCAGCATGGCAGCCTGCTTTTCAGCACCTCTCCTCTCTCCCTCAATCCCTTCCTTTCCCTCAAGTGCCCTCGCCTGTGCCTGGCTACTCCTTTTTGCCGGTGAGGCCGGTGTGTCTGGCAGATTACAGAGCTCCGGTCGCTCAGGTAACAGGAGTCACTAATCTGGCTGGGCTTGAATTACACATAATTGCCTCGGCACTGTGATTGATTTCAGCCCTGGAAAGGAAAAGACGACGTTTCTCCCCCCTTCAAAAAAAAAAAAAAAAAAAAAAAAAAAACACCCCCATCTCCCTCCCTGCCTCTCTCCAGCGCTCACGAGCGGCAGCCAAGACTCTCCATCTAGTAGGAGGCAGGAGGCTTTGAAGAGATCAAAGCCAAGGCCGGGAGCAGTTGCGCGCCCTGGGAATACGGGAGGGAGGCTTTCTGCTCCTCAGCCTTATTTTCTAGCGTCATGTCGGATTGCAGCTGTATTGCATTTCGCCAGTTTTCTTAATGCTCTTGGTTTTGACTTTGACATCAGTGATCCCCCTCGGTTTCTTCAAAAACAAGGGGGAGGAGAAAAAAAGGGAGACTGAGGAAGAAAGAGGGAGAGAGAGAGGGGGAAGAGAAAGAGAAGGGAAGAAAAGAGAGGCAGAGGGGGTAAGGAGATCTACAGACTGATTTTTATTTTCACAACTCCATAATTGGCCAGTTCAAAGGAAAGGAGGGGAGAATGTAGCATTTGTTTTCAATTCTGCTGCCGATATGAAAGGAGCGACAAAGTTTTATGGGTTTCCCAAAAATTAAAGACAGGCTTTTTTCACAGTCGAAGAACAGGGAGTTTTTTTATGAGAGAGAGACCACACAAAATGAACTGATAGCAGAACCCTCCTCTTGTCCTCCCACTGAAAGCTCAACATTGCAGCATAACTTCTTTAACACTGTGTGTGTCTGTGTCTGTGTGTCAGTGTGAGTCTCCAATGAAAACCAGTTCAATGTACATTCTGGAAATTGTTACAGAGAGAGAGGGAGAGAGCGGTTTGAAGTTTAGCGCTAAAACACAAAAGGAAGCATCAAGAAAGAGCCCGGGCTTGTATCCATCCATTCATTTAACAGCTCGGCTAATAAAGCCTGGTGGCGAGAAGGCACCCCTTTGTACTGAAACTATGCAGGCCCTATACCAACCTCCTACACTGGGGACCATTAATATTTCAGGGCTGTCAGATACACATTGCATGTGAGCCTCTTTAGCACTCACACCCTCTGCAGAAAGAAATAATGAGCTTCTGAAAAATATGAAACAGCAAAGAGAAGGAGGGAGGGCGGGGGTGTGCCACAGACTGACCAACTTCATACAACAGAGCTGCTATTGATCATAGCTCTGTTTCTTAGCCGGACAAAGTGGGGGCTGTTTGAGCTCCTCTGAAGTCTGGACACAGCCGGCAGGATTTGCACCCATGTTTCACTCCTGTGGTCCTATTGTTCCCCACGCTGCAGTTTTACTAGCTGGAACACTGCTTGCCTCTATATGGAACCAGCAAGCTGTCAGGATGGAGTCAATAAAGCTATTCATGTTTTTACTCACTTTATGACTGTGTCAGGGAACAGTGAGGTACTGTGATCGGCTTTGAGGGACTATTGTTGAGCTTCAGTGATGGGTTAAAAGACCGAAGCGGGTTAATTAGCTGACACGGATTTAACACTTTTTTTTAGACGACTACAGAACGAGTGTTGAAGTTAACATTCAACTCTGATAAAACAAAATTTACCAACTTTCTTCTTTTACCAACCACAACCTCACCAACAGTCACGTCAAATCATCAGCATTCCACAAACACCGCTCAAAAGTCTCGATTTCTAACCCGCCCTTCCAGGATGTCCACACCCAGCCAGTTCGAAGAGAACTGGGGCGCACAGAGGGGACAACCTTGGCGAGGCCCTGCGCTGACCCCGGGAGATCAGCGGCAGGCTGCTGGTGAGGAGTGAAGCCCCCCAAGCAGGTGTGGAGGGCTTGAGAAGCGGCCTGACTGGCTGGCTCCAGGCTGCACAGCTTGATTGGTTAAGCTTCTTCCAATTCGGTGGGAGGATGAGGAGCAAAGAAAGTGTCATCATCGTTCGGAGCGACGGCACATGCCTAAAATAGACATCAGCTGGGGTATCAACATGTCATACAACCATGACACACGGGGTTAAGTATCCCACCCTCACATACTAAGACAGATTTTCAGCACTTTCAACGATTTATGATCCTTACTCTGACCGAAGCTGATTTTATTTGCTTTTACTACTTTTTTTATGCTTTGATGGAAGAACCCCATCATAAACTTGACTTCAAATTTTTAGGCGTCCAGAGATAAAAACAATATCTGTCGGATTAACTGGTTTGGCTTTATAATGGGACAGATTAATGGCATTTTGACTGGACTGGCTTAGACCAGATTGATGATTGTAACATAATTCAATCATATCTGCAGACACTTGGGGTTGGAATCACCAGTGGCCCCATGATACGATATTATCACAATACTTGGGTTACGATACGATATTATTGCGATTTTTGACATTTAGCAATATAGTGAGTATTGCGATACAATATATTGCGATTTATAGAATTTTCCCAACTGTTAAGCTTATTTAGCATTTGTCTTACCTTTGTGTTTATATTATTTACACTTTATTTTATTTTCATGTAGCACATCTTGCAAACCTCATATATTTGTTGTACTAAAATTTTCCTGCTCCAAAAAATCTCCTCTGCTAACCTCACTGGACAAACAGTTGATTTTATTTTTCCATTATCATAGATTTGACTTCATATTAACAATTGAAAAAATCGATACTTGGTAAATGAGACAATACGATATATCACCAGACAAAATATCGCAATATTGTATCGACTGGATACAATATCTATCAAAGATAGCACTTTTTTTTCCCATCCCAAATGACGACGCATCAAGTCTAACAGCTACCGACAAGTGTTTAATATGTACTCTGTTCTGATGTATGTAATAATGGAGTTTATTATTGCCTCTGACAGAAATGTGTCATGTTTGGAAATCTATAGCCAAAGCCCAATGTATTTTTCTGTTACATTAATTATTTCGAAATGCATCTGGAAATGTGTGTCTGGCTAAGATAACAATGTGCTGTGTACTGTATACGGATTATCGTTAAATTGTATTAGCTGTCGGCTGACCTGCTCGGTAACTCCCACTATATTAGCGAATGAAAGTCAGATATCGACCACTTATATTTCAAATAGTGATTTGTCAAATTTTAGTACAGACTAAGTCATGAAAATCCACAAATGTGTCGGATTCTTACTGAAGGAGAAATTCAAGATAACTTTTCAAAACTATTGTCCGTCTTTTTCCAGGTTTACCCCTCAAGTCTTGGTAGACAATCACGCCGCCGAGCTCCGTTTGACAAGATGAAACACATCGATAAGGCGATTGCAACCACATGGCGTCATTAGCTCTGTGCATTTGGAGTAAATGTGTCAACCAGCGTCACCGAGCAGCGAAGGGATGAGAAGAAAACCTTCAGCGTCATAATGGCGCTGTATATAAAACACCAGCAGCAGCACTACAAAGACGCCTCAGACGCCAAGTGTTCTTTCTGTGTGAGGTCCCTGCTGATGCCCTTCATGTGTACGCACATATTTCACTGTTTGATAGCGATGTCAGTGTGATACTTTGACACACATGCTAAATGACAGAGAATATACTAGCGTTAAAGTGGCACTTTTACTCGTGTTTTTGACAGTTATGGTGATATCACTAGACTTAAATGCACATGTTTAAGGTACTGAAGACTCTAAAAATATAGCTGTCTCTTACTTCAGACTGCCTGTCTAACATATAGTGGGACTTAAAAGGTGCTACAAGCCTCCATCATTCTGTGTGGACATGGAGGGCTGCTGGTAAATGTAGTGTTCTCTTTAACAGGGATCTTCCACGGTAGCGCTGGGGGCATGAGCTCAGGACACACATGGCACTGAGGGACACCAGAGCGGTCCTACCAAATCCCGTTAGGTAAGCCTGGGTTAGTGATTCCACGCTGCGAGACACTGGCTAGCAGATCCGTCACGTTCCCACTACATCAAAGGAAAGTACTGCGCTGCAACCCCCCTCCCCCAACACACCCCCTCTTTCTCGCCATGAGGATCTGCAATTGAGGGTCCAGAGGGAGGAAAAAAAAAAGAAAAGATTGAACGGGAAAAGGAGAGGGAGCTTTCTAAACTCTCTCCACCACAGCAGCAAAACTCGGATTAGAAAATAAAAATCTGTGATTCTGTTTGTTCGTCTCCTCCAGCTCTTGCACAGACCATGAGACTGTTCTGACACCGATCACCAACCCTTCATCACACAGTCAGATGAAAAATCTTACACTAATGTCTGCTGCACTATATCCATCTCAGGAGTGAGAGCAAACAGTCTGTCTTTATCTTTCCAACCATGCATTTATGAGTTTACTCAACGGGTTTATGCTGGATCTGAAGAGCTCAGCGGCTGTAGGACTTCTTAAAACCTTTTAACAAAAGGGAAATTTTAATTTGACAACAGCAGCTTGATCTGAAAATAGCTTTCGGGTCATTTAAAAATATGCACTGTCCATCACATGCACGTTGATCTTTATTTAGAAGCTGTCATTTTCATATCCTCATGTGAGCTAAAAAGGCTGCAGGACCACTATCAAAAGAGAAGACAAAAGCCCTCGGAGCTGTAAACAACTTCTTCCACTCTTCAAATCTGCAGCGGTGACATGAAAAATATTTTTTTTCACAACCAAGCTTCAAACGATCATCCTCACTGCCATTGTGGGTTATTATTATAATGTGGACCAAAGCATGTTTTACAAAGACACAGAAGCAAGAGAGAGAGAGAGAGCCATCTTCACATCCATCCCTAGTTTTACGCACAAATAGCGAAAGTTTAGAACAACAGCATTACGAGTCATTACATGTAAAGCAGCGCTGCACACAATCTGATGCCTCTGAAAAGGCTCAGGTAGGTTACCATTAGAGATAAACTCGAACCATTATCAAGACCACAAGAAAAAACCTGTCTGGGTAATTCTGTACGCCTAATGGTATATTCACTCTTCTGAAATCTGCCAAATTTTTCATGCCAACTTTACCCAAACTTTGTTAAATTTCTGCAAGACGTCTGAGGGAACAGAGCAGGTAAAGGTCGGTCAAATTCAGGGAGAAGGCTGACGTGTTCATATCGTATAACTTTGCATACATAATATGACAGCTATATATCTACCCTTTTTATTTGAACTGTAGACCAATAACCCATAGCATCGTCATGCTCTGTGTTATACTCGGCTTCACCTGTCATCTTTGATATCTTGTTAACATTACATGATGACTACTCCAGTCTCCTGTCCGACTTCATAAAACAATGTTCTGGACACTAAAACACAACGTAGTATTCTTCAGTTAAAGCTCCTGTAAGGAACTTTCGGACTCTGTAGAAGTTAGCGCCCCCCTGTGGACAAAGCAGTAACTATTATATTATTGCTATTTTTTTCTAAGCCTTGTGAAAGTGTTAGTTGACAAAAAAAATCTCTTCCTGTTGCCTTTTTTTTCAGTGAAATTTATCACTCACCATGAATATTTGCTGCAGGGAAAGTAACTAAGGCTGTTTCTACAGGTATTAAAAATCACGATATAGAATCTGTCACTACTGTCATCTTTGGTCTCATTTGCTTTAATATATCATAAAGACACATCACTATTCATTTTAGTCTGTTTGATAACCGATCAAAAACTCCTCACAGGAGCTTTAAAGAAAGATCCACATCTCATGATGACCATCTGCATTATTTCAGCATTTGCCGGGGATACCCCGCAGACTCCACATCCTGAAACAGCTATACATTTACATAAACATCAGGTACTCATAACACTCTCCCCTCTTTGAAGTGGTCACATTGTTTTAAATCCACATGTACAAGGAAGTGAGCATCCTGACACCGAATCTGAGCCCTTGTGATGGAGACAGCTTATCAAACTAGAAGCCCTAAAAATCTGCTGACAATCAGCTACTCCATACAGCACCATCATGACTGGATGGCATGTGCAGGAATGTCATGGTCAATGGAAATCAATCTAAACTACTGTGATCGGAGCGGTGGTTTGGGGCTGGGGATGGAAGAGAATGAAAGAGAGAATGTGCCTTTGATCTAGGTTGAAAACTGATCCCAGGCCTGCAGATACTGTGGCTACGAGCTGACATCAGTGAGAGAGCCAGAGGACTCATGTTCCGCGATCCCTCCACCAAGCCTTGGCTCTTTTTATTGGATAAGTGCGAGAAACGTATATAAAATGACTACCGTTTTATTGGAGACAGGGTTGTGGGGGGATCGAGGGGGAAAAGGCAGCCATGGTAAATGAAATTAAAGCGTGGCTGTAAAAGTTTTGGCAGCACATGAGCTGCCTAACTGCCTGGCCAAATTCATGTGCAGCAAGGGGTAATTTCCTCTCATAGTCAGCTGGTCTCCATACAGACCTTTGATGGAATAATTGATAAAATTAACCAGAAAACAAGTCATAAAAAGAGGATCTTTAAAGCATTGCATCCAACATTTGGGTTAAAACATCCTGTTTGTTAGCCGAAGACGACCACCAACCCTGAGGTATCTAGGGTTTTTTTTCTCCACAATGTCACATACCTTCATCCTCTGCAGCTTTGGCAGAGGGGAATGCAATTTTAACATCATTTCGTGATAGAGTTGCGTGTGAATGAAGTTCCTTTACACACAGCATGTGGCATCTGCCCCCGACAATCACATCTGCCCACGAAAGCCGATTCTTATAACAACATAGAAGTCACATTTCACAACTTAACCCTGATGAAACTAACGGGTATGAGCTGCAAAAGCACAAACAACACAGAGCTTTTTGGGATCCTCTCTGTACCGTGTGTGTGCGTGTGTATGTGTGTGTGCGTGTGTGTGTGCCAGACTGGGGCTGCTTGTGACCCAGAGACGTGGACAAAACAGGATTAGAGTGGACAGCTGCTGGAGTGCCCTACGTTTTATGTCTGCCTTGAGAGGAGAAATTTGCAAACGGGACAGACACAGGAAGCCGCCAGCGAGAGAAAGACCTGCAGCTGGCCTGAAATTAATACGGTCACAGGGACGATATCTGCAACAACGCACGCCACCCCTGGACGGCACCATGAACTCTTGTGCAGGGACATGATGTTGCCTTTAGGCCTCCTCTGACATGCCTCTGTCCCTCTAATTAGAGGGCTTACTTGGGTCTTGTAGACCTGCATCCCTCAAGATTTTTAACAAGCTGAGAAAAACGCTATATCTCTGTTCATCTTGTGGATAAAATGATAAGACATGCTGTTTCCCAGGGGATGAGGGTCTGTGATGCCAATACAGTGGGGTAAATGTTTCAAAAAGATACAACACCATATACACCGCCACGAATGCACCTGGTTTGTGTGATTTGTTTTTATTTTTGGCTTTTATCCACAAGGCTTACGAACATGCAAATTTAAAAGTGGGATCTCTACATGAGTGGTCCTTCTTGAATGCAAAAATTCAAATCTAAATATACTCAGGTAAACATTTAAACTGAGGAAATTCAATATCTTGTTATTAATCTTTCAAAATATTTTCCCTCTTAAGAAAATTCAAACTTGGCTCTATAGCCAGTTGCTGCAACAGCTCACAATTATTCCAAACAACAAACGAGCAACAAAAAGTGAAGAAATGCTCAAACATAGAAAAAAAAAAACTTAGGGGAGGTTCTTACCAAAAAACTAAAAACAAAAAGTAAAACAAAAAGTTAGCACAACTGCATAAGAGACTCTGTGGGCAGGTAAAGCAACAGGTTGCTCTCCTACTTATTCCTTGGTTTTCTTGCTTCACGGTTTTTAAACCACAATTTATAACATCACCACGACAAGGTTAAAAACATTTTTTCTGACCTCAGTTCAGGTCTTGAACTGTGAAATCCAAAACAGTAACTGAACCCGGGTTTGACCTGAGCAGGTGCAAGTCTCCTCTAGTGTCTGTTTTTGCTTTCCAGTTCACCAACAAGAACCAAAACAAAAAATATTTCATGCCAGTACATTCACAAAATAACATTTACCAGGTCATTGTTCTCACCCGCTTATTAAAAAGGTCAGCGATTTATTTTCTGTCAACTGATGAATCAAAATTGGATTTTTATGGGGTTCATATCCTCACCACACAAAACTCCAACAGGCTTATTGCCTTTTCATTACTCAGTGGTTATTCTTTGGATCTCATGCTCAACTTTGTCACAACACCAACAGCATTTCAGGGCACAAAAAGAAGAAGAAGAAGAAGAGGAGAAGAGTTGGTACTGACCGTTCTGGGCATTGGAGGAGAGAGGGAGCCATTACTCATGTAGGCAGAGTCATTCATGTTCATCATGATGTACCCCGGGTAACCTGAGTATGGACCTTTACCATACATGTCTTGGTGTTTTCCTAATAAAAAAAAAAAGACATTTCATTAAATCTTTTTTTTGCAAGAAGCTGACAACACAATAAAGCTTTACAATGTGTTAATCTCACAAACTCTGAATGAATTCCTGTCAATGATATCAGGCACAAAATAATGACAAAGCTGCACGCAAAGTTAGCCTGCCTGTTTTGGAGCTGTAATGATATCACTGCAGATCGTTTTAACCCGTGCCCTATTTCTCCTCGGCCTTTTGTTTGTGCCCTTTCTTCTCGTCTTGGAGAGGAGGGTCGTATTATGCAGAGGAACAATGGAGCCCCTCTGTGCCAATTAGCACCAATTAGAAGAACATACAGACTGTGTCAAAACAGGAGACGCCCCAACTGTTCCTCTACGCCTTTGACCTGAGAGGGGGAGCTTTGTATGAGAAGAGGCCTCAATACAGTGCCACTCGCCACTCAACTGCACGCTGTGTAATAAAGCCGGAGGGGGGAGGGGGGTGTTTGTGGTACACAGCCTGATGGCAACATAGAGGGGGAAAAAAAGAAGAACTGTGTTTGGATTGAGGGGGTCTTACGCAGGAGTGAAAGGGGAACAAAGAGGAGACACACTCCTCTTCAGTGTGTAATGATGACCTGCAGCAGCAGGGTCAGACTACAAAAGCCAGAGAGCAACAAGCCTCGAGCGGCAGTAACATGTTGCATGTGACAGACGTATGTGGGGAAAGAGTTTATTGTGGTAACTGCATAATTAGAAACACAAGAGCTGTTGTTTTGATTTATCTTCAGTAGTGGGCCCATATACATGTGCAATCAAGATTTCTGAATTAAAACATGAAAGAATGAATATTTACACTCCTTTTTATCTCTTCAGCATTTCTGCAGGTACCCTCATCTCTGAGGGAGGTAACAGGTAAAATGAAGGTAAAGCATGTCCTGACTAGTCTTGGATTAAAGATCATATATCTGCGAGGAGAGCTCTGATAAGAGAAGGACCAACAGTTAAAAGTGTGGCCTATCACTTCTGTGTGGAGGAGAACAAAGTGGCCCTTTTTCACACCCTTAACCTTTCGAGCTTTGGTGAGTCATTTTGAAAATCTGAGCTTTCACTGCAGCTGAATGACACGCTGGTCATCTTTTATTAAGCATGCAGATTTAACAAGCCCTTTAAAGATAAGATAAGATAAACCTTTATTTTTTCCCCACAGTGTGGAAATTTGTAGTGTTTGCTCAAGGCTGTGTCACTTACCATCATCCGGATGGTCTCTGTGTTTTTCATGATATGCATCTTGTGGTATTTGGGACTGTCTAGCTGCCTGTAAGTAGAAAAAATAACATACATTGAAATGATGGTAAATCAATTAGGAGGGCTTTCAAACGCAGTTACATACACAGACATGATGATACGGTCAGACACCCACAAATACAGCGAGGACAAATGCCGTCCTTTTTGCTTGTCACCATAGCAGAACAAGCCTCACACACACACAGACACACACACACAAATGCACACACAGTACTAACTATAGAAGGATGATGGAGCAGCCTGCATCAAAGCTTCAAAAGAACCACTTAATTAAGCTTCATGTCCTTAAGGAGCTTACAAATTAACTTGTTTTCAATACCATAGGTCCACTCTCATTTTCATCTCCCTCTCTCTCATTTTAAGTCTTTCTCCGATTTCAAATAAATGAAGAGTGTATTAATGTCATGAATTAAAAGCTGGTGTGTAAAGTGAAATAAAACTGTCCAATTTATTAGGGAGGGGGGCGACTAGACTGCTTCTGCTTTATTTAAAAAAAAAAAAAAAAAAGGAGTAGAAAAATGTCCTGCTTTTCCGCACATCTATTTCCTCTCTCTTTACGAGTCTGAATTGAGAAAGAGGACCTCTTTTTGGAGTTCAGACCCCTCAGGATGGCTTCAAGCAGAGCGAGGGAGCTTCACTGGATTCCTAATTAACATTCAGCCTCTGTCTCGTGCATCTCTAGGACATTTCTGTGGTGAATTTGCACAGCCTCTTCCTCTTCAGGATGCACCCAAAATTTCATTAACACTGCGGTTAATGACAAAACAGCCGGGTAACATTGCGATGGGGGAGCTGTAGCCTGCATCCTGAGGTCAGTGCACGGGTGGAGCGAGACAGGAAAATTAAAAACACATTTTTAACTGGGATGTTTCATGCCTGCTCTGTCTTTTATGGGCTAATGTAATGCCATCTTTGAGGAGTTGAATAAAAAGTGGCAGAGAAATAATTTCAGAGACATTAAAAATTCATTATTTATAATTCTTCCATTGAGATTTTTACGTACATTTACATACACAATGAAGTCGACATATTTAAACGCAGATTTTCATCTGATAAATTCATTTTGTGCCTATTTTACCTGATTACAAAAGACTAGAACAAAATGAATGTAGATGTGGCTGTTTTTTAACATATTTTTCAACCCTTTAACATCCAGGATAATTTATGGAGGACATAATACTGGAACGACAGATTTAAAAAAGGAGAAGGGCTAAATACATGCAAGAACTTCTGATTAATGTAAGCATTGAAAGTGGTCCTTTTGTTCACATTTTTGTTTTGAAATGACTTGATGGTCAAAGATTTAATGCTATAAAGGTCCTCGCAGATTCAGTCATTAGCCATCTTGACACAGGAAGCTCACAAGGCCACAATTTTTCACCACACAATGTGTTATAATTTTATCCCAAATCCCAGGACAAATATATGAAGAACAGCTTTCATCAACAGCTCAGTGTTTTTCAGGCCTTCAGTGAGTCCAGGGTGAAGATTTGTGGCTGCTTAGGATGTGACAGGAGCATCTTGGAAGTGGTGAGTGAAGCTGGTGCCCGTGACTATTGAATATTGTTTTCTACATTACTCATTATTTTTTAGTAAATAAATAAGAATGCATTAAGGCATGGCTGTGAGATAGTCTTTGCATTTTTTTTAAATCCCTATGATAAAATTGCTTCAAATAGATTATAAATAGTGATACAGATTTTTGGATTCTTCCAAGTTTGCTCTCTTTCATTAAAGCTAAAAAAATCCCAGCAATTCATATAAAAAGAGCATAAAAACAAAAGCATAAAAAGATCAGATAAACTTTGTTTACTGACTGATACCGGCTGTTTCACCCTCTCTCTGCTGGAGTTCAGAGTTGATACTCACCTTCCTCTCCTCTTCCTCATCATCAACATTCACCACATCAGTGAACACACAACATTACTCACATCGTGGCTGTTGCTGTTGGGGCTGCTCTCTGACTCGTTGACCAGCGATGACTTGATGTCCGCCAGGTCTCCTTCCTCCTCCGAGTGGCTGAGCTCGGCGAAGATCTGCTCTTTATGCGGGTCTCCTTCGTCTTTGAACGGGATCATTTCGTCTGTGGCGCACAGCTCCGGGTCTCCGCCGCCGCCTGATAACTGGGGCATTTTTTAGCTTCTACTAGTTTCTGTTCAGCAAGAAAACCGGAGACACCAAACACGCCAGCACAAGTCCCAGTTACAATCCCCTGAGTGGGAAAACGTCCCCCCGTTTTAAGCGGAGTGTAGACCGGGAGTCACTTGGAGAGGAAGCGGCGAGCGAGCACGCTGCCGGTGTGTTTTCACTGAAGCAACAGGAGGAGGGGAGGCTGCTGCTGTCTGACTGACTGACTGACTGACTGTCGGCGTCCTTTGAGCTAAAAATGAGACAAACTCGGACCCGAAAAGTTCACAAGTGACGGGCCAGAAGTGGAGTCCGGCGCACAACTCAATGACATGAGGAAAAAAAATAAAAAAAGGTAACAAACTAAAAGTTAAATTCTCATCATTTGTTTTCAGTCAGTCGACGACGAATACGCTCCAACGTCAAAAAAAGTGCATTTACAAAAGTAGTGAGGAAAATACGTCCTCGCTGGTCCAGTGGATAAAATGTTGCGTCCTTGAAGTGGCAGAAAAGTGGGCTAACAAAAACCAAAACACCGTCTGAGTGGAGGTTTAAAAGGTAAACCGATGTAATGTGAAGAAATGAGTTTAAACACTTCAGACTAGACCACGAACAAGGCAGTGAGCCGCTTTCATGCTTTCAGATACATCCTCCCAGCTGCTCGGATGAGGAGGGATAAAAGCAAAAAGTCATAAAACAATCAGAAAAAGAAGATAGAGAGGAAAAATGCTGTGGACCGATTTCCCACTGCTCCCCGCACTGCTTCCACAGTGTAATGTATCCAGTGTGTGTATGTGTGTGTTGGTAATGTAGCCGTGCTCCCTCCTCCTCCTCCTCCTCCTCCCTCTTCAGTCATTGGGAGGAAGGAGAGATGAAAGGGAAGCCGGGGCTCTGATTGACACCGCACCGATTGACACTCCTCCTGAGAGAGAGATTTATACTCAGCTCACAACAAATGGGCAGACAGGAGAGGAAGGAGACGAAGACGAAGAAGGAGAAGTAGCGGCGAGGTTGGCACACGCACTGTTTATGATGAGTTGAAACAGCAGTGATAAATAGTCTTAAAATCAGAGTAGAAGAAAAAAGAGACACAGACATTCTGGGCGAGTTTCAACTCGTTCATCCGAGGAGGAAAAAGAGAGATTTAATCTGGACTAAGAATTGGCAGTAGCTTCATTTTCAGTGACAAAATGAGAAAAGATTAAACGCGTAAAAACATCTATTCATGTAACTAATACAAAATTCCTATTTCATTTTATGGTGTTAAGAAATAGCTAAACTTGTGGAAAAGGGGCGTGTCCTTTTCTCCTTAAATATTGTATTTTCTATAAAGAAATTAATGTTAGATAACCCCCTTTTTTTCCCCAAAGTCATGGGAAGATGACAGAATGTGAAATAATAATAGTCTTCTAAAATCACAGTGTCCACACCTACTACTAGGCCTTAGGTCGTTTTAAAGTCTCACAGTCATCTGATCCGGTATTGTTTATATGGATATGTCACCATGATTAATAATAATAATAATAATAATGGTAAGCCTTTGTTTCATTTTTATTTTGCTCATGTACACATAAATTATTTAGAGTGAAAAAAATCCAGATTTGTGGATTATTACTGGAATTATTGGCTTACTAAAAATCAGACTAAGAGAAAGCTCATTTCATTAAAACTTTCTGCAGGTAAACAAACACAAAAATACTCAGATTATTAATTTACAAATAAAGAATTTCAAAAATAGAAGACAGTGAGATTAAGTGAATTTAAACGGAGGGAAAAGATGCAGAGTGTGAAGAGAAATGAAGGCAGAAAAGCAGTGTGGAAGTGAGAGTCTGCATGAGCACGGGGAGATTGCGTGAGAATCAAAGTTGGGATGGGGAGGCAGATCTTTATAAAGCGCGGAGGTGGGGTTAGCGGGGCGGAGCTGCGGCTGCCTTTGATCTTGCGGCGGCTGGCTCTTTCATCCCCAACTCCCCCCGCCCGGTTCTCCCCCCTCCACACCACCCTGCCTCCCCCACTTCCACCCTCCTCCTCCTCCTCCCCTCTCTCCCTCTCGCCTTTGTATGACTAAATTTGGTCCGAGTGTGGAGCCGGGCCAACATTTCCACGTGTGCGTTCATCCCAGCTGAGAGAGAGAGAGAGAGAGAGAGAGAGAGAGAGAGAGAGAGAAGGGGTTCTCTTCCGGGTAAGGAGACAGCGAGGAAAAAAAAAGATCAAAGGCTTTTCGGTTTTTGGAAGAAGCAGAGTGAGTGTGGATTCAAAAGAGCCGAGACTGGCTGCATTCCAGAGTATAGCGGAAGACGCACGCGCCTTTACGCACACACACGTACGGGCACCAGCACACGCACGTAAACACAGCACTGAAAGAGAGAGAGAGTTAATTAGGAAGATTTCACACAAACAGTCCCGAACAACCAGATCTTTCATTTTAAAAAAAACCTTTTTACATTTTATTTTTTTTTGTTTCTTGCCCAGAAAATTAGAAGAAAAATGTGGTACAAGCTAAAAAACTGGCTGTTTTCTCTCCTTTTCTGTTCTACTTAATCGCAGCGTTTCTTTAATTTAATTATCCGCCACTTTTTTTCTGGCACAGTTTAAAATGATGCTACCTACACTCACCCTAAAACCAAGCAAGAACAACCTCATTGCCTTGAAGTCTATTTTTCTTTCTTCTTCTTCTTCTTCTGTGTCTTTTTTCAGCTTTCACCTTGGATATGGTTTTAATCATACACTTCTGGGGGAAGGGGAAATCAGGAGAAAAGCGATTTTTAGTAGGCCTATTAAGTGACTAAAAAGAGACAGTGCAGGCCTGCAGGGCCTGAGGTAAGAGGTGAAGAGATGCAAACTGTGGAAAATGAAACAGATTAAATAAATCACAGGACAAAATGATTCATGTTGGGTTTTTGGCTTTGGTTTATTGGCGTTGTAAGGTATTATGAAATGCAACTTTGTTAAGGATACCAACCTTAATCCTAAAGCTCTGTTTTTCCTATGAAACCCTAGGCCTTCTTTCAAGCTTTACCTCATGATATACCCAACACTTCTCAAAGATTATCATGGTTGAATTCAATGATTTTCTGAATATAATCTAAATAACATCGGTACACTTATCCCCTCAGCTGTGAATCTGGTTGACCCAGCAAATATGAGAATATTAAACCAATGTCAATGAAACAAAACAGCCAATCACAATGAAGGTATTCCCTGCTGAAGGGTATTATAATCTAACAATGGCAATTTTCATACCTATCCCACCGACTTATCGTACATTTCAGACATTCACACTCAGCACCTACTGCATGTGCACTTTGTAAATATTTCTTTTATACTTTTATTCATCTTTAACATTTTTTGTATCCTCCTTATTTTATTGTATTCCTCCCTGTACTTCTTGTGTGTTTCATCTGTACTCCTTTGAGTCAAGCGGTCCTCTCATCCAGGGCATTTCATTGCACTATTGACCTTGATTAACATGCACATGACAATAAACAAATCTTGAATCAAAATCTACACGACTGAACACAAAAAAGATTTTAAAAAAGAAGATAAAGCAGGAAGAAGTATCCAAACCTTTAAACACAGAAGCCATCTGGAAATAAAAATTTAAAGTGCAAACATAAGAAAAGAAGTGCAACAGGAAAATACACATTTGTGACCAAAGTTTCAAAGCATTAAGCAAGTCTTGGACGATGCAGTTTTAAAGACAGTTAGAAAATCAAGTTGTTTCTCGATTCTTTTTGAGTAGCCCCAAACTTTGCTATAATTTCATATTCTGCTCTTGTGAAGGGAAGTAGGTCTGAGAGGTCTTGGGTGAAAGAGAGATTCATTATTTAATGCCCTCTACTGCATGATGGGAGACCACTGCAGAGAAGTCCGTCCTCCTGGTTAGAAGGCCTGTGATGAGGGGTCAATTGTTCATACAAGTACAACAAGAAACACAGATTTTTTTATTAATCTGTCAAATGTGTCTTATAAAAATTATCAGCAGAAGTAGAGTTGGTGCATCAAGCCCAGAAAGACACAAACGAAGAATTGTTTGCTGTGCAATGATTTAGCTTCTTGATGACAAGGCAACAAATGACACACAGACCCACCCTACACACTCGATCATACTTTATATTCTCCACAGTCTCCATTATGGCTCTGTGTAATGCAGTGCTGGTTTTTCCAAAAGAAAGAGAGGAAGAAAATTGGAGTGAAAAAAAGATAAAGAAGCAGGGGAGGAAGGAAAAAACAGAGCAACATTTGCATTTCTCTCCTAATGAGTTCATAAGAGTGACCCCTCTGGATCTCACATGAAAAGGAAGATTTCCTGCTGCGCTGTGACCTCGATTCAGTTGTCTCTCACTTTAGAGTCTACATTTTGCATGTTATATAAGGAGGAAATAAATCTATACACAGGGCATAATTTATCATCAGCAGATTTCTATTTCTTATCTCTGTCCTTAATGACCAGTAGTCAAACTGAAGAAGGAAATACATTTATTAATGGTCTACGTATCATGGTGAGATTTGATGAAATTAATGCACATCAAGCACGTTTTTTTTTAATTATTATTTAATATTTTTACCCTCATAAAGGTGTGAAAGCATATCAGTTTAGAAGACAATATGAATTGTGTCAAACAAAATGCTCTTTGTTGGAACAACATTCAGTCAAGGTCCTCTTTAGATCTATTATTATCTCATCTTTTATCTGTTCTATTTTCATTGCAATGCATAATACTTCAAACAAAAATTACCCTAATTATTCCCTGTTCGTGTTTTGTGTTTCATTTGTGTGTTTTTCTCTTTTGAGTTTTTTTTTGTGTGTGATAGAGAGAGAGAGGGAGAGAGCGAGTCAGCCTGATCAGTGATGTGATTTGTCAATACCAGCTCCGACAATTCACCTGCCAGGTGAGTTGAGCAGTGAAATCTCTGCTCTGCCGTCTGTTTCACCTGCTAGTCATTCATAAGAACTTCCTTGATGTAGAAATTACAGCCTTGAAGCTCGCAGCCATCATGGTGAAAACGACAGGAAACAAACATCAAATTATGATAAAAAGAGCTTCCAATTAAAGCAAGGGGAAAAAGACGCCATTTATCAAACCTGCTTATCAAAAACAGGGGAGGTCCGAGGTGAGTGATCATTTAGGCTGCTCTGTGATTGGTAGAAGATGAGTCACCCTCCTTGAAAGGGAGGAAAGTGTCTTGGGGGTAAGGTGAGAAATAGAGGAGCGGATGTGTGATCTGTTGATTTATGACAACACTGTCGGGAGGCTGTCTGAGACAAACTGTCATTAAAATGAAATTATCTCCTTGATGGAAAAGGAGGGGAATTTGTCATGCTATGTGTATATTTAGGATGTGTCCAATTTGGAAACCAGAGGCTAGACTACACACACACACACACACACACACACACACACACACACACACACACACACACACACACACACACACACACACACACACACACACACACACACACACACAGAAAGAAAAAACATTCCCTTACAAAAAGAAAGAAAAAAAAAGAAAGCTGCCTTTAGCTAGAAATACAGCAAAGCAGGAGCTGGATGTGAAGACAATGTTAACATGCTGACTTTTTAGCAAAATATTCATCATGTTCAGGGCCTAAATTTTGTCTCTTAGCATGCATAAATGCGTTCTTTTCAAGATTCGCTGCCCACATACATGACATCGAAGTCCATGTCCCTTTCTGACTCTTAATAAATCCAACTTTTTTGGCCAAGTCAGTTGTGAAAGATAAGTGTTCACCAGTCAGTCTGATTCAGGGAGGTTTA